CCCCCACACACACCTTCCCTTCCCCCCCCCCTCCAGCGTGCCTGGATACCTGGATTCCCTCACCTGGACAGAATCCAGCGCTGGCTGCTTCTGACAGATGGACGTGACCCCCCCCCCTCCCTCCTGCCCCAAACTGAGCCTTGGCATCCAGTTAGCGCCAAGACACGTGTGAATGCAGACCGGGTGCAGAGGCGCCTTTTAAATTCAATTCAATTTAATTTCGACGTGCCCCCCCCACCCCGCCTCTGGCGCTGTGGCTCGTGTGTGTGTGTGTGTGTGTGTGTGTGTGTGTGTGTGTGTGTGTTGGGGGTGGGGGAGGAACCCGCAGGGATCAACTCCCAGGGAGGTCAAAGGTCGCCAAGGGTGACTTTAAAGGAGAAACGATCCTTTCTGCAAAAGGCATCACGTGGCCTCTAGGCGCAGGGAAATTGTGCGCAGCCATAGAGGAACTCCTGGTGTGTGTGTGTGTTTGTGTGTGTGTGTGTGTAACACAGGCCTTGCAGCTTCCCTGAGTCATGGATTGGAAGACGGCATGCGAAGGGGAGGTGGGTTACATAATGCAACTTTCCCTCTAAGTGAAAAGTCGGAGAAAAGATTTGGCAAAACCGGGGGGGCCCTTAAAAGAGTGGAAGAAAGTTGACCAAGGCACACAATTTCACACACACACACACAAAAAAAAAACACAACACAAAAAACACCCCCCCCCTCCATTCTTGCGTCAATTCTACTTTGGCCCTCCATTGCGCAGGGAAAAAAGAGATTGAAAAGAGGACAAAGGTCCATCCGGCCGCATAAATGCAAAACTTGCACAAACACACACACACACACACACACAAATCGCTCGGTGAAAATCGGTTCGATAGGTTGTGCGAACAGGTCCAGAGTTCCGTAACCCATCCTCGGTGCCGCAGAGTCGGCTCTTCCCGCACGAACAAAATGGCCAGGAGCGTTTCCTCCTCCCCCCCCCCCAGTTTTTTTTTTTTTACGAGAATTATTATTAGGGAACATGCTCGGGGAAAAAAACAAACACCCCGAATCCGGCGAGGGATTCCCCAACCTCTGTTTTGAGGTTCAACTTTCTGTGACACCCCGATTTCTAGCACATATACACACACAGAGAGAGATTGGCTGAACATGTCTGAAAAAGGCCAGCTGGGGCCAAACCGGAGTTACGCTTTTGCAACTGATCATGGTTTGTGTAGAACATGGCTTGTGGGGGAGCACTTCATAGCTCCTGAAGGCAGAAAAGAGGGAAGGAAGGAAGGAAGGAAGGGAAAGAAAGAGAGAGGAAGAAAAAAGAAAGAAAGAAAGAAAGGGAAGGAGGAAGGAAGGAAGACAGGAAGAGAAGGAAGGAGGGAGAAAGAAAGAAAGGAGGAAGGAAGGAAGAGAAGGAGGGAGGAAGGAAGGAAGGGAAGGGAAGGGAAAAGGAAAAAAGAAAGAAAGAAAGAAAAAGAAAAAGAAAGAAGGAACGAGGAAGGAAGGAAGACAGGAAGAGAAGGAAGGGAGGAAGAAAGAAAGGGAAGGAGGAAGGAAGGAAGAAAGAAAGGAAGAGAAGGAAGGAGGGAGGAAGAAAAAGAAAGGGAAGGCGTAAGGAAGAAAAGAAAGAAGGGAGGGAGGGAGGAAGGAGAGAAGGAAGGAAGGAAGAAAAAGAAAAGAAAGAAAGGGAAGGAAGAAGAAAGGAAGAGAAGGAAGGAGGGAGGAAGAAAAGAAAGAAAGAAGGGAGGGAGGGAGGAAGGAGAGAAGGAAGGAAGGAAGAAAAAGAAAGAAAGAAAGGGAAGGAAGAAGAAAGGAAGAGAAGGAAGGAGGGAGGAAGAAAAGAAAGAAAGAAGGGAGGGAGGGAGGAAGGAGAGAAGAAAGGAAGGAAGAAAAAGAAAAGAAAGAAAGGGAAGGAGGAAGAAAGGAAGAGAAGGAAGGAGGGAGGAAGAAAGAAAGAAAGAAAGGAAAGAAAGGCAGATTTTAACCATAGGCTGGATAGATTGAATTCCTAAATTTTAAGGTGGGGGGGTTGCATCCTTGGAAGTCGGGAGGAATGATAGAAGGGAGGGGGCACCCAAGGTGACTGGAGTCTGCTTCCATGCCTGCTTTCCCCCCCCCCCCATTTTCCACGCCGTGCCTGATAGGATCTCCCTCAAGTGACCTTGAAACCGTTTTTCAATCTCCTGGCTGGGTGCCGGGATCTACAGATCTGGTCCAATGGCTGAACGAGGGGCACAGAAGTCAGCTGAAAGGGTGTGTGTGTGGGGGGGGGGGTTTTCATTCCAGCTCCCTCTTCCCCCCCCCCACAAGTAACCTGCGGCTTCTTTGCTTCTGCGGGCCCCCCCTCCTTCTCCTCTCCCCCCCCTCTCCCTCCTCCCTCCCCCCCCCCGAACTGCAGAGGCCGTGTTGCGTCTCGAAACCTGGAAAATTAAAAGTCACGGCTAATTTTTGAAGGACGGGGTCTCCGTGGCTTAATTATCAGAAGTTTTTTTTCCGGGGGGGGGAAGTTGCAAGGTTGCTATGCCCATCGCCCTGATTTTACGGGACTTCGGCTCTTTCCCCCCCCCCCTCCACCCCAAATTTCCCCTAAAACTTGAATTTGAACCTTGAAATAATCCTAACACCCCCCCTCCCTTTCCCAATTCAATATGCAATTTGGGGAATTAAGATAGACTGATTGTGATATACAATTTATAACTCATTCATTCGGTGACCGTTTTGAGGTTACAACAGACCTGGGGAAAAAGGGGGACTTAGGACCGTTCCTCACACTTACGACCGTTGCAGCATTCTCTTTCCCTCCCCCTGGTCATGTGATCAAAGACACTTGGCCACTGACTTGTATTTATGACAGTCGCCGTGCCCTGTGATTCCTTCTTACGACCGTTCTGACGAGCAAAGTCGACGGAGAAGCCGGATTCACTTAACAACGTGGGGGGCTAACTCAACAACCTTATAACAATCTGGCTTCCCTCTTGACTTGACTTCTGAAAAGGGGGGAAAGGGTTCACTTAACGACGGGAGCAAGAAAGGCCGCCAAAGGGGGGGTGGAAACGCCCCTGAACGGTCTCGCTTAGCAACATAAAAATTTGGGGCTCGGTTGCGGTCGTAAGACGAGGACTATCTATATTAACCGACGGTATTTCAGAGGGACTTTTTTTTTAAAAAAAAGGAATGGAAAAGAGTTTTCTTGGGACATGAAGGAAACGGGAAAAGGAATAGGCCGTGTTTGAAGTGGAAGATTTGGGAATTTTGTACCCCAAATTTTAAAATGGGGGGTGGGGAATGAAAACCATGGGGGTCTTGAGGGATCCAAGTAGACTTTGGAAGGTTTGGGGGTTTCTGCATTCACACAAGACCAGGAACGGGGATGACGTTATCATGTTGGCTGGTCCCATTACTAAACTGGGGTTTGGGGGTTCCCACAAGAGAAGGATCTGAGGTGAGATAATCGATTCAGCTGGCTTTTACCTCAAGACACAAACGATTGAACCGAACAAACTTGGGTTGGTTATGTGAATACAATTTAGGCTTTAACCTGGATAAAGCAAACCCCACTCCTTGCTAGCAATGATGATGTTACCTAGGTTGGTAATGAAATGTTTGAAAGAAAACGATCAAACTCGGGACCACCAAGGACTCCACAGTTTTTGTTTTTTTTTAATTTGATTTATATGCCGCCCTTCTCCGGAGACTCAGGGCGGCTTACAGTGCGTTAAGCAACAGCCTTCATACTTTTGTATATTTACACAAAGTCAGCTTATTGCCCCCACAAACTGGGTCCTCATTTTATCTACCTTAGAAAGGATGGAAGGCTGAGTCAACCTTGAGCCTTGGCGAGATTCGAACTTGCAGTAATTGCAGGCAGCTGGTCTTAATAACAGTGCTTTAGTCTGCTGCGCTACCAGGGCTCCTTCTCCTCCTCCTCCTCCTCCTCCTCCTCCTCCTCCTCCTCTCCATAAACCCCACTTTCTTCTAGCACGGATGATGTTACCTAGCTGGGTCAAGAAATTCTGCAAGAAAACCATCAAGTTCACAGACCTGACTGTCCTCCTCCTCCTCCTCTTCCTTCTCCTTCTCTTCCTCTTCCTCCTCCTCCTCTTCCTTCTCCTCCTCCTCTTGCTCCTCCTCCTCTTGCTCCTCCTCCTCCTCCTCCTCTTCCTCCCTGCAAACCCCACTCCCTTCCAGCACTGATGATATAATTTAGCTGGGTCATGAAATCTCTGCAAGAAAATCACCAAGCTCAGAGAGCACTGAGGACTCCACAGTCCTCCTCTTCCTCCTCCTCTTCCTCTTCCTTCTCCTCCTCTTCCTCCTCTTCCTCTTCCTTCTCCTCTTCCTCCTCCTCTTCCTCCTCCTCCTCCTTCTCCTCTTCCTCCTCCTCTTCCTTCTCCTCCTCTTCCTCTTCCTCCTCCTCCACCTCTTCCTCCTCCTCTTCCTCCTCCTCCTCTTCCTCCTCCTCCTCCTCCTCCTCCTCTTCCTCCTCCTCTTCCTTCTCCTCCACCTCTTCCTCCTCCTCTTCCTCCTCTTCCTCCTCCTCCTCTCCATCCTCCTCTACCTCACTTCCTCCTCCTCAAACCCCTCCTGCCTTCTAACACTGATGATGTTCCCTACTTGGGTCGTGAAATGTCTACAAGAAAACCATCCAGCTCCGCAATCGTCCAAGGACCCTCACAATAATCCTCCTCCTCCCCTAACACTAAGGACCTCTCATCTCAACCCTGAGCCACACATATTGGCTCCCCTTGACCAGCTAAACAGGATTGTGTGTGAATGAACCCCCTTACTCCCCCTTAACTTCTGACTACATCTGGTTTTATCTTCTCCTCCTTCCTGCAGAGCCTCTCTCCAGCCATGTCCTCCCGGGAACGCCGGACGGAATTCTTCATCAAAACCGAACCGGCTTCGCCCGATAGCCTCGTCCAACACAGTCCCAGCGGATCCTCCGACACCAGCACCAGCGGGGCCCCCGCTGAACTCGAAACCGCCAGCACCTTACCGGCCGGGACGGGAGCTTCTCGCCGACGCCACGACGATGATCCCGATGAAGCTCCCGGCCGGGGGAAATACATGCTGAACACGATGCCCAAGCGGCTGTGCTTGGTCTGTGGGGACATCGCCTCGGGGTACCACTACGGGGTGGCCTCCTGCGAAGCCTGCAAAGCGTTCTTCAAGCGGACGATCCAAGGTCAGTTCTCCCCTTTTCTAGCTCTATGGTCCTTCCTTAACCCCGTAGACATTCACAGTTCTGCTTTGAAAGGTGAAGAATCAATCAGAGTAGAGCTAGAAGGGAGCTTGGAGGTCTTCTAGTCCAACCCTCTTCTTTGGGGCAGCCCCTGAGATATTGGAAGACTGCTATCATGTCTCCCCTAGTCCTTCTTTTCATTAAGCTACCCTGTTTTCCCCCAAAATAAGACATTATCCCCTGATTATAAGCCCAATCGGGCTTTTGAGGGCATGGCAATAAGGCTAAGGGCTTATTTCAGGGTTCAAAAAAATATAAGACAGGGTCTTATTTTGGGGGAAACACGGTAGATAGATAGATAGATAGATAGATAGATAGATAGATAGATAGATGATAGATAGATAGATATGAAAGAGATGATAGATAGGTAGAGAGAGAGATGATAGATACAGATAGATAGATAGATAGATAGATAGATAGATAGATAGATGATAGATAGATAGATGATAGATAGATAGATAGATAGATAGATAGATGATAGATAGATAGATAGATGATAGATAGATATGAAAGAGATGATAGGTAGAGAGAGAGATGATAGATACAGATAGATAGATAGATAGATAGATAGATAGATAGAGATAGATAGATAGATAGATAGATAGATAGATAGATATGAAAGAGAGATGATAGGTAGAGAGAGAGATGATACTGATAGATAGATAGATAGATAGATAGATAGATAGATAGATAGATAGATAGATAGATGATAGATAGATAGATATGAAAGAGAGATGATAGGTAGAGAGAGAGATGATACTGATAGATAGATAGATAGATAGATAGATAGATAGATAGATAGATAGATAGATAGATGATAGATAGATAGATATGAAAGAGAGATGATAGGTAGAGAGAGAGATGATACTGATAGATAGATAGATAGATAGATAGATAGATAGATAGATAGATAGATAGATATGAAAGAGAGATGATAGGTAGAGAGAGAGATGATACTGATAGATGGATAGATAGATAGATAGATAGATAGATAGATAGATAGATTATGATAGATAGATGATGATAGATAGATATGAAAGAGAGATGATAGATAGGTAGAGAGAGAAATGATAGATACTGATAGATAGATAGATATGAAAGAGAGATGATAGATAGGTAGAGAGAGAAATGATAGATACTGATAGATAGATAGATAGATAGATGATATAGATAGATGATATAGATAGATAGATAGATAGATAGATAGATAGATAGATAGATAGATAGATAGATAGATATAGATGAAAGAGAGATGATAGATAGGAGAGAGAGACGAGAGAGAGATAATAGATACAGATACCCTATTTTCCCCAAAATAAGACACCCCCTGATAATAAGCCCAATCAGGCTTTTGAGCGCATGGCAATAAGGCCAAGGGCTTATTTCAGGGTTCAAAAAAATATAAAACGGGTCTTATTTTCAGGGAAACACGGTAGACATAACCAGTTCCTGCAACCGTTCTTCATATGCTTTAGCCTCCAGTCCCCTAATCCTCATTGTTGCCCTTCTCTGCACTCTTTCTAGAGTCTCCATATCTTTTAGAATAAAATAGAATAGAATTCTTTATTGGCCAAGTGTGATTGGACACACAAGGAACTTGTCTTTGGTGCATACGCTCTCGGTGTACATAAAAGAAAAAATACATTCATCAAGAATCATAAGGCACAACACTTAATGACAGTCATAGGGAACAAATAAGCAATCGAATCATATTAGGAAACAGTCAATATAAATCGTAAGGATACAGCAACAAGGTTACAGTCATACAGTCATAAGTGGGAGAAGATGGGTGATAGGAACGATGAGAAGATTAATAGTAATGCAGACTTAATAACTAGTTTGACCGTGTTGAGGGAATTATTTGTTGAGCAGAGTGAGGGCGTTTGGGGAAAAAACTGTCCTTGTGTCTAGTTGTTCTGGTGTGCAGTGCTCTATAGCATTGTTTTGAGGGTAGGAATTGAAACAGTTGATGTCCAGGATGCGAGGGGTCTGTAGATATTTTCCCAGCCCTCTTTTTGACTCGTGCATTACATTTACATTATTGAAGCATGCTCTCTGAGAACTAAGACATTAAATACGTTTAGTTTTGCACGCCCTGGCTTTAAATCCAGGCTCTTCGCTACCTTTACACCTGTCTGCCCAGTTATGACAAATAACTGGGAATCTTTCAAAAATTCCCCAATTCGGTTGCATCACAAAGCGGGAGGGGAAATTCCAGGAGTGAAAAATGATTTATCTAAAGAAAGACTTCCTTTTAAAACTTGTCAGCCTGGAGGAAACCAAAATTTTTTAGGAGGGTGTTGTTCCATAGTGCTAGAGGGAGGGATATAAAATAGGAATAATAAAAGCTACCTGAATTGGACTAGAAACTTTATTTGCCCCGTGCTGGGAGAGTTAAGATGCCCACAGGCAAGTTACAGCTGCTTTATCCGGTTATCAGCCTCTTCAGTAATTAAAATTTATGCTGCTTTTGAGCCTGTAGGACAGATTGAGTAAACTACAGTGAGTCCTCGACTTACGGCCCACAATTGAGCCCCAAATTTCTGTTGCTAAGGAGTCATTTCTTAAGTGAGTTTTGCCCCATTTTACAATCTTACTTGTTAAAATGAATCACAGCGGTTAGGTTAGTAACATGGTTGTTGTTAAGTGAATCCAACTTCCCCATGGACCTTGTTGGTCAGAAGGTCGTGAAAAGGGGATCACGGGATACTGCGAGCATCAAAAATACGAGTCAGTTGCCAAGTGTCTGAATTTTGATCACGTGACTCTGGGAATGCTGCAACAGTCGTAAGTATGAAAAATGGTCACAAGTCGCTTTTTTCAGTCCCGTTGTAACTTCGAATGGTCACTAAACAAACTGTTGTACGTCGAGGACTACCTGTACTAAATAAATAACTAAAAAAACCTAGCCATTGACAGACACATAGAAGTAAACCACATTTACATACCCTTCAAAAGAATAAATTTAAAAACAAGCTAAGTCCTAAGTCGCTTTTTTTAGTCCCGTTGTAACTTCGAATGGTCACTAAACAAACTGTTGTACATTGAGGACTACCTGTACTAAATAAATAACTAATAAAAACTAGCCATCGACAGACACATAGAGGTAGACCACATTTACACACCCTTCAAAAGAGTCCATTTAAAACAAGCTAAGTCCTAAGTCGCTTTTTTCAATGCTTTTGTAACTTCGAATGGTCACTAAACAAACTGTTGTACGTTGAGGACTGTCTCTGTGGTGGATTAATGTCCCTGTCTTTGCTCTGTCTTGCAGGAAGCATTGAGTACAGCTGTCCGGCTACCAACGAGTGTGAAATCACCAAACGTCGGCGGAAAGCGTGCCAGGCGTGCCGTTTCACCAAGTGCCTGCGTGTGGGCATGCTGAAGGAAGGTAATTTTTTGGGGAAGGGGCTTAAATCTCAACAATCCCAATGGATCATTTATCGCTGAACTTCATTTCCCAGCTTCCTTAGGAAGGCTGGTCCAGAGTGAAGAATGCTGGGAATCGTAGTTCCATTCAGTTCGCACCGCCCGTTGCCCAGATGCATTCTGGGAGGAACCTCTGAAAAGCCTGAGCGGTGGGGGGGGGGGTGGGGTTGGACTACAAGACCTCCAAGGTCCCTCCCAACTCTTGTTATTCTATACAGTTCGTCCTCATTTACTGACCACAATTGGGAACCGGTAATTTGGTCATTAAGCAAACTGGTTGCTAGGTCAAAACTGCAAGCGTGCCGACGATCTTATTTTGACTATTTACACACCTACAAAGTTCATGAATGCGAGGATGGGTCGCAAAGTTACTTGTTCCATATTTGGAATGGTCACTAAACGAGACAGTCGCTAAACGAGGACTGCTTGTAAAATGGGATAGATTTGTAATCCGCTTCAATTTAGGTCAGGGGTCAGCAACCTGCAGCTCTGGAGCCGCATGTGGCTCTTCCACGCCTCTGCTGCGGCTCCGTCACTCAAAATATGCGTCACAAGTCGCCAATGTGTGATACCCACTGGCACGCGATTTATTGAGCTTTTCAACCCCTGGTAGGCCAACCATGGATAAATCCAAGAAAAGTAAAGTTTCAGAAGAAAACAGAACGTTTAATTCAACTACATTTGCTAATTTTGTGGCCGCTCAGGAAATAGTCAGGCACGGGAAGGGTTTTGTGGCTCCCGGTGTTTTCTTTTCTGTGGGGAACGGGTCCAAATGGCTCTTTGAGTGTTTAAGGTTGCAGACCCCTGATTTAAATGGATTAAACTATTTTAGAGTAAGTTTAACTTTTGGCCTATTGAGCGCTAACCACGATGCTGAATCCCGCTTTAGATTCTAACTTAAGACCAGACCAGAACAATATTATGGCTTAAAGATTATAGTTTGATCTTCTTTACCACGGGTTTCAATCACATCCTTGTGCTTTGCCCCAGGTGGGCGCTGAATCATGAAGACTGTGCCTCTGAGCATAACAAGAGTTGCTTTCCCCCTCCCCCTCCATGCCACAGTTAAATCCCAATTCCTTGGAAGGAAGGAAGGATTTGCGGGGGGGAAGAAGGGTAAAAGATTCGAGGGTAAATTTGGATGGTTTGAGAAACGCACGAGGGGATTTATTTATTTATTTATTTATTTATTTATTTATTTATTTATTTATTTATTTAATCAAATTTCTATACCGCCCTACTCCCGAAGGACTCAGGGCGGTGAACAGCCAAGATAAAATACAGATAATGCAAATATTAAAAATCCCTTAACATTGTTAAATATTTTGGCCGAAACACAGATTAAAACACCCAATTTATAAAATCACGAATTAAAAAATTTAAAAAATAATTTAAAAGAGGGGAATTAGGCCAGGCCAGGATGTCGGTCTTTAGCAATGGATGAAACTCCGTGTTTTCTTCCGAGCCATAATTTTTCTTCCTTTCTTCCTTCCTCTCCCCCCCCCTTGCCAATTTTCAGGGGTACGCCTTGATCGGGTTCGTGGGGGTCGCCAGAAATATAAGCGCCGGCCAGAGGTGGAGGGTGCCCCCTATCCCAGCACTTTTGTGACCCCGCAGATCGCCACAGCTACCGCCAAGAAGTCAGGTGAGTTCCCCGGATTGGTGAATCACCCCCATAATTTGGGGAGGGGGGTGCAGAAACCTCAGTTTTGGGATTCTACTTCTTGAGACGCTGCAAGGAGAGATGTATTTGCCTCCTCTGGATATACAGTACAAGTGCTGGGCGGATTCTGAGTTCGGCTGTTCTCCTGGCCAGCTGCAGACCAACAAACCATTGCTTGTTTAAGCGGGCTTGGCTGGCATACCTGCTGAGCCATCCCAGGATCTGCGGTGATGCAGGGTGATCCTGGACAAGGTTTCTTTGCCTTGGATAGTCCCTTGCTTTCTTTTCTTTCTTTTAAAAGGAAGGAAGGAAGGAAGGAGAGAAAGAAAGAAAGAAACAAAAAAGAAAGAAAGGGAAAGAAGGAAGAGAAAGAAAGAAAAAGAAAGGAAAGCAAGAAAGAAAGGAAAGAAAAGGAGGGAAGAAAAGAAGGAAGGGGAAAGAAGAAAGAAAGAAAAAGAAAGAAAGAAAGGAAAGGAAGGAAAGAAAAGGAGGGAGGAAAAGAAGGAAGGGGAAAGAAGAAAGAGAAAAAGAAAGGAAAGAGGAAGGAAAGGAGGGAGGAAGGAAAGGAAGGAAGGGGAAAGAAGAAAGAAGAAAGCAAGGGAGGGAAAGAAGGAAGAGAATGAAAGAAAAAGGAAAGTAAGAAATAAAGGAAAGAAAAGGAGGGAGGAACGGCAGGAAGGGAAAAGAAGAAAGGAAGGAAGGAAAGAAAGAAAGGAGGGAGGAAAGGAAGGAAGAAAGAAAAAGAAAAAGGAAGGAAAGGAAGGAAGGAAAGAAAAGGAGGGAAGGAAGAAAGGGGAAAGGAAGGAAGGAAGGAAAGAAAGAAAAGTAAGAAAGAAAGGAAAGAAAGAAAGAAAAGAAAGAAAAGAAAAGGAGGAAGGAAAGGAAGCAAGAGGAAAGAGAGAGAGAGAGAGAAAGAAAGAATGAAACCAGAGTGCATAGAGAGATCACGAAATATCTTCATTTTCTTTTACATCACTTTCATGAAAGTAATTTTTCTCCTCTATTTTTCTCCTCATCACACCCACCTATCCTAATTTTGATTTTTTTTCTCTCCTCTGTCTCACACACACAAATCCCCAGAGAATAGAGTTTTTTTGGTGTTTTTTTGGGGGGGGGTTGGGTTTAAAATTTGATTTATATGCCGCCCTTCTCCGGAGACTCAGGGCGGCTTACAATGCGTTACGCAATTAAGTCGGGGCCTCGTTCTCTCTTCCTTGACTTTTCTTCCCCCTCTTCCCTATCCGTTTTCACTTCTTAGTTTTCGCTTCTCTTTTTTTCTCCTGGGAAAAGAAAAAAACCCCCCAATCCCTTTCTCTTTCTCTTCCTTCCGATCGACCAGCTCCGATGAACACGATGGTGTCACACTTGTTGGTCGCGGAACCGGAAAAACTCTACGCCATGCCCGACCCGGCGCTTCCCGAAGGTCCCGCAAAAGCCGCGAGCACTTTGTGTGATCTGGCCGACCGGGAAATTGTGGTCATCATTGGCTGGGCCAAAAATATACCAGGTAAGCCACGAAATTTTCCATCTGTGCCCATTGCTCCCTTCTCGATGGTCATCTGCTTTCCTAGAGCAGCCATCCCAGTGCTGGTCTTCTGAGGAGGACCAAAAAAGTCCTCAGACCTATGACATTTCTCGCTTAGTGACCATTCAAAGGCCCTGGAAAAAAAAGGGACTTAACGACCATCGCACACGGTCAAGGGATCGAAATTTGGGCGCTTGGCAGCCGTCACGGAGTTACGACATCCTGTTTGTGACCTTCCCCAGCCAGCTTCCGACAAAGTCAATGGGGGGGTTGGGGGGGGAGGGAAGCCAGATTCACATAATGACCACCTGATTCATTTAATGACTTCAGGGATTCACTTAAGGACCGGAGCCAAAAAAATAATAATAATAATTATAAAATAGGATGGCTTTATAAATGCTTTACTTAGCAATGGAAATTCTGGTCTCCGTTGCAGTCATAAGTCGAGGACTTAGCTGTGCCCAGATCTCAACTCCTTCCAAATAGGCCATTAAAGTAGTGAAAAGTAGTTCAAACTTAGGAAGCTGAGCTGTTAATATTTCCTTTTTTTTTTGGTCTTAAAAACAAACTTTATTAGATTTTAAAAAAAATATATATATATAAAACATTCACAACCTTAAAATACAGTCAACAATATCAACAAACAAATAAAGTATATATAATGTATATAAGTACACATATATACAAAAACTTATTTTCCCTTTTTTTTCCCCTTAATGACGGTGTATAATTATTACTTTTAATTTCTTACTAAATTTTGACTTTACCTTCTTTTCCATTGGTTTATCCACTCATACCAACTGTCCTATATCTTAAAATACTGAGAGACTGTTAATATTTCCTAATGTCCTAATATTACCTAATAATTCTTATTTTATCAGCTCCTGCAAATCCTGACCTGCTAAAAGAGCATTCCATTAAAAAAAAACAAAAAAAACTTTGCTTTCTTGCACATACAAACTGTGGCATTTTAAATTAGAAGTTAAAATTAGGGGGGAGGAAAAGATATTCTTTAGAAATATCTTAAGATGGTTGCCTGTATATTGGTCCTTTCTGTACAGGTAATCCTTGACTTACAATCATTCCTTTAGTGATCGTTCCGATTTATAACGGCACTTATGACGCTCTAGGGCACTGCACACCAAAACAACTAGACACAAGAACAGTTTTTTCCCGAACACCATCACTCTGCTAAACAACTAATTCCCACAACACTGTCAAACTATTCACTAAGACTGAATTACTATTCTTCTTCTCTTCCTTACTAGTATCTGTCTCTTCCCACTTATTACCATAACCATGTTGCTTTTTCTTTCAATTATATTGTTTATATAGTACGATTTGATAGCTTATTAGTATCCTTGACTATCATTAAGTGTTGTAGCTTTTTATTCTTGATGAATGTAATTTATTCTCCTTATGAACACTGAGAGCTTATGCACCTAAGACAAATTCCTTGTGTGTCCAATCTCACTGGGCCAGTAAAAAATTCTGTTCTGTTCTGTTCTGTTCTGTTCTGTTCTATTCTATTCTATTCTATTCTATTCTTCTATTCTATTTTCTATTCTATTCTATTCCATTCCGTTTTCTATTCTAAACTCTTATTCTATTATACTCTACTCTACCCTTATTCTATTCTATTCTATTTATTTTCTATTCTATTCTGTTTTCTATTCTATTCTATTCCATTCCATTTTCTATTCTAAACTCTTATTCTACTCTACTCTACTCTACTCTAATTCTATTCTATTCTATTCTATTCTATTCTATTCTATTCTATTCTATTCTAATTTTTTCTATTCCATTCTATTCCATTTCATTCCATTTTCTATTCTAAACTCCTATTTTATTATTCTATTCTATTCGTTTATCATTTATTCTTATTCTATTCTATTCTATTCTATTCTATTCTATATTTTATTATCTACTTATTCTATTCTATTCTTATTTATTCTATTATCTATTTTATTATCTACTTATTCTATTCTTTTCTATTCTATTCTATTTTCCCACTTATGCAGCCAAGGTCAAACAATCAAATCTCATATTTACGACGGTCACGTGACCCCCTTTTGCGACCTTCTGACAACCAGAGCCAATGCAGAAACCAGATTCATTTAACAACCGTGTTACCCACTTAAACAAACTGCCGTGGTTCATTTAACAACCGTGGCAAGACAATGGGACCAAAACTCACTTAGCAACTCTCTTGTTTAGGAATAGAAATGCTGGGCTCAGTTGCGGTCGTAAGACGAGGACTACCTTGCAAGTAACCTGGGCAGATATCAGCCTCTGAATTTAACCCCCCACATTCGTGGTTTGCTTTTTCCGGCTCAGGGTTCCCAGCGTTGTCCTTGGCCGATCAGATGTCCGTCCTGCAGAGCGTCTGGCTGGAGGTTTTGCTCCTTGGCGTCGCCTGGCGTTCGCTGCCTTGTGAAGATGAGATTGTGTTTGCGGAAGATTTCGCGCTCGACGAAGAGGCGGCCCGGACGGCGGGACTGCTGGAGCTGAGCAGCGTAGTCCTCCAGCTGGTGCGAAAATACCGGGCGCTGCGCTTGGAACGCGAGGAATATGTGCTGCTGAAGGCGTTGGCCCTTGCCAACTCAGGTGAGTTCAGAGAAGAGGCTGGGTCTTGTCTTGCTTAGAAACCAGGAGACAGTGAGTTCCAGTTCCACCTCAGGCATGAAAGGCCACTGGTTAACTTGGACTAATCACCAGGAGACTGAGTTCTAGTTCCACCTCAGGCATGAAAGTCCACTGGTTAACTTGGGCCAATCACCAGAAAACGGTGAGTTCTAGTTCCACCTTAGACATGAAAGCCCATGGGGTTAAGTTGGGCCAGTCACCAGGAGACAGTGAGTTCTAGTCCCGCCTTAGGCATGAAAACCATCTGGGTTAACTTGGGCCAACCACCAGGAGACGGTGAGTTCTAGTCCTGCCTTAGGCATGAAAACCATCTGGGTTAACTTGGGCCAATCACCAGGAGACTTGTGAGTTCTAGTCCTGCCTTAGGCATGAAAACCATCTGGGTTAACTTGGGCCAATCACCAGGAGACTTGTGAGTTCTAGTTCCACCTCAGACATGAAAGCCCAATGGGTTAACTTGGGCCAATCACCACGAGACGGTGAGTTCTAGTCCTGCCTTATGCATGAAAGGTCACTGGTTAACTTGGGCCAACCACCAGGAGACGGTGAGTTCTAGTTCCACCTTAGACATGAAAACCATCTGGGTTAACTTGGGCCAACCACCAGGAGACGGTGAGTTCTAGTCCCGCCTTAGGCATGAAAACCATCTGGGTTAACTTGTGCCAACCACCAGGAGACTGTGAGTTCTAGTCCTGCCTTAGGCATGAAAACCATCTTGGTTAACTTGGGTCAATCACCAGGAGACTGTGAGTTCTAGTCCTGCCTTAGGCATGAAAACCATCTTGGTTAACTTGGGTCAATCACCAGGAGACGGTGAGTTCTAGTCCCGCCTTAGGCATGAAAACCATCTGGGTTAACTTGGGTCAATCACCAGGAGACGGTGAGTTCTAGTCCTGCTTTAGGCATGAAAACCATCTGGGTTAACTTGGGCCAATCACCAGGAGACAGTGAGTTCTAGTTCCACCTCAGGCATGAAAGCCCAATGGGTTAACTGGGACCAACCACCAGGAGACGGTGAGTTCTAGTTCCAATCCATCCCTGCAATCCCGTCGCCTTCCTTTCTGCCTTCCAGACTCCGTTCATATCGAGGACATGGCAGCCGTGCAACGCCTCCGGGACGTCCTTCACGAGGCGTTGCTGGAGTACGAAGCCTCGCGGCGCCCCGAGGAGCCTCGCCGAGCCGGCCGCCTTTTGCTGACCCTCCCGCTGCTGCGCCAAACGGCCACCCGGGTGCTGCACCACTTCTACAGCCTGAAGCTGGAAGGCAAAATCCCCATGCATAAGCTCTTCCTGGAGATGTTGGAAGCCATGATGGACTGAAGGCAGGACAGGCTGAGAATTGGGGTCAGGATTCAGGAGGGTGGGGGAGCCCAGGCATCCAGGGCGGGGGCGGGAGATGGGGGGTGGGTGGGCAAAGCACGCGACAGAGACCAGCAGCCGCAGAGGCCCGGATGCGGATTCTTCCACCCTCTGAATCCCCGCCACGGCTATCGCGCTACTAATATGCATTTCACCTTATGCAAACCTCGCGGTCGCCTCCCACCCCCCCCAAGCTTCGCGCACCGCGGAGGACGACATCACTGCAACGCAGGCGCCACGGCAATCCTTCCCGGATTTGATTTTGACACCCGGGGCCGGTTGGTGGAGACAGGGACAAAATGTTTTGGAAGCCATATTTTAATTTTAATTTATTGATCGGGAAGTGGGGGAGGGGGCAGGGAAGGAGATTAGAGGAGGGCTTCTCCTCCTTGGCAGCAGGAAGGGGGGGGGGGGGGTTGGACTTCAGTTCCCAGAATTCCCCAGTCAGCCTGCTTTAAGTGGGGGGGGGGAGATTTTGACTCCCAGAATTCCTCAGGCAACTTCAATTCCCAGAATTCCCCAGTCAGCCTGCTTTAAGGGAGGGGGGGATTTTGACTCCCACAATTCCTCAGGCAAGAGAGGTGGACATCAATTCCCAGAATTCCCCAGCTAGCATATTTTTGGCATGGGTGGACTTCGACTCCCAGAATTCCCCAGCCAGCAATGCTTTTAAGATGGGTGGACTTCAGGTCCCAGAATTCCTCAGGCAACATGCTTTTAAGAGGGGGTGAACTTCAACTCCCAGAATTCCCTAGCAAGCACGCTTTCAGCTGGGTTGGACTTCGACTCCCAGAATTCACGCAGGCTGAGGAATTCTGGGAGCTGTAGTCCAGCCTTCTATCCGCCGAGTTTGATAAAAAGAGCAGATCAGATCCTGTAGCACTAACAATTCTGGGTTTACAGGATGGGGGAGGGGGGGAAATCGGAGGTGTCCCACCCCAGATGGGGCAAGAGAGTCTTGTTTGGGGGGGGGCACCCAAGCCGAATGTCTCTGTGGGTCTATTTTGGGGAAGGGTCCTTTCCTGTTGCTTAAATTTTCTTCCCGGTGTCTCTTCGTTCATACACTTGGGCGATGTACCCCGCGATCCAAAGCACCTTAAGACATTGTGGGAAGTTACGGCTCCAGGAATTTTGGGATGTAGACAATGGGAAGGGTGGGGGGATGGAGAAGGGAGGGCACGGGACAACCCCCCCCTCTCCTTCATTTTGCCTTTGCGTGCTTGGTCTTCATGCAACCTCAGGGGAGTGATACTCCTCCGCCTTTCTCTGCCCCATTCCTTCCATCTTGCCTCCTTCTCTCCTTCTCCCCCCCCCCCCCGAATTATCCCTTTGAAGCAATAACTTTGAATTTTTTTAAAAAACGGGATGCGAGAGTTGGGGGGGGGTCTCCGAGGGGTAGGGGGGCTGCCTGGTATCGCACGCAACCTGCCTTCAAAGCCAGGAAAGTGGTGGGCTGCGGTGAAGGAGCAAGCCCCCCCCCCACTCCGAGACAGAATAATAAAAATAAAAATAAAGGCCGGTCCTTTCGTTCTGCATCCTTCACCGAATTCCCACATAGCAATAGTTCAAAAGGCAATTTTTTTGCTTTTCTTTTCAGGTGTGAGGCCCTGTCTCCCCCTCCCTTCCCCACCTCCGTCCAAAGCAATAAAAAGAACCCCCCCACCACCTTATTTTCCCACCCGCACCCCTCTCAATTCCTTTCCTTCCCGCTAAAAGTCGGAAGGGAGGCCCATAGTGGCTTGAACGGGACATAGCCGTGTACATAGCAATATATTTTATTGTATATTTGTTGCAGGAAAAAAAAAAAATTTAAAAAAGGGGAAAAGATCTTGGGACACCCTGTTTCCTTCCCCAATGAGGCAGGTGTGATATTCTTCTTGGGGAAGGGAGTGGGGGGGGAAAAAACGGAAAGATGGGGAAAAAAAACAAGACGCTGGATTTTTTTTTTTTAATTAAATTATGTGTGTGTACATATTATAAATACTCTGATTTGTGTATAGGCGGTTATACATTCATAGAGAGCTCTATTAATGAAAGAATTAAAAGGCGGCCAATGCAGCCTCTGGCAACAATTTAAGTCTCTGTCCTCTGATTGACAGCAGCTGTTTTCGAGGAATTCGAACTCGCTGCCAGCCAGGGAAGAAGATCCAGCTAGATAATTTGATGTGTCATTTATTTATGATCGCCGCTGATATTTGAGGGGTTAGGGGCTGCCACGGAGAGAAAGGGGGGGCGGTCAAGCTATTCTCCAAAGCACCCGAAGTCCAGACAAGGAATAATGGATGGAAACTGAACAAGAAGAGATTCAACCTGGAAATAAGGAGGAATTTTCTGACAGTGACAACAATCAATCCATAAAACAGAAGATGCCTTCAAAAGTTGTGGGAGCTTCATCACTGGAAGCTTTCAAGAAGAAACTGGACTGCAAGGCGGAGAAAGGGAATTAGAAAATTAGGAATTTTCATTCAAAATAATGAAAAAAGCTGTATTTTAGAAGCCTCAAACAGGAAGTCCTTTGTAATTCCTGACCAAGCTTGGATGCCTTAATATAGAGATTTCCTTTCCCACTTTTTCAAATGTTTTTTTTTTTAAAAAAAAGATTGAAATGAGAGGAAGGCTGACATTCCAATAAGCTTTTTTTTGCTTTTTGCAAAGCATAACTACTTGGGATAAGCATTTGGGAGCAAAGCAGCGCTGGGTACTTGCCCAGAATAAAAACAAAAGAAAAACTTTGAACAAAAGAAATAGGAACATCGCTTCCAGAATATACGAGGGTTTTAGAACCAGAGGAATGGGAGACGGGAGAGGAAGAATTTTGCAAAAATAAACTACAAACTGCTACAGGTAGTCCTTGATTTATGACGACAATTGGTCCGGAACTTCTGTTGCTAAATAAATGATGCCGTTGTTAAATGAATCATCACAAGACTATGGGTGATTTTACCACATTTTTATTAAGCATGGAATTCCACCCTGAATCACATTCTAGCATCCGTTGTTACATTTGAGTCAAAAAAAATTTTTTGCTCCTGGGCAGCTTTTTTTCTGACTGCGGCATCACGCGTTTTCTTCCTTGGCAAGCAAAAATACTCAATTTTTAAAAACAGCAAATAATAACATTTTAAAGCATGGAAATCCACCCCGATTCACATTCTAGCATCCGTTGTTACATTTGAGTCAAAAAAAAAATTTTTGGTCCTGGGCAGATTTTTTTCTGACCACGGCATCACGCGTTTTCTTCCTCGGGCAGCAAAAACACTCGATTTTTAAAAACAGCTAATAATAACATTTTTAAGCATGGAATTCCACCCCGAACCACATTCTAGCATTCGTTTTTACGGATTTGAGAAAGAGAAATGGCAGATGTGGAAAAATAAAATAAAATAAAATCGGGACTTCGATGTAGTATGTCAAGTGTAAACTGTGTGGCTTGGAACTGGATCCTTTTGTGATCCTACGAGGGATTTTTAAAGCCATTTTTTTAGTCCATTCCTCAGTGATGAACTAAGCAAACCCTTCGTGGCCTGAAACCAATCCTTTGTTTTTTTAAAAAATGGATCTTTTATGATTTATTAGGCATTTAAATCATTTTAGCCCACTTCTCAATTAAGAGGACTCTTTTAATAAAGTGTTTCAATTAAGCAGTTCGGTTAATAAGCAGAGGGTTGGACTAGACAACCTCCCAAGGTCCCTTCGAACCCTATTATACTTTTAAGAGCTAAGTACCTCGAGACCGGATCCCTTTTATGATTTATTCGGCAATTTAAAGCCTTTTTAATCCCACTCCTCAAAAACTCAGCACCCCTTAGTAGCTTGAGTGGATCCTTTTCATGATTTAAAAGCTTTTTCAATCCCCCTCCTCAGAAACTCGGGTTCCCTTTGTGGTGTGAGAGTGGATCCTTTTTTTTGATTTATTAGATATTTAAAGCCTTTTTAACCCACTCCTCCATTTAGGACCCGTTCCTAGCCCCTAAAACGGGATCCTGTTATATTTGCCTATATTTGGCACTTTAACCCGCTCTTCAATTTAGCACTCCTTCCCTTACTCTGAACCGGGATCCTTTTAACTCACTCAATTTAGCAATCCTTGCTACCGAGAAACTTGGATCCATTTTATGATCTATTAGGCATTTAAAGCCTTTTCCAGCCACTCATTAGAGCAACTGGCTGATCCGTTCACCTATCTGCCCATCAAATATCATTTGCAAAAGGGTGGAAATAGGTCACCGCTCTTAAGCGAGAGGCAGAGAGCACAGCCAGATCTCTGGAGCAAAGGACCCATCAGAGGATCCCTCTGCATGCCAAGGAGCTTTCGATCTGTTTTTTGACCCGTGAGATTCCTCCCAGGGGGAGGTGCACCGTTCCTGGAGGTACTGCAATACCAGGCCGATGCTTGGAGTGGACGGAGCAAGCCCCTATTCCATCTCCCAGTTCCAAAAATCCATTTAATATGTAGTCCTCAAATAGAGGACATATCAGATATTAAACTGATAAGAACAGATACTACACTTGATCTTAGCCAAAAGGCCGAGAAGCGATACCGGAGTCAGGCGGACGGGGCCCAAGACTCCCGTCCGGAGGCTCCTCCAGGTTTTGGGGAGCGCGACAGGGTGGCAAAGAGATCCCAGGGGATCAATTCTTCCCAGTTCTTTGTCAGGGCTGGATCGCAACAGCATCTCCCGTGGGGCGATTTGGGGGTGAAAATGGGGTTTTTTTCTCCCCTCTGCGCATTTCCCATCATGCCAGCTGGCTGTCCGGGTGGCGATTGGTGGATGATTTGCATAGAGTGAGTCACCCTTTCCGTCACTCTTCTCCCCTGTCATTCCTCAGATGGCCGAGGGGGGCACTAGCACCCACCACCACCTGCAAAAGGGGCCAGGAGGGCAGAGATGGGCTGGGACTCCAAAGCTCTGCCGTGGCATCTCCTGGACAGGACCCACCAGCTCAGCATGATGGGCCCAGATGTCCTCTCCCCCCACCTCTCCGGCAGCTGCGTTTAGGCATTACTCTGGGGCTTCAGTCCCAGACATCCATGCCACCTTCGTGGCTCAGAGGGGTCCTGAATTATGGAGTGGGGTGGTTGCAGTAGTATGTATTTGGGGAGGGAAGAGAAAGGAGGAAGGAAAAAAGGACAGAGAGAGAGAGAGAGAGAAAAACAAAAAGAAAGGGACGGAAGGAAGGAAAGACAGGGAGGGACGGAAGGAGGGACGGAAGAGGAAGGGAGGGAAAAGAAGGGAGGGAGGAAAGTGGGAGGAAGTAAGGAAGAAAGGAAGGAAAAAGAAGGGAGGGGAGGAGAGGGAGGGAGGAAAGAACGATGGAAGGAAGAAAAAGAGGAAGGAGGGAGGGAGGGAGGAAGGAGGGAGGGAGGAAAGACGGAAGGAGGGAAGAAAAGATAGGAAGGAAGAAGGAAGGAGGGAGGAAAGACAGAAGGAGGGAAGAAAAGTTGGGAAGGAAGAAGGGAGGGAGAGGAAGAGGAAGGAAGGAAGGATGGAAAGACAGGGAGGGAGGGAGGAAGGGATGGAAGAGGGAAGAATGAAAAAGGGAGGGACGGAGGAAGGGAGGAAAAAGAAGGGAGGGAGGAAAGTGGGAGGAAGTAAGGAAGAAAGGAAGGAAAAAGGAGGGAGGAAAAGGATGGAAGGAAGGAAGGAAAAGGGAGAAAAGAGAGAGGGAGGAAGGGTAAGAAGACGAAAGGAAGGAAGGAAAAAGGAAGGAAAGATGGAGAGAGGAAAGAGGGAGGGAGGGAAGGAAAGATGGGAAGGAAGGAAAGAGGGAGGGAGGAAGGAAGGGAGGAAGGAAGGGAGGAAGGAAGGAAAGACAGAGGGAGGGGAGGAGGAAGGAAGGAAGGTTCTAGGAAATACACTGGGTTAATTTGCCGTCCATTCCAAGGTTCCAAATATTGGGCTCAATTGTGATCATAAGTCGGGGACTATCTGTACTGGAACTGCTTTGAGAAAACTTATTTATCCGATTTTTGGCATGATCAGACTAGTCTAAAATACGGCATTGTTGCAGTCCTCACATGGGTGGATGCTACGACGGTTTGTAAGTGCAAAGCCCAGTCATAAGACTTTTTTTTCCCCCAGTGCTGTTGTAACTTTGAACGGTCACTAAATGACAAGGTTGTAAGTTGAGGACGACCTGTAGCGAATTGACTCAGTTTAGGCATGTGATTAAGGGACCAAACTAGAACAGGGGTCTTGCAACCTTAAAGACTCAAAAGAGCCATTTGGACCCGTTTCCCACAGAAAAGAAAACACCGGGAGCCACAAAAACCCTTCCCGTGCCTGACTTATTTCTTCAGCGGCCACAAAACTAGCCTAGGTAGTTGAATGAAACGTTCTGTTTTCTTCTGAAACTTTTTTCTTGGATTTATCCATGGTTGGCCTACCGGGGGTAGAAAAGCTCAATAAATCGCGTGCCGGCAGGTGTCGCACATTGGCGGTTGTGATGCATATTTTGAGTGACGGAGCCGCAGCAGAGGGGTGAAAGAGCCACATGCGGCTCCAGAGCTGCAGGTTGCTGACCCCTGAACTAGAAAGTGGGAGATGGTGAATTCTAGTTCTGCCTTAAGAATGAAAGCTGGTTGGGTGACATTGGGCCAATCCCCAGGAGACGGTGACTTCTAGTTCCACCTTAGCCATGAAGGCTGGCTGGGTGACTTGGAGCCATTCCCCTTTCTGTTCGGTCCACCTCACAAGGTTGTTGTTGTGGGGATAAAAGGAAGGAAGGTGTGTTGGATATTTACCACCTCAAGTTATTTGTAAAAATAAAGGCAGGATACAAATAAATACAATATTTTTTTTTTCTCTAGCTATACTATCCATTAAGTGGGTTCGATCCTAGGTAGAGGCAGATATTTCTCTCTCTGGGCACACTGAGAATATATCTGCCGAATAAAACTCCGCACTGGCTACAGGGAGGGCATCCGGCCAGTAAACACTCAGCTCCATGTAATTTCCCAGAATCTACCCCGCAAGGGATTACAGGATTGTCAAATGACAATGATATAGTATCCATTGAGTATTAAACAAAAGCTGCTTGCTTTATTCTCCAGGGTTGTAAATGTGTTGTCCAAGAAACCATAAATCATTAGTGGTTTGTCTGTAAATCAACCAATACTCCTTCTGTGAATGCACCAAAGTGCTAATTTACTTGCTACAGTTTTTAATGTTTTGTTATGCACCATTGAAACAGCAATCTGAAAATGTTATAAAACATCCAGCAGAAAGTCAAGCTTTTCAAAATATAATTTATTGTATAGAAATGAAACGGGGGGGAAAAAGGATTTTGTCCCAAACAGAAAACAATCCACATAAAAGAAAACTCAAAAGACAATAAAGTGCGACAATTTAAAGAATTTTAATTTAATTAGATTAAATCGGGCCTTCATTTAAACTGAATCAGGGTTATGTACGGAAGAAACTTCGATACTCAAATTATATTCAATCATTATTAATAGGTGCCAAATTTAAATAGGCTGTAGGATGCCAGCTCTGAGATTTACTGATCTTTTTAAAAATGACACCATCACATTTGTTTTAAAAAAAAATGTAATTATTGGTAACAGCTTTGAATAACTCGAAAAGTACATATAGGAATAGGCAAAGAAATACATAAAATTAATACACTGCAGATTATTTTTCTGAAGTCTTTTGAAGTCCTGGATGTCTTTTCTGTTTGCCGATCTTCAGTTTTCTTGGTTACACCTCAATCTTGTCCAAACCCTTGTCCAAAAAAGAAAGAATTAAATTAGCAAAATAGCGACATCCTAACACATTATGCTCAGACCAAGAAGCCACATTTTCTACTCATGCCATACAACCTCCCCCACAAATCTCTCACCCTTTTGTAACCTAGTCGCTTACATGAAGTCTTTTTCCCAAACATACGTGCATTGATTATCCAAATTAAAAAAAAAAATCACTTGCAGGTTTTCGCTCATTGTTCACCTTTTCTTAATCCACGCTTCTATTCGTCAGCTAGTATTGTTTTATAATGTTGCTGTAAATCACCCAGAGTTCCTTAGGGGTGAGATGGATGGTGCAGAAATTTAATAAATAAACTCAGAAGATGTGGGATAAAAGTTTATAGGTAATCCTTGACTTACAACCATTTGTTTTAGTGACTGATTGAGGTTGCAACGGCATTGGGGGGAAAAAAGTGATTTATGGCCATTTTTCAGAGTTACGACGTTGCAGCATCCCCCTGATCAAAATTGAGACTCTTGTCAATTGTTATCCCCTTTACTACAGTCAGTCAGTAGAGAAACCGGTTCACTTGCAAGCATCCCCATGAGGAAGGGATGAAAATTCAGTGGCATCCGACTCATATTTATGACAGCGACAGTGTCCTGGGGTCCCGTTTTGTGACCGTCTGGCAAGTCATGGGGGAGACATATTCACTTTACAGCCGTGTTACTAGGTTAAACGACTGCAATGATTCCCTTAGCAACAGTGGCAACCAAGGTCATAAAATGAGACAAAGCTCACTTAACAAGTGTCTTGCTTAGCCACAGAAATTTGTCGTCGTACGTCGAGGACCACCTGTACCGTAAAAGGGAATCTGGCGTGTCCCAGTGCTTGAGGATAGAACCAGCAGATGGGAAAACCGCTGGCACCGAAGACATGACATTGGGCAGTATTTTTTTTACCTCCGCACATTACAGAAATGGGTACAGGAAGACCCAATCCTGCCAAGAAAGGGAGGCTTTGATCTTTCAGGAAGGAGGAGAAGAGACGAAGGAAAGAAGGAAAAAAGACAAAGGAAGGAAAAAGGAGAAAAGGAAAAGAGAAAGAAAGAAAGAAAAAAAAAAGAAAAAAGGTGAAAGAAAAGAGAATGCAACATCAGTCCAACTTCTACCATCTTCTAATCTTTTAGCTTGTGGTGCCCCCAGGCTTGGAAAGGAACAGGAAACCACGTTTTTAAGAGAGAGTAAGAAGGATCCAGGTGCGGGTGTACGATTTAAGAGAGTGGCACCCCTAAATTTCCCAGCAGGAATATCCCAATAGGGGAATCTTTTGTAGAGAGACATTGGATTCCCTTTGCTCCATACATTGGAGAAATGTCGGGATTAAAGTGATCCATCCTCACCTGTTGTTCTTTCCGGAGTCTCATCTCCTACATCCCTAAAAAGATTTTTTAAAGGATCAGGTTGGCTTTTAGCTCCCACGGATTGGATGATCGCCACGAATCATCGCTCTGGGATCTTTTTTGAGATCTCCTGCCGTCCTTAGGTTGTCGGGGATCTGTGATTCAGCCTTTCTCTAACCTCCACGTGGCTTCCCAACGTCTCAGAGCGGATCTCCAATCAGGGCATTGTAACTCCCCCCAGCAATCTCGGCTCTTTGTCTCTCGATCCACGTGGCTCTTGACTTTTTCTGAGGAGGGGGCATTAAGGATGCCCTTCTCCATCTTTTTTTCTGTTTCTTGCCCTGCTGGGAAGCCAGATCGGTGGCTGTATAAAAGGAAGAGAAAGAATGGGAAAGGAAGGAAGGGGAAAAAAAGAAAGAAGGTAAAGGGAAAGATAGAAAAGGAGGGAAAGGAAGGAAAAGAAAAAGGGAAAAAAGGAAAGGAAAAAAAGGAAAGAGAATGAAAGAAGAAAAGAAAGAAATTGAAAGGAAGGAAGGGAAAGAAAAAAGGGAAAGAAAGATAGGAAAGGAGGGAAAGGAAGGAAAAGAAAAAGGGAAGGAAAGGAAAGGAAAATAAAAAAGGGAAAGAGAATGAAAGGAAGGAAGGAAAAGAAATAAAAGGAAGGGAGGGAAAGAAAAAAGAAAGGGAAAGAACGATAGAAAAGGAGGAAAAGAAAGAAAATGAAAGGAAGGGAAAGAGAAAAATAGAAAAGGAGGGAAAGGAAGGGAAAGAAAAAGGGAAGAAAAGAAGGAATGGAAAAAGGGAAAGAAAGGTTAAGAGAAAAAGGAAGGAAGAGAAAGATAATGAAAGAAAGGGGAAAGATAGAAGGAAAAGACAGGAAGGGAGAAAAAGAGAGAAAGGATATTATATATTAATATATAATAATTTATATTAATATAATATAAAAGACGAGCTCTCTCCAGGGCAGGGCGAAATCAAAGGAGAAGCACGGACTAGGAATCCAGTCGATCCCTTTGAAGAAGAATTTAATTTAATTTAATTTAATTTGTAAACCTACCTGCCTTTCCTTCCTCTGCAGGGAGCATCGATTTCGAAAAGAAAGCGAGGAGACCACGTGGCCCATTCATAAAAACTCCGAGACAGCCACCGTAAAGGGGAGGAGCCAGCCCAACTCGCTTTCTGATTGGCCGTTCTGTTTGGGCCAATCAGGATGAGGATACCACCGCGTGTCGCGGCGCCTGTTGTACGTCATCCGCGGCGCCTACCCGGAAATTAAAACCTATGGTAAAGAAGTCGGACACGTGGTTTTCATCATGGTTGCTCCTTCCGGGAAGGTTAACCGGCCGCGGACGGTAATTAATTCTAACATATTTAAGAAATATTATTAATAATAATAATAAAGTGCTTAAAACCGGCCGCGGACGGTAACTAATTCTAACATATTTAAGAAATATTATTATTAATAATAAAGTGCTTATTTGTTAAGGGGCTTAAATTAGGGGTATTATTTATTCAATTCTGGGATATTTAAGAAATAAAAAAAAATTACAGGGCTTATTATCTATCTATCTGAATTCCCCTGTTCCTTCCCTTCTTCTTTCTGTCTTCCTTTCTCTCTCTCTCTCTCTCTCTCTATTGTTATCTCCTTCCTTCCTCCCTCCCTCTAATCTAATTATTTATTATTATGAATAAATATTATTAATTGTTATTAAAATAATATAATTATTACATATAATTAATTATCGTCAGACGATGTAGAAGTTTATCCCAAGCATGTTTAAACTCAGTTAAATCAGGAATTTTATTTATTTATTTATTCATTATTTATTTTGTTGGCTAATGTAGGTATTTATCCCAAGCGTGTTTAAACTCAGTTAAATCAGGAATTTTATTTATTCATTCATTCGTTTATTTTGTTGGCTAAGGTAGGTATTTATCCCAAGCGTGTTTAAACTCAGTTAAATCAGGAATTTTATTTATTTATTTATTCATTATTTATTTTGTTGGCTAATGTAGGTATTTATCCCAAGTGTGTTTAAACTCAGTTAAATCAGGAATTTTATTTATTTATTCATTCATTCATTCGTTTATTTTGTTGGCTAAGGTAGGTATTTATCCCAAGCGTGTTTAAACTCAGTTAAATCAGGAATTTTATTTATTCATTCATTCATTCATTCGTTTATTTTGTTGGCTAAGGTAGGTGTTTATCCCAAGCGTGTTTAAACTCAGTTACTGATGACTCTGACCCGCTAACTTCCAGTGGAGGTTAAAGACGCTTGGGATAAAGACACCTTTGAGGTGCCCAACTGCCATTTTTCTGCAGTTGTTTTTTTTTTTTTAATTTTTGCGGTGGCGGCTCTTTGTAAAGACGACTTCTTCTCTTGTGTCAGGAGCTGCGGAAAAAACTCTTCAAACGGCGCCGGGTGCTGAGCAAGGAGAAGAGAAAGAAACACCGGATTGTGGGAGCAGTGGTGGATGAAGGCCTGATCACCGTTCATCACCTGAAAAAGCGATCGTGAGTCGTATTCGCTTTGGTTGCTTATCTCTGGGGAAGGAAAATGTGCAAGCCAATTAAATGCTGTAATATAAAACTGTCAAGTTGTCTTTCTGACCTGGGGAATCCTGGGAGTTGAAGTCCATCCCTCTCAAAGCATGCTGGATGGGGAATTCTGAAAGCTGAAGTCCATCCCTCAAAATATGCTGGATGGGGAATTCTGGGAGTCATAAAGTCTACCCATTTTAAAGCATGCTGGCTGGGGAATTCTGGGAATCGAAGTCTACCCATTTTAAAGTTGGTGGAAATTGAGAAGCACTGATTTAGAGGACCAATTTGTTTTTTTTTTCTAAATTCACGAGTCAACCTTAAAACATTTCTTCTCTGTTTGTAAATTACCTTCTCTTCTTCCAGATCTAGTTCACGGGCAAACATTACTCTCTCGGGAAAGAAGAAAAGAAAACTGCTAAAACAACTGCGTCACGCCACTAAGGAAAAAGCAGAAATGCAGGGTAAATTCTCTTCCCTCTAGTTGGGGAAAATGAATTTGGGTGTGTGCCATTCATAGAAGGTGGAAGACAGAAATGTTCCACACCCAGAGAGAGTGAGATAGGAGATTTGAGTTCCTGTTCTTCTTATCTTTTGATCAACGCCTAATTGTTGCCTTCAAAGCATTTCCAAGGATTCTTTGATTTTGTTATACTTCCTTTTTTTTTCTTGTAATAGTACAGCAGTGTGAGATGAAATAACAGGAAAAAAAACTCTGATGAGTTTATAAAGGGCTACGTAGATAGAGGAGAATCTATCTATCTATCTATCTATCTATCTATCTATCTATCTATCTATCTATAAATGGCTCTGTGTTTGTATGTTCCAGCATAACTCTGGAACACCTCGAGCAATTTCAACCAAACTTTGCACACAGATTACTTACTCTGTGGAAAAAAATACTGTGGGAGTAAGACACTCCTAACACCCTTCAGTGTGTCTGTGTGTGTATGTTCCAGCATAACTCTGGAATGCCTGGGCCACTGAAATGAAAAGGAATTAATTATATCTATAGTGTCAAATCACAACACTTTTGACAGTGATGTGCATTTTGGAATCAAGTTCTGTTAAGATACAGCCTTAAAATGGCTTCTACTGTACAGCACAGTTGAGTTGCCATGGTAACGGCTTCACAGTAGTCCACAAGGGGGCTCCCTCTGGTAAGGGGGATTGGTTCTTAAAAAAAATTTTTTTTTACTGTTTCCATCTTTTCTTTTGTACAGTTGATGTTTCTCCTGCTCGGGGTGGAAAAAGGAAGAAGAAAAAGGAGGCAACTCCAAAAGACTGTCCAGATGTTGAGATGGTGGCAGCTGACATGGCACCAGGATTGGAAAGTTGAACCTGGCTTCTGAAATCTTGAAAACCGTTTCTCTTTTCCAGCCTACCAGTGACAGCATTCCTAGTCGGGGTAGGGCTGGGGGTGGGGTGGAAGAGGAAAAATCAGATTACCAAAAACTAGAAAAATCAGCTTTTGAACCTGTTTAGCTCCATAAAATTTGTTTGCTTTTAACAAGGAATTTAAACCTATCAGACCACGGTTTGAAAGGGTGTGTCTGATCCTTTTTTCTTTTGACAAGCAGCTCCCAATTCCTGAATTTGAGGAGTTACAAAATCATTTAAAGTTTAGCTGGTCTGAAGTTGTACCTCAAAAGGGGTGCTTGATAAGATAGAAGTTTTACATGTGTAAGCTGTGGAGTCATTTAAGAATGTCAGTGGCCATGCCAGATTACGGCACAAATACTTGGAACCGTTCATGTGTACAGTTAATCTTCATATATGTGAGACGCCAACTTTTTTCAGCGGTGGCAACCAGTTTCCATTGAAAGAGAAGTGCGCAGGCAGAGATGTCTGTTTTAACGTGTTCAAATTTTCTGTATTCTTATCCATATAATAAACTGACAAAAAAAAACAAACACCCTGTGTCTTGCTTTAGTACATAAAGGTTCCCCTCGTACACATGTGCTAGTCGTTCCCGACTCTAGGGGGCGGTGCTCATCTCCATTTCAAAGCCGAAGAGCCAGCGCTGTCCAAAGACGTCTCCGTGGTCATGTGGCCGGCATGACTCAATGCCAAAGGCGCACGGAACGCTGTTCCCTTCCCACTAAAGGTGGTCCCTATTTTTCTACTTGCATTTTTTACCTGCTTTCGAACTGCTAGGTTGTAGGCCAAGTAATGGGAGCTCACCCCGTGACGCAGCACTAGGGATTTGAACTGCTGAACTGCCGATCTTTCGATTGACAAGCTCTGCGTCTAAGCCACTGAGCCACTGCATCCCTTGTTTTAGTGTGTGTGTGTGTGTGTATACACACACACACACACATACACACACATTTGTGTTGAGGAAGAAGGGAAAGAATATGGCTAGTTGGTACATTGTGTGCATGGTGCATTTGACAGTGGCTATTGTCTAAACTATGAAATGGGAGCTAGTTATTTCCAGAAAAGCATATTGACTGGTCCAGGTTCTTGCCTGTTGAAATCGGCAACACTGAGCCATATGAAATTATTAACCATGGCTAATAAACCACGGGGACTGGGCAGGATTGTCTGGGACGCTACACATCCTGTTCACAACCTGTTTTCCTTGTTGCCTTCTGGGAGCGGGGCTTCTTGGTATCCGAAAGCAGAACATCCAGATTCGGTCACAGTTTTGTTCCATATAGCATCAACCTTGTGAACTCTCAAGTTTCCTCTCTCCACTATGTATTCAAAATGGACAAGTGATTAATATACTGTATTATCAAATCAGTGGAACAGCTTGCCTCGCCTCCAGAAGTTGTAAATGCTCCAATGCTGGAAGTTTTTAAGAAGAGATTGGAGAACCATTTGTCTGAAATGGTGTAGGGTTTCCTGCCTAAGCAGGGGGTTGGACTAGAAGACCCCCAAATTTCAATTTATTATTCTCATCCCATTCCCATTCCATTTTCTATTCTATTCCATTTTCTATTCTGTAAAAAATGGAAAAAAAATTTCTATTCCATTCCATTCTTATTCTATTCTATTCTATTCTATTCTATTCTATTCTATTCTATTCTATTCTATTCTATTCTATTCTATTCTATTCTATTCTATTCTATTCTATTCTATTCTATTCTATTCCCTCTGAATATGAACCCGCTTCGAGGCTGTGCGGAACGTTTGTTTCAGAGTCGAAGAACCCCGTGGGACTCTTCGTCAGGTGACGCTCTCGGTCCGCCCTTTTAATTCTTCCCCCATGCTCAGGCCCAGCGTGCGCAGGCGCAAAAGAGGAAAACAAGTGGGGGGAAAAAGGGGTTTTTTAATCCGTTTTGTAGGCGTCTCGGCCGTATAGCCTGCATGTCCGCACTATGCGATCCGGCGGGGGTGGTGGGGCCTCCGGGGTCCGCCCCGAGCCCCAAACCGGCCGCCGCGCCTCCGTCGCTCAGGTAGTTGTGGGTGGGGAGGGGGGGGAAAAGGAGGGAAGTTTTCGAAATCATGGCCCCCAACCGTTCAGGGTTGCCATGGTGATCTCTGGCAGGTGCAAAAGGGGTGCAAAGGCTTTGCCCCGAAGAGATTTCCAGGCCTTCCTCAAAAGGGGCAGCCGACGAGGAAGAAGAGGGAAGGGTGGGTGGGTGGAGAAAGGAGAGTCAATGAATGCTTGCAATTAATTAGCTTTTTAAAACCAGGATGGTGTTCACTGGACAGTAAAATACTAGGGGTGGTTTTTTTTTTTTTTTTTCCTCCTTAAGATCAATACATGTTAGGTTTCTTTCAAACGAGGGTGAAGGCGATGCTGTGTTTTTTTTTTTTTTAAATGAGGATATGGTCAGTAAATGTTTTCTTTTTTAAAAAAAATAATAATGAGGATACGATGATCAGCAAATGCTATTTTTTTTAAGAGGATGAAGATGATTTTTGTTATTTTTTTCTTATGGATTGCACCAGGGAGGCTAAACCAATTTCGTTGTACATATTATGTACAATGACAATAAAGACTACTATACTATGCTATGCTAAAACTATACTATGCTATACTAATACTATACTATACCATACCATACCATACCATACTATACTATACTATACTATACTATATACTCTACTCTACTCTACTTTACTCTACTCTATACACTACACTACACTACACTACACTACACTACACTAATACTAATACTAATACTAATACTAATACTAATACTAATACTAATACTAAAGCTTACTATACTATCGTGTTTCTCCAAAAAGACCCTGTCTTATATTTTTTTGAACCCTAAAATAAGAACTTTGCTTTATTGCCATGCGCTCAAAAGCCCGATTGGACTTATTATCAGGGGATGTCTTATTTTGGAGGAAACAGGGTATACTCTACTCTACTCTATACTCTATATTCTATAGTATACTCTATATTCTATACTCTATACTCTATATACTCTATAATCTAATACTATGATGATTAATAAAGGCTTTTTAAAGTATCTTTAAAAAAATGAGAATATGACAATTCAGAAATGATATTTTTAAAATCAGGATGGAGATGATCAATATTTTTTTTAAAAAAAGATATGATGATCCATGAATGTTTGGGGGGTTTTTTGTTTTGAAATGAGGATGAAAATGATGATCAATAAATAGTGGGGTATTTTTTTTTAACTGAGGATAAAGAGGATGATGGCTAGTTTGGCCCATAGACGTGAAGCGTGTGATCTTGGGCCAGTCTTTTTCTCTTAGAGACAATGGCAAATAGTTTCTGAAAATCCTGGGAAGAAAACTGCAGGAACTTCTCCGAGGCAGTCTCCGAGAATCCTATATGATTGAACAGAAGAAAAAAGAGCGATGAAGATCACTGACATATTTATTTTATAAATTAGAAAGGGGGGGGGTTCTATAATTGTAACCCACTCCTGGGTGCATACGTTGTTTTTAATTGGTGCGTAGCACTGAACAAGGACCGGGTTTTTAAAAAGCTGACATTGGTGGCATTTCATATGCATTTCCTACACACGGGTTTTCTTAGCTTCTCTTTGAATCCTTCTCTACATCACCTTTGCCCTAAACTTGAGTTGACTTTTCTTCCTCCTCCTGCAGTTCCCAAGAATTGGCCCAGGAGATCAAAGCTTTCCTCAGTGGCGTCGACCCCATCCACGGGAACAAACTCACCATCAAGGAACATGCCCGATGTGCCATTTTACTGCTGCGCAACTTACCTCCCGCTCGCAGTGCTGTGTTGGAGCACCTCCGGAGTGTCTTTGATGAATACGTCTGCACCTACCTGTTGGAACTGGAGGCTGGCGACGGTGGGATGGGTGGCCTCCGCTCCCAGGGTCCCAACTTGGACGACGTGGTGTCGGAGATCCAAACCGTCTTGTCGGAGTTTGTCCGCATGAATCCCAAAGCTTGGGCCGCTCTCGTTTCCTCCTGGTCGATCGACCTGATGGGGCAGCTGAGTAGCAAATACGCCGGGCGGCACGACGTACCCCACGCCAGCAGCCTCAACGAACTGCTGCAGTTATGGATGTCCTGCAAAGCCACTCGGGTCTTGATGGAGATTTACACCCAGTGCCTGTCCTCCATGATCAATACCTGTCCAGACGCTTGCGTCGATGCCCTCTTGGACACGTCGGTTCAGCACTCGCCTCATTTCGATTGGGTGGTGGCCCACATCGGCTCCTCCTTCCCCAACACCATCATCAACCGGGTCCTGTCCTGCGGTTTGAAGGATTTCTGCGTGCACGGGACAGCTTCGTCAGATCTCCTCCTCTTTCCCAGCTCCACAGCAGCCGATAAGCGGGTTCCCAAGATCGCCTCGGTGGTCGGCATCCTCGGCCACTTGGCCTCCCGCCACTCGGAAAGCATCAAGCAGGAGTTACTAAGGATGTTCCACAGGAGCCTGGGGCCCACCAGAGACCACCAGCAGAAGGCCACTGTCCCTTTCTTGCTACAGCTGGCAGTCATGTCCCCCACGTTGTTGAGTACCATCTCTGCAGAACTGGTGGACTCCCTCAAGCCCGGCGTCCTCAACCAGCTGCACCAGCACTTCGCAGTGCTGCCCCGAGAAGAGCTGGAGAACATGGTCAGCATTGTGGTGCACCTCATCTGCCAGACGTCTGGAGGAGCCTACCGTACCTTGCAGTTCCTTGTCAACACGGCCATGCCAGCTTCAGTCATCACCACCCCAGGCCTGGCGGTCCACGACAGCGTGCGGGAGGCCTGCGACCGGGTGATCCAGCTGTTGCTCCTCAATTTGCAGAAGCTGGTTTACAACCGGGGTTCGGCCAGCTTGGTGGAGGTCCCTCCTCGCGCCGTGCCGTTCTTGGACGACCTGAAGAACCACATGCAGGAGCTGTGCACGGAGACGCTGAAGCTGGAGAGGAAGAGGTTTCTCTGGCTGCACCAGCTGCTCGTCCTGCTCTCGGTCTACTCCACCCCCAGCTGTGCCAGCGAGGCCCTCTTCTACCTGCTGACCCTGGCCAAGAGCCAGGAGGAGCTCAGCCTCGCGACCCAACTCTATGCCGTCCTCAGCTCTTGCATGACCGATCTGCTGCCCGCCCTGGTGAAGAAGTCCGTGCGCCAGCTCCATGCTGGGTTTCTCTCCGAGCAGCACATGGCCCAGCTCTTTCAGAACCTGGCCTTGATCATGCAGTGGGAAGGGGAGAGCCCGGCCTCCATGGGCCACCAGCTGGGACAGGCCGTCTCCTTCCACATCTACGACTTTGGGCAGCTGCTGCTGCACAGCAATCCAGAGGTGGCCCAAGCGGCCGCCCTGCTGCTGTCGGTCTGTCCCATGCCCAAGGCCATTCGGCCGGCCCATTTGCTGTTCCTCATCCGTTCGTCCGTGCACCACTTCTTCTCGGTTTTGCGGGACAAGTCTCCGGCCGGCATCAGCTACGGAAGCCGCTCCTTTGCGGGCTGAGCGGTGCGTCGCCCACAGCCAGCAAGGCCATCCTGCAGTACCTGGTGGAGGGAGCCTTGCACCAGGGCAACGCGGAGCTTTTCGGGGGCACGGTGGAGCCCCCTGCCGCCAGGAACGACGTCACACTGGAGGCCACCAAGTTATCCCTCCTGGACATCAACCGGCGTTTCATGGCGGCCGTGAACTTCTCCGGGAGCGTCTGGTCGGTGTTTCACGCGGGAGTGATTGGCAAAGGCTTAAAACCGCCCCAGGCTTCCCATCGGCAAGAACCCGAGGAGATCTCCCATAACGTCCAGATTTTTTTGGGCCTCTTGCTGAGGTGCTGCGGGGCAGGACGCTCAGGACCCCCCGAGCTGCCCCGGGGCAACGCCATCAACCCCGAAGCGGCCAAGATGGTAGCTGTCGTGTTGGTGGAGACGGTCTGCCCGGATGTAACCAACAGCGAGCTGGCTTGGCCTCCCGAGGAGCACACTCGCAACACCGTGGAACGGGACATCCGAATCGGACGCTCTTTCCGCGACAACCCTTTGCTATTCGAGCTCTTGAAGTTGGTGGCTGTCGGGAGGCCGGCCTTGTGTTACTGTTCGGTGTTGCTCCGGGGTCTGATGGCCACGCTGATGGCTCATTGGGAGGCCTCCCGGGAGAACGACACCAACAGCTCTCCCTGGCCTCTGCAGGCCTCTTGCGCGCTGGTGGCCTGCATGGGGGAAGGCCACCTCCTGCCTCCCGTCTTGAGCAACATGCACGAGATCTTCGACCAGCTGGCCCCCTTTGAGGTCCACCTGCTCCTTCTCAGCGTCTGGGACTACATGAGGGACAACAGCCCCTTGCCCCAAAAATTCAGCTTCGATGCCAGCACGGGGCTTTTCTTCCGGGATTTTTCCCGTGACACCGACGCGGGCAAATATCTCTACGTCTTACACAGCGTCGTGCATAAAAACATCGACCGGCTGGGTCTGCTTTCAGGGCGGTTCCACCCTTAAGGGGCTCGGCTCAGATGCGGTTTGGAGAGGACCTTTCGGTGCTGTGGATTAGGGGGAGGCGGGGTTGGGGAAGATGGGGGCTCTTTCGTGGATTGGAATTGTTTTGGAGAGAAGCTCACGAGAGGCTTTGGCGTCAATTTGCTTCGATGTGAAAGCGGAGGGAAGGGTCTTTGGGAAGGGGAGGAGGATTTATTTTTGGGGGGGGTCTTGCATTTTAATTGGTTCAACTTGCAATTAAGGAAGGACTAACAAAGGGAAGGTTGGAAATACGTGAATGGGGAGAATATTCGCATTTTGTTTTCTTGTCCTTCCTCTTTCTTCCTTTCTCCTCTTCCCTTATCTTTTTCACCTCCTCCTCCTCCTCTTCTTCCTTCTTCTTCTTTTCCTCTTCTTCCTCCTCCCACTTCTTCTTCTTCTTCTTCTTCTTCTTCTTCTTCTTCTTCTTCTTCTTCTTCTTCTTCTTCTTCCTCCTCTCCTCCTCCTCCACTTTCTCCTCCTCTATTCCTTTTTCTCCTTCTCCTCCTGACCTTCCTTCTCCTCTTCTTCTTTTTATTCCTTACCTTTTTCCTATCCTCCTTTCTTTCCTCCTCTTCCTCTTCCACTCATCCCTCTACCTCCTGTCCTTCCTTCCCTTCCTTTTTTTCTCCTCCTCTCCACCTTCATTCTCTTCTCTACTCTTTAATGCACACACGAGTTTTTTAATGAACACTCGCTCCCAAACAGACAACAGTTTTTTAACAAGTTTCTTTGCAAGAGTTTATTGATAGTCAGTAAAATACAGCCACATCATCATCCTGGGTATTGAGTGACAAGTGGAGCTGGAGGGGCCTTGAGCAGAGATTCTCCATCTTCTTCCTTCGGTTGATTCTGAGCACAATCAATAAAATAAAAGCAGGAAGTCACAGCGCTTTGCATTTCCTTCGTAATCGGAACAAGGGGAAAATATCTCATTCTCTTTCTCTGCCAGGCTCGGGATGAACTTTTAAGTACAAAAAACCCCCTGAAACTGATGATTCATGGATTTGGGTGGATTTTTTTAAAAAAAGGGTTAAAAACGGAAGGAAAAGGAAAAGGATGTCAGTAGAAGGCAGGAAGTCAAAATTTCGTGGTCTTTTTTTTTTTTCCTTCTGATTTCCTAACTTTTTTCTTATTTTTTTTTTAAATACTTTTATTGTGCTGTGAAATTTTAATAAAAAAAAATAATATGAGCAAACCAAACAAAAGATGGACATTGCAAAAACCCTTTTGTTTCCATGCAAGGGTCCTGGACTGCCAATCCCCATCATCCTCAGCCAGCGGGGGACGATGGGATGGGGTGGCCCTCTCCTTCTCCCTGCAGGTCCCTCTGAAGTGCCCTCAAAACTCTCCCCTAATGCAGACTCTCCCCTAATCCAACCTTGGCAACTTTTTAAGACTTGTGGACTTCAACTCCCAGACTTCCTCAAGCCAGCTTTGCTGTCTGAGGAATTCTGGGAGTTGAAGTCCACAAGTCTTAAAAAAAATCGGCCAAGGTTTTAGACCTCCCCCCGCCCTAAAGAATGTAGTCGTCCAGCAAAAAAAAAAACCAAACTCCCCCTCTCTCGACCCAACATGGGAAGCGCCGTCCTGATTAACGTGTGGGCGGAGCTCCCGCTTGGCCACCGTCTTCGACGATTGGCGGGGCGCGAGGGCGGGCCTCGGCGGAGGTGTCCAATGGGAGGTCGGCGTGCGGGGAGGAGGGGCTTAGCCGCGGCGGAGGGAGGGGGGCGGGTTCCGGCAGAATCCAAGATGGCGGCGGCGGAGGCGCCCAGGAGGTTAGAGCGAGGCTCGCTCGGGATTTTTTTTTTTTTTTGGGTGGCGGGGCGACATTTCTGGGTGGGGGGGTCGCCCACCAAGGCGGCTTTCCTTCCTGAATAGCCTCTGTTTCATCCCTGCTTCGTTTGTATTTTGAACCCCCCCCCGCCCCCTCCCCTAATTCCCCCCTCCCCCCACCGTGCCTCAGTTTCCCCCTTGGATTCTGGGACCCATGTGGCTTTCCCCACCCCCCCACCCCTTCTGAGGCAGCCCTTCCCCTCCTCCCCCCTCCCCCCCCCACGGCTTGCCCCCTACGGCTTCCCCTTCTGCAGACCTTGCCAAGCAGAGGACTACACCACCCATCATCCTGAGCCTTCTCCCTTGGGTTGGGGGGGAGGGGCTCCTTCCTGCCCTTCTGGCCAAAGTGCGCCCAAGCCTTCCTTCCCCTGCCTTTGAATCCACACATCCCACCCACCCACCCCCCACCCAACTCTACAATACCAATCCCCAGCTTGCTTATCTAGAGGGGACGATGGGACTTGTAGTCCCAGCCATTTTTCCATGAGTGGGAACGATTCACGCCATGGCCTCCCCTTGGTCAGCCTGGTTCGGAGAGCTTAGGAGAAAGTCCTTGGATGCTTTCCAAATGTCCTTGGCTCCGGCTCCCATCAGCCCCAGCCGGGAAAGGATGATGGGGAGCCGCCTTCCCAAATGTATAAGGGTGACCAGGCCGCCTAACGAAGCACGCTCTTTTCCCACGAACCCCCACCCAACTCTATAATACCAATCCCCAGCTTGCTTATCTGGAGGGGACGATGGGACTTGTAGTTCCCACTCATTTTCCATGAGTGGGAACGATTCATGCCATGGCCTCCCCTTGGTTAGCCTGGTTTGGAGAGCTTAGGAGAAGGTCAAGAAGAGTCCTTGGATGCTTTCCAAATGTCCTTGGCTCCGGCTCCCATCAGCCCCAGCCAGAAAAGGATGATGGGGAGCCGCCTTCCCAAACGTATAGGGGTTACCCGGCCGCCTAACAAAGCATGCTCCTTTCCCACTGAGGGCAGCCTCCGTCCTCCCCTGCAACTGATAGGGATAGTCCTTGACTTACAACAGTTCATTTAGTGACCGTTTGAAGTTACAACGGTGCTGAAAAAAGGGATTTAGGACCGTTTTCCACACTTAAAACCATTGCAGCGTCCTCATGGGCATGTGATCAAAATTCAGACGCTTGGCAAGCGGCTCGTATTTACGACGGTCGCAGTGTTCCGGAGGGGCGGATGTCACATAATCCCCTTTTGCGACCACCACCTGACCAGCAAAGTGAACAGGGAAGGGCAGATTCACAACTGTAGTAAGCACGGTCGTAAAATGGGGCACCAAACCCATTGACAAATGTCTTGCTTAGCCGCATTCATTTTGGGCTCCGTTGCCGTCATAAGTCGAGGACTGCCTCTTGCTATGGAGGCTCTCCTTTGCCTCAGATGGATCCCTGTCTCAGAACTGAAGAAGCGGCTTGAATGAAAAGCAAAATGTTTTTCAAGGGCAAGAAAAGAAAAGGAAAAAAAAAACCCCAACCAGATTGCCTTTTGGAAAAGCACTTTTGGGAGAATATATGGATTTTCATTGAAAAATCTTATAAAAATGAGTGTTTTCCAAACTTGAAGGTAGCCAAGCTTCGCTTTCTTTCTCTGTCCCACCTTTGTCTCTTAAATCTTTTAGTTGCAAAATATGTGAAGATCGGAGGTGATCTTTGCCCCGGGGGAATCAAGTTGCCCTTCGCTCTTTTTTTTTTTTTGCAAATTTTTTTATTTTTAAACAAACAAAACATAAAATATCCTTCATCCATTACAATTTCAAGCAGTGTGTCGATCGGTTACAAATCCCTTGTGCTGCTTCCCCATAATCGTATTTTACTAATGATCTACTATGTGAAAATAATTTTTTTTGGGGAATGATAATGTCATTTTTTTTTTTTATTTGATTTATATGCCGCCCTTCTCCGAAGACTCAGGGCGGCTTACAACGCGTTAAGCAATAGCCTTCATATTTTTGTATATTTATACAAAGTCAGTTTATTGCCCCCACAAACTGGGTCCTCATTTAACCTACCTTAGAAAGGATGGAAGGCTGAGTCAACCTTGAGCCTGGTAAAATTCGAACCTGCAGAAATTGCAGGCAGCTGTGTTAATTACAGGGTGCATTAAACCACTGTACTACCAAGGCTCTTTTGTTAAATAAATTGCCATTGTTAAATAAATGACAAATGAGAATAATGATATAAAGATATATCAGGCTCCTTGTTTTATGATGATGGTTTGCCTCTGTTTTGGAGAAGAAGAAGATGGTTTGTTCACCCTGGCAACTTCAAGATACCTGAACTTCCATCTCCCAGAATTCCTGGCAGGGGAATTCTGGGAGATGAAGTCCACGCATCTTAAAAAGTGTTCAGGTTTGACAAACACTGGACTATAGAAAACTGATTTTAATCCTTAACGTTGCTGTGAAGTTTATCTATAGGTAATGCTCGACTTGCAGCCATTCGTTTCACAACAGTTCTAAGTTGCAACGGGGCTCAAAAAAAGGGCCTTTGGTCCTCGCACTTGCGACCATTGCCTCCCCGTGGTCATGGGATCAACATTCAGGGGCGTGGCAACCAAGATGCATTTTTACAACAACTGCAGAGTTTCGGGGTTATGCGATGGCCCATTTGCGGGGTTTCCCAGCCGGTTTCCGACTGGAAGCCAGATTGGCTTAGCAACCTTGGGGTTCGCTTAACAACCACAACAGAAAGGTCATAAAATTGGATGTGACTCCTTGAACGTTTGCTTCACTCAGTAACGGACGTTCCAGTCCCAATTGTTGTACTGACATTCCTTAACTGGCCGTGTATCCAGTGAAATGGGATAACTATCGAGAAATTTCTCCTTAATTCTAGTTTGCTTCTCTCCTTGGTTAGTCTCCATCCGTTGCTTCTTGTCCTGCCCTCAGGTGCTTTGGAGAATAGGTCGAAAACCCCCTCCCCTCTTCTTTGGGGCAGCCCCTCAAATATTGGACCCCTGCTATCATGTCTCCCTTGATCCTTCTTTTCGTTAAACTAGACATACCCAGTTCCTGCAACCGTTCTTCATACATTTTAGCCTCCGGTCCCCTAATCGTGCGTTGCTTGAAAATGTCTCCTCCTTCGTGTTCCACCCAGGATGTCCGTGGTCGCGTGGTTGACTCTCTTCCTAGCCATGGTGTCGGCGGTAGACAAAAGCAACTTCAAGACCTGTGACCAGAGTTCCTTTTGCAAGTAAGTTTATTTATTTATTATTTATTTGATTTGATTTCTATACCGAAGGACTCAGGGCGGTGCACAGCCAAACAATAAAAAAACATCCATACAAAATTTAAAAGTAGAATAAAATCAAATTAAATAATTTTGGCCCCGACAAATTTAAAACCCCAAACTATTTAAAACCAATTTTAAAATTGAATGTATAAAATACTAAAAGATATTTAAAAATTAAAAATCTTTTATAAAAGAGGGAGAAAATTAGGCCAGGCCCGCCTGGTGAAGTAATAAGGTCTTTAAAGCGCGGCGGAAGGTGCGCAGATCCGGGATCCTCCGTATCTCTGGGGGGAGCTCGTTCCAGATAGTAGGTGCCCCCACAGAGAAGGCTCTCCCCTTGGGGGCCACCAGTCGGCATTGTTTGGCCGACGGCACCCGGAGGAGCCCCTCTCTATGGGAGCGTACCGGCCGAAAAGAGAAGAGACGGAGACACGCGGGGCCTTGATTCCAAAGGGAGGCGCGAAAGACGACGGCATTGTCCTCGCCTGCATGGGCAGAAGTGGTATTCAGCCGGTTCGCACCAATTCACCTGAACCGGTAACAGAAATCGTGGGTGGGCCCCAGCTCTGTGCCATCCGATTTAGGCATGTTTTTGAGGCCGGGCGCGTGCGTGAAAGGCAAGGCACACACGTGAACTGGGCTCACGCACGCACGAAGCGAGCGTGCGCGAGGGGGTGGCGAACCGGTAGTAACGTAATAAGAAACCCACCGCTGGCTCTGGGCATGCCATCTTGGGGATGGAGTGCTTGGAGGCCGAGAAATTACTCCTCTCTCTCAAAACTGAGAGTGAGATTACCTAGCATGGGTGGTTCTGTCTCCAGTAACCATGGTTTCCTCTTTCCAGGCGTCAGAGAAACGTAAAACCTGGAAGCTCCCCTTATAGGGCGCTGCTGGACTCCCTGCAGCTGAGCCAAGAATCTATGAAAATCCAGCTTATTAATGAAGCAAGCAAGGTAAATTAAAACCCTCGGATTTCCTAGAAGGCTTGCAGAGAGTCAGACTCGTTCTCTTTCTGACCAGATGGAAGGGCTGAGGGTTAGAAAATTGAGAACGGTCCCTGTGGGGTCCTGGGGGTGGGGAGAGAGTCTCCGAGCTTGGTGGTTTTCTTGTAGACGTTTCATGACCCAGCTAGCTAACATCATCAGTGCTAGAAAGGAGGTGGATTGGTTCTCTAAAGCCATTCGAAGGAGATAACGAGAAGTAGATTTGGAACGTGTATAGGACAATGTGTAAAGTGTACAAAATTAATATGACGGTTAATTATGGTGTAAATAAGAGAGAAAGGGACAGGAAAGAAAATGAATAATATAAAGGGAATTAGGGGGAAAGCGTAAATATTAGAAGATGACCATTACGAAACAGTTGTAAAAAGAGAATATATATGTGTGTGTTTTGCGTTTGTCGTGTTGTGTTATAAATAAAAACTAAAAAAAAAAAAATAGAAGTAGATTTAGAATTTTAAGACTGTACCAATAGGATGCGGTGGCTCAGGGGCTAAGACGCTGAGCTTGTCGATCGAAAGGGTCGGCAGTTCAGCGGTTCGAATCCCAGCACCACGGAACTGGGTGAGCTCCCGTGACTTGTCCCAGCTCCTGCCAACCTAGCAGTTCGAAAGCACGTAAAAAAAAAATGCAAGTAGAAAAATAGGGACCACCTTTGCTGGGAAGGGAACAGCATTTTCCGTGCGCCTTTGGCGTTGAGTCATGCCGGCCACATGACCACGGAGACGTCTTCGGACAGCGCTGGCTCTTCAGCTTTGAAATGGAGATGAGCACCGCCCCCTAGAGTCAGGAACGACTAGCACATATATGCGAGGGGAACCTTTACCTTTACCAATAGAAGAGAATATTTGTAGCTCAGGGTTGAACAGTGGGGTCTTTGGAGCTCTCTGAGCTTGGTGGTTTTCTTGCAGATTTTTCATGACCCAACTAGGGAACATCATCAGTGCTAGAAGGAGTGAGGTTTGCTCTCTGCTTGTATACAGTTGCAGGATATGAATAAATAAACATAAATGAAATTGGGGTGTGGATTGCTGGCGATGGGCGGGTGTTTTGGTCTTTTGGTTAACCTTGTTAGCTTTTTGGAGGTCTCTCTTAAATGATATTCCCCCCCCCTCCCCCCAGTGGCCGGCAAGAGAGGACTCAAGCCATGGGGGGGCGAGATTTACCAGTGGGGGGGAAAAGCCAGTGGGAATCCGTTCTTCCCGATCGCAGGTCCCTCTCCTCCTGGAGTTTTACGGCTTGAAAGGAAACATGACCCGCCTCCGGATCAACGAATTGACGCCCCTCAGACCCCGCTATGAGGTACACGACGTCTTAATCCAGGACCCTCCCACCTCCAGGTACGGCGGATGGGCCGCTGCGTTGGCCGGTGGTCTTTGGGTTGGGATTCTATGGGAGGCGATGGAGCGACGGATGTTAGGATAAGGCTCGGCGATAGGTGGCTAAAAGAGCTGCATCACTTCACGCCGGACTCTGTGAGGTTGGCTTCTGGGTTTTATAGGGAGACAGTTTGGTCCAGTGGCTAAAGCACCAAGCTAAAAAAGTGGGAGATGGTGAGAAGGAAGGTGACCTAGGAACCAGGAGTTCTAGTCTGGCCTTAAGCATGAAAGCCAGCTCGGTGACTTTGGGCCAATCACCAGGAGACAGTGAGTTCTAGTCCCACCTTAGGTGACTTTGAGCCAATCATCAGGAGACAGTGAGTTCTAGTCCCACCTTAGATGACTTTGGGCCAATCACCAGGAGACAGTGAGTTCTAGTCCCACCTTAGGTGACTTTGAGCCAATCACCAGGAGACATGAGTTCTAGTCCCACCTTGGGCAATGAAAACCAGTTGGGTGACTTTGAACCAATCACCAGGAGACAGTGAGTTCTAGTCCTACCTTAGATTACTTTGAGCCAATCACCAGGAGACAGTGAGTTCTAGTCCCACCTTGGGCAATGAAAACCAGCTGGGTGATTACTGGGCCAATCACCAGGAGACAGTGAGTTCTAGTCCTACCTTAGATTACTTTGAGCCAATCACCAGGAGACAGTGAGTTCTAGTCCCACCTTAGGTGACTTTGAGCCAATCACCAGGAGACATGAGTTCTAGTCCCATTTTGGGCAATGAAACCCAGCTGGGTGACTTTGGGCCAATCACCAGGAGACAGTGAGTTCTAGTCCCACTTTAGGTGACTTTGAGCCAATCATCAGGAGACAGTGAGTTCTAGTCCCACCTTAGGTGACTTTGAGCCAATCATCAGGAGACAGTGAGTTCTAGTCCCACCTTAGGTGACTTTGAGCCAATCATCAGGAGACAGTGAGTTCTAGTCCCACCTTAGGCACGCCAAGCCGGCAGGGGACACTTTGGGTCAGTCCCTCCCTCTCATCCCCATCCACCTTGGAGGGTTGTGAGAAAGTTGCAGTCGGGTATTTTCACAACCTCGAGTTGTTTGTGAAAATAAATAAAGGAGGGATCCCCAAAAAATGCAAAAAAAAAAAAAAAAAAGCTATTCGGGGAGTTGAAGTCCACCCTTCCTAAAGTTCCCAACTTTGAGAAACCCCCCCAAACAGGTGAGATTATCAGGTGATAATGTCTGTCGCCTCTTCTCATTTCAACTCTGTCCTCATCCCCGTCCTTGTGTGTGTGTGTCTGTGTGTCCCCCCCGTGTGCGTCCTTCCCCCCCAAGATTGTCTGTCACAGGCCGCGACGAGAACAGCGTGGAGCTCTCGCTGGAGGACGGGACCCACAAGGTGATCCTGACGGCGAAGCCCTTTCGCATGGATTTGCTAGCCGGGCGGGAGCTGGTGCTGAGCGTCAATTCCCGGGGCCTGCTGGTATTTGAGCATCTGCGACAGAGGAAGGACTCGTGAGTACCTTGGGTTCTCCACGTTAGGAGTTGGAGAAGGGGGAGGGGGTTTGGTTCCTTGGGAGCGGGTCGTTTTCCTTCAAATCGGGAGGTGGTTTATTTAGGCTAGCATTCCTGGTTTCAGTCCAGGAACTGGAGATGGGAGCGTAATGGTGCTCAACTATCCATCATCTGTGGGGTCTTTGGTGCTTTCCGAGCTCGGTTATATTTTCTTGCAGCCGTTTCACGACCCAGCTAAGTAACGTCATCAAGTTCTAGAAAGGAAAGTGAGGTTTCCTCTCTATTTATGTACAAGTAGTTTGCCCTACAACTCAGTAAAGCCACCAACGCTTGCAGGGCAAACCACGGTATATAATTTAATTAAGGAGGTGATCACACATAATATACACTCCTAATTTTCCCCAAATAATGACAACCCTGTGAGGTTGATTGGGTTGAGAGAGAGGGACTGGTCCTAAATCACTCAGCTGGCTTTCGTGCTGATGGTGAGACTAGAACTCACCGTCTCCTGGTAACACCCCAAGTGACACAGCTAGCTTTCATGCCTAAAATGGGACTAGAACTCACCGTCTCCTAGTGAGACTGGCCCCAAGTGACACAGCTAGCTTTCTTGCCTAAGATGAGACTAGAACTCACCGTCTCCTAGTGAGACTGGCCCCAAGTGACACAGCTAGCTTTCTTGCCTAAGATGGGACTAGAACTCACCGTCTCCTAGTGAGACTGGCCCCAAGTGACACAGCTAGCTTTCTTGCTTAAGATGGGACTAGAACTCACCGTCTCCTAGTGAGACTGGCCCCAAGTGACACAGCTAGCTTTCTTGCCTAAAATGGGACTAGAACTCACCGTCTCCTAGTGAGACTGACCCCAAGTGACACAGCTAGCTTTCTTGCCTAAGATGGGACTAGAACTCACCGTCTCCTAGTGAGACTGGCCCCAAGTGACACAGGTAGCTTTCTTGCTTAAGATGGGACTAGAACTCACCGTCTCCTAGTGAGACTGGCCCCAAGTGACACAGCTAGCTTTCTTGCCTGATGTGAAACTAGAACTCACCGTCTCCTAGTGATTGGCTCAAAGATATCCAGCTGGCTTTCATGCCTAAGTGGAGACTAGAATTCCCTATCTCCTGGTAACTGACCCCAAGGGATGCAGCTAGCTTTCATGCCTAAGGCAGGATTGGAACTCGCCACCTCCTAGTCAGCGTTTGGCTCAAAGCTACATCCAGGCAGCTTTCCTACCTAAGGCGGGACTAGAACTCACCGTCTCCTGGTTTCTAACCCCAGCACCTTCGCCATTACACCAAAGTTGATTCTGATTTTCAGAGATTTATGGGTGTTTCAATCCTTCCAGAATCAAAAGAGTTAGAAGTTCCCTTCTAGGTTACTTCAGGAAAGCACCGAGCTTCATATGTACGTACTTATTTTTACTCGTGGGTCCTCGAAGGATAAACGGAGGTTTTTGATTTTTTTTTTTTCAAATCCTTTTCTTTTCTAATCCTTCAAATACACCATCCTGGTCATCTTGCTTTTTCTCCAAGCAAGATGACAAGGATAAAATCCGGATTGCCAGCGCTGGGTTTTTTTTTTTTTAAACCCACATCTGGAGTTTGGGGTTTTTTTTTTTTTTGACCCTATCTGGGTCCAAAAAAAAAAAACAAAAAACCACAACTTTCCAAATTCAACAAAATCTAAGCTTGTGTCTACGTTAACGTTATATTGCACGCATTAAACAACTGAAAAATAATTTAAAATGGATTTGTTGGGTTTGGGGGAGATTATCTGCGTTGTTTTGCGTAGCATCTGGGTTTGTTTGAGCGCAGAATCTTAAGTGTTTTGTTTTTTTTTTAAAGAAAAACCCACTGGCAATCCTGCTAAATAGGGTAAAAATAATAGGATGCGTTGTGGGGTTTTTTTTTTTGGTTAACGGGGGTTTATTTGAGTGCCAAACCTTGGTTTTGTTTTTTTTTTAAAAAAGAGAAATTCACTAGGCAGGGGTGGTTGGGAGGGGCACCTTTTGCGATTCCTTGCACTGACTCTTTCCGTTGTGTTTTCTGTTTTTGTTGGTCTGTGGCCCCCCCACTCTCGCTCGGGCCCCCCCTCCCAGTTTCTCGGATAAAGTTAGTGACACGGTCGTTAGCATTTGGGATAGGATCACGAACGTTTTCTCTAGGTAATTCTGCAGCTTCTGCTTCTGTTTCTCAATCTCCCTTTCCCTCCTCCGTGCAGAAAAACGCCCCCCCTCCCCTCCCGGCCCGGCTTTGTGACATAAGCAGGGGGAGAAACCCATCACCCTCTGCCCCCTTTTTCTCTCTCTCTGACCCAGTGAGGATGACGTGTGGTGGTGGTGGTGGTGGCAGAAGAGATGTGGGGAGACCCACATCAGCCCTTGGTCTGCCCAGCAAGAGACCAGCACTGGGGATGGACTTCGATCCGGAGCTGGAATTGAAAGGGGCTCTGGGAGATAGGATACCAAGAAACATTTTTAAAAATTAAATTTATATATATATTTGCTAATGTACCTGGAACTCGTATTTTTAGAATAGTTTGTTTTATATCTATATATCTATCTATCTATATCTATATATATCTATATCTATCTATCTATCTATCTATCTATCTATCTATCTATATCTATATATCTATATATCTATATATCTATATATCTATATATTCTTACTTCTTCGTAGGGTTTATGTGTGTTTTTCCTCTAGCCAGGTTTTCCCTACGTAACCCTACGTAACTTTTTTCTTTTTCTCGTAACCAAGAAAAATCTTGGTTACGTAGGGAAAACCTGGCTAGAGGAAAAACACACACACACACACACACACACATATATGTTTTTCTTTTAGCCAGGTTTCTCCTACGTAACCAAGATTTTTCTTGGTTACGAGAAAAAGAAAAAAGTAAAGAATATCTATATATCTATATATCTATATCTATATATATATCTATCTATATCTATATCTATATCTATCTATCTATCTATCTCTATCTTACTTATCGTAGGTTTTATGTGTGTTTTTCTTTTAGCCAGGTTTTTCCTACGTAACCAAGATTTTTCTACAGCCCTAGCTCAGTGGAGTCACATCCACTCGATTCTGGGCTTTTTTTTTCTTCTGGCAGCCAGCAGGCCCTATGCTGCCCTAGGCTGCTTAGTGAGAGACTTATATAGATCTATTTCTGGCTCGTTAGCCATCATCAGTAAGCCACACCCACCCAATAGATATTGTACCTTTACAGGGAGGATACATGAGATGTGGGTGAAGGGCTGTAGCAAAATCTTGGTTACGTAGGAAAAACCTGGCTAAAAGAAAAACACACATAAAACCTACGAAAAGTAAGAAAATAGATACTGTACCTTTACAGGGAGGATACATGAGATGTGGGTGTGGCTTACTGATGATGGCAAACGAGCCAGAAATAGATCTATATAAGTCTCTCACTAAGCAGCATAGGGCAGCATAGGGCCTACTGGCTGCCAGAAGAAAAAAAAAAAGCCCAGAATCGAGTGGATGTGACTCCACTGAGCTAGGGCTGTAGAAAAATCTTGGTTACGTAGGAAAAACCTGGCTAAAAGAAAAACATGTATGTATGTACGTATGTATGTATGTATGTATGTATGTATGTATGTATATATAATTTTCTTACTTCTTCGTAGGGTTTATGTGTGTTTTTCCTCTAGCTAGGTTTTCCCTACGTAACCAAGGGGCTGCAGAAAAACCTTGGTTACGTAGGGAAAACCTGGCTAGAGGAAAAACAAATAATCATATATACATACATATACATACATACATACAATACATATATATATATATATATATATATATCATATCATTGTTTCACTGTTCTTGAGGACTAGCACCTTAGCAGCTAAAAAGCCATTGCCAGCTCTTAGGAGGGAGAAAAAAACAACAACCCCAAACCATGGTATTTCTGGGTTCTAATTATTGTATTTTTCGGACTATTTTTTGGACTTTCGCACCTGACTATAAGATATGCCTAAATTTAGAAGAGGAAAAGAACAACAAAAAAAGTTTTGGGGTTCTGTGCCCCCATTTTCACCCCCCTTTTTTGGAGGGGGGTCCCTTTTCCAGCCTTTTTTTTTTTTTTTTTTTTGCCTGTTTTCAGGGCTTTTTTTGGGGACTCGTTTTTAAGGCTTTCTTCAGCCCATTTTTGAGGCTTTTTTCGAACTGGTTTCGAGGCTTTTTTCAGCCCGTTTTCGAGGCTTTTTTTCAGCACGTTTTTGAGGCTTTCTTCAACCCGTTTTTGAGGCTTTTTTCGGCCCGTTTGGAGGTTTTTTTGGCCCGTTTTGAGGCTTTTTTCGGCCCGTTTTGGAGGCTTTTTTTGGCCTGTTTTCGATGCTTTTTTCGGCTGTTTTTGAGGCTTTTTTCGCCCCGTTTTCAAGGCTTTCTTTGACCCGTTTTCGAGGCTTTTTTCAGCCCATTTTCTTGGAAAAAACGGGGCATACAGAGGCCAGAAAACGGCTAGCGGGCGAATGGGGCTTCGGCAATATTCAGTCTATAAGACGCCCAGACGTTTTCACCCCCTTTTGGGAGACAAAAAAGTGCGTCTTAGAGTCTGAAAAATACGGTCCTTTGTGACTCATTTGGATATTCTTTCCTCTCTTCTGAAAAGTCACCAGCCATTTTTTCCTTGATTTCCTGTGTGTGGAATCGGATCCCTTGATAGGGAACTGGATTCTTTCTATGTCCGTCTTCTGGACCCTGGAACACCTTCCCTCCTGATGGCTGGGTGAAATCTTGAAATATTAACTGCCTTTGTTTAAGGAGACGCGGATTGGGGAAGCCTTGGGGTAGCTAAATGTCGCTGGAGATCTTCAGTCTTCCAGATTTTTTTTTTTTTTTTTTTCAAGAGGCAACTGGACTTTTTGTGTTTTTCTTTTTTGAAGACGTTTTGCTTCTCCTCCCAAGAAGCTTCTTCAGCTCTGGCTGAATGGTGGTGAACGGAAGGATTGATATTCCTTGCAGACTGCCGGTCATTTTTTTTTGCATCCTTTTTAGAGAGGCCACTTGGAGGTCTTCAAAGAAAATAAAACCAGAAAGTCCATTTTCCTCTTGAAAAAAAACACCTGTGGGACTTAAGGTTAGCTAGTTAGAAACACCGAGGAGATCTCTGCGGTGAGCGGAAGACAAAGATTGCCATCCTTGGGTCGAAGAATCAGAAGGGAGAGGTTTGAAAAATGCACGGCCCAGTTCTGTCACCAATACAGGTAGTCCTCGACTTACGGCTACAATTAAGCCCATCATTTCCGTTGCCTGGTGAAGCGAGTTTGCCCCGTTTTATGACATTCCTTGCCACTGTCGCTAAAGGAATCCTTGCACGTGTTAAGATACTTAACACAGTCGTTAAGTGAAAGGGGATCACGTCGCCCCTGGGATATCGCGACCGTCTTAAAATACAAGTCACGTCCAAGCGCCTGAATTTTGGTCGCTCCGCGATGGCCATGAGTGTGTGAAAAACTTAAGTCCTACGTCTCTTTCCCCCCCCCAGTGCTGTCGTAACTTAGAACAGTCACTAAATGAACTGTTGTAGAGTCGTGGTGGCCTAGAGGTGGAGCTCTCGCCTCACAGTCAGGAGGCTGTGAGTTCGATCCTAGGTAAAAGCAGATATTTCTCTCTCTGGGCACACTGAGAATATTAGCTGCTGGACAAAACTCCGCCCTGGCAATAGGAAAGGCATCCGGCCATTAAAAAAACACTCTGCTAGCTCCATTCAGTTGCCCAGACTCCACCCTGCAAGGGATTACGGGGTTGTTAAAAGATGATGATGATGACTAAAAGTTGTAAGACGAGGACTACCTGTAATTAGTTTCACCCCGTTCTCTGCCCCTTGGCTAGCTCTTACCCCACCCCCACCCCCATCCCCAGATCCCTACTAACTTAAGCAGGGCTGCAAAACAGCGTGTGCGTTTCTATTGATCAATATTGCCATGGTTTTGCACCAGGGTGTACGTACGTGCGCGCCTCCGTGCACGCGCGAAATCCTCCTTTTGCACTGGATGAGCTTTTGCGTTTGGCTGTTCCTGGACAGCAAACACGGAGGGTCTTTAGACTGAGCTTCCTCTTTTCCCAAACTCTTTTTTAAATTTTTTCCTCCCCTTCCAGAACGCCGGCGAAGGAACCCGAGTCGGAAGCGGGGGGAGAACCTGACGACACTGCTAATCCGGCTTTGCCTTCGGAAGAGGAATCTGCTGAGAAAACCGAGCAGGTGAATGCAAAAACTGAATTCAGGAGAGGAAGAGGTTGGGGGGGGGGGGCTTTGGTGTAAATCCATGCCAGCAATAGAGAGTTGGGGGGGGCGGAAGAGGAGGAGGAAGAGGAGATGGAAGGGAGGCCAGCAACAGAGGGAGAGAAAGCATTCTGACGTAGGCTTCCCAAAACTACGCAGCAGACTCCTTGTCCCGACAAAAAACCCTTTTTATTAAGTGACTGTGAATTCCTCTCATTCACACCCAGCAAAGTCTTTCAAGGGAGAATTTACAGAATTTACAGACCTTTATCTGGCTTGGAGAGCTGCCAGGCCCGATATCTTCAAAACTTGGCAAGGAGTGTCTGGGAGTCACGAACCAATTAAGCGGACTAATTGTCTCCTGCAAACTCCACTCCCCTTTCGCTCCTCTTTTATTCCCTCTGGGAGGGGCCATTCACCGTCCACCTGTGGCTTTACTCCTGAGTCGCCCCTTGTTCTTTAGCTTTTCCCTTCTGGCAGCTCTGCGCATGCATGCACACATTGGGAACAGGCTCCAGCTATTCTTCTGCCCCACTGATGTCCGACTCTGAAGGCAGCTGACAACCGTCAGACGGCCTTGGCCCCCTCTCTGCCTCCGACGCAGAGCCCTCATCAGAGCCTTCCCCAGAACTGGCCCATGTCCCTCCCCAAGTTCCTGGCCGCTGGTGGGCCACAACCGAAGGAAAAGAGAAGGAGAAGGAAAAAAGGAGGAGGAGGAGGAAGAGGAGATGGATGGGAGGCCAGCAACAGAGAGAGAGAGAGAAGAAAAAGAGGAGGAGGAGGAGGAGGAAGAGGTGATGGATGGGAGGCCAGCAACAGAGAGAGAGAGAGGAAAGAGGAGGAGGAGGAGGAGGAAGAGGAGATGGATGGGAGGCCAGCAACAGAGAGAGAGAGAAGGAAAAGAGGAGGAGGAGGAAGAGGAGATGGATGGGAGGCCAGCAACAGAGAGAGAGAGAAGGAAAAGAGGAGGAGGAGGAGGAGGAGGAGATGGATGGGAGGCCAGCAACAGAGAGAGAGAGAGAGAAGGAAAAGAGGAGGAGGAGGAAGAGGAGATGGATGGGAGGCCAGCAACAGAGAGAGAGAGAGAAGGAAAAGAGGAGGAGGAGGAAGAGGTGATGGATGGGAGGCCAGCAACAGAGAGAGAGAGAGGAAAGAGAGGAGGAGGAGGAAGAAGAGGTGATGGATGGGAGGCCAGCAACAGAGAGAGAGAGAGAAGAAAAAGAGGAGGAGGAGGAGGAAGAGGAGATGGATGGGAGGCCAGCAACAGAGAGAGAGAAAAGGAGAAGAGAAGGAGGAGGAGGAGGAAGAGGTGATGGATGGGAAGCCAGCAACAGAGAGAGAGAGAAGGAAAAGAGGAGGAGGAGGAAAGAGGTGATGGATGGGAGGCCAGCAACAGAGAGAGAGAGAAGGAAAAGAGGAGGAGGAAGAGGTGATGGATGGGAGGCCAGCAACAGAGAGAGAGAGAGAAGGAAAAGAGGAGGAGGAGGAGGAAGAGGCGATGGATGGGAGCCAGCAACAGAGAGAGAGAGAAGGAAAAGAGGAGGAGGAGGAAGAGGTGATGGATGGGAGGCCAGCAACAGAGAGAGAGAGAGAAGAAAAGAGGAGGAGGAGGAGGAGGAAGAGGTGATGGATGGGAGGCCAGCAACAGAGAGAGACAGAAGGAAAAGAGAAGGAGGAGGAGGAGGAGGAGGTGATGGATGGGAAGCAGCAGCAACAGAGAGAGAGAGAAGGGAAAAGGAGGAGGAGGAAGGGAGGAGAAAGAGGAATGGAGAGAAGGAGGGAGAAGAGAAGAAGAAAAAGAAAGGAAGGAAGTGATCAAGGAGAAAGAGATAAGGAGAAAGAGAAAAAAGAAAAGGAGGAGAAGACAAACACGACACAGATAGTCCTTGACTTACAACAGTTTCTTTTAGCGACCGTTTGAAATTACAACAGCACCCAAAAAAAAAGTGACTTGAGTTTTTCCACACTTAACTGCAGCTTGCGCTTCCCGTGATCAAAATTCAAGACGCTTGGCTAACAAATTAGCTCCAGCCTTAAAATAGCCACACCTCACTTTTAAGTTGCCTTTAAAAATTATTATTATATTTATACTTTATAGCGCCGTTGTTGGATCGTGCCAACCTTTTTCAATTTTTTATCCCCCCCCAGTGAGGATGCCTCCCAAAAGGCAGAAGGATCTGGGATCCTGGGAAGAAACTTTTAAGACCCACACGGATAAAAAAACCCAACGGTAATAAAAGAGTGTCGTAATTTTTAAAGCTTCGTTTAGCTGTATCATCTTCCCTCCCCCCTCCCGTCCTCCCCTTTTGCAATGTGGAAAGCAGGAAATTATGAATGGGCAAAACCCTCCTTGGAATCAGTCTTTCCCAATACAATGAATATGTGGTGTTTTTTTAAAAAAATTCATTGTTTGGGAGCTTTCAGAGGCGTGGACTTCAACTCCCAGAATTCCCCAGTCAGCGGAGGCTTTTATGTTCCTTTTCTGCACTGCTACAGCTACCATTATTTTGATGGTATCCTGTGGCCTGATTAAGCCCTGATTAGCCTACCTGCCTGCCTTCCTTCCTCCACTCTCTCCCTTACTTCCTCCCTTCTTTCCTTTCTTCCTCCCTCCTTTCCTTCCTTCCTTCCTCCTCCCCCTCCCTTCTCTTTTCCATCTCATCCCTCCCTCCTTCCTTCCTCCCTCCTTCCGTTCTTTCCCTCCTTTCCATCCATCTCTCCCTCCCTCCTTCCTTTCTTTCTTCCTCCCTCCCTCCCTTCCTTTCCTCCTTCCCTCCCTCCTCCCTCCCTCCTTTCCTCTCCTCTCTCCTTTCCATCCATCTCTCCTCCCTCCTTCTTTCTTCCTCCCTCCCTCCCTCCGTCCTTCCTTCCTTCCTTTCCTCCCTCCATCCATCCTCCCTCCCTCCTTTCCTCCCCTCTCTCCTTTCCATCCATCTCTCCCTCCTTCCTTTCTTTCTTCCTTCCTCCCTCCTTCCTTCCTTCCTTCCCTCCTTTCCTCCCCTCTCTCCTTTCAATCCATCTCTCCCTCCCTCCTTCCTTCCCTCCTCTCCTCCCTCCCTCCCTCCCTCCTTTCCTCCCCTCTCTCCTTTCCATCCATCCCTCCTTCCCTCCTCTCTCTCCTTTCCATCCATCTCCCTCCTTCCTTTCTTTCTTCCTTCCTCCTTCCTCCCTTCCCTCCTTTCCTCCCCTCTCTCCTTTCCATCCATCTCTCCCTCCCTCCTTCCTTCCCTCCTTTCCTCCCTCCCTCCTTTCCTCCTCTCTCTCCTTTCCATCCATCCTTCCTTCCCTCCCTCCTTTCCTCCCCTCTCTCCTTTCCATCCATCCATCCCTCCTTCCCTTCCTTCCTTCCCTCCCTCCTGAATTATCCCTTTTCGATAGTTTCCCCAAAATAAAATTCCGCTTTGCGATGCCTCACTTCCCACAGAACACCAAACCTCGGAGTGCTTAACCGGAATTCCACAAACCGGCTTCTAAGTTTCACATTCTGGCCCGAGGCCCGCTGGCTACCCACAGTTTTATCAAGTGGTTTATCACTTCAAATCAGACGACGGAACGGGTTTTGACCTTTCAAGAGTGACCTCACAGGCCTTTTCCTTCTCCTCTCCTCCTGTCTACAGGGCCAACGTCGGTTGGGCTCGATTTCTCGTTCCCGGGAGTGGAGAATGTGTACGGCATCCCAGAACACGCAGATAATCTCCGTCTTCGAACCACTGAGTAAGTTTGGAGGCGCTGGCAAGGGGCTGTGTCTTCTGGTGGAACTGGAAAGATGATGGGGCTTAGATGGTATTGGGATGTCCAGAGTGTCAAGGTTCCAACATCCCCAACAAAAGAAAACTAAGAAGTTCCTCAAAGCTCCATTTTATTAGAGAGATTATATTGGCACATCTGGGAAAACCTGAACCTGGAAGCTTCCAGGATTTCCCCACCCAAAGGAAAGTTCAAGTCCCTTCCCTCAACACCTACATGTCCATCACATGGTCCAATCAATGCACCGTCCCAACTGGAGATGCCTCCCAGTCACACCCTCTCCAGGTTCGGGGCAGAGTGGCCTTGACTCTCAGGGAAAAGAATGTTATTTTGGCTACATATTCCCCCAGCTCCATACAATCCCCACCCCTTCCCAGTTTCCCACAGAATTGAATTTGCCAGCCCCGAAAATCCAGGCCTGACAGGCCCCCCCCCCATCCCCCCATCATCCTGAAGATCGATTCCTGCAATGAGATCAAAAGAGCAACGTAGGAGGTTCTCTATCATGCCAAGTTGAAAGTAGATTTTAAAATTCTTTGTATATACTCAAAATTAGAACGTTATTTATTAGAATGCTCCAACACTGGAAGTTTTTAAGAAGAGACGGGATAACCACTTGTCTGAAATGGTCTAGGGCCGTGAGGGCGAACCTATGGTTTGTGCGCGCTGGCCAGCTGATTTTCGGGCCTTCCGGGCCCACCGGAAGTCAGGAAACAAGCTGTTTCCGGCCTCCGGTGCGGGGTGGGCAAGGCCGTTTTCGCCCTCCCAAAAAGCCTCTGGAGCCTGAGGGAGAGCAAAAAAACCTGGGCCTACCGGGCCCACTGTGCCATCGCGTGCCGAAAGTGGGAGGAGCACACGGGGGTCGTGCATGCGTACGCCGGGGGAGGGCATTGAATTATGGGGGTGGGCATGCATGCCAGTGAAAACCCCCCCCCGCCCACTGTTGGCACGTGACGGCAAAAAGGTTAGTCATCCTGGGTCTAGGGTTTCCTGCCTAAGCTGGGGGTTTGTTTGTTTGTTTGTTTGTTTGTTTGTTTATTTATTTATTATTTATTTATTAATTATTTAAATTTGTATACCGCCCTTCTCCCGAAGGACTCAGGGCGGTGAACAGCCAAAATTAAAAATACATACAATATAAAATTTAAAATAATTTAAAAGCAGAATTAAATCGAAATCGGCTTCCCCAAAATTAAAACCCATTCCCCTTAAAATAACCCATTAAAAATTTCAAGCCAGCCCAGCTTGGCGAAATAGGAAGGCCTTCAAAGCTCGACGGAAGGTCCGGAGGTCCGGGATCAGTCGTATTCCTGGGGGTAGCTCGTTCCAGAGGGCGGGTGCCCCCACAGAGAAGGCTCTTCCCCCTGGGGGTCGTCAGTCGACATTGCTTGACCGACGGCACCCTAAGGAGGCCCTCTCTGTGGGACCGAGTTGGCCGGTGGGAGGTTATTGGTGGCAGAAGGTGGTCTCGTAAATAACCGGGCCCTAAGCCATGGAGCGCTTTAAAGGTGAGAACCAATACCTTGAAGCGCACCCGGAAGACCACCGGAAGCCAGTGCAGCTCGCGCAGGCAAGGTGTCACATGGGAGCGCCATGTCGCCCCCCATAGGGTTGGACTAGAAAGCCTCCAGGGATCCCTTCCAACTCTGTGATTCGATTCTATTCTAAATATAAATTCTTGAGGCAATTTTTTTTTCCCCCTGTTCTAATGATCACATCTGGCAGGGGTGGGGATCCGTATCGCCTCTATAACTTGGACGTCTTCCAATACGAACTCTACAATCCGATGGCTCTCTACGGGTCAGTCCCGGTGTTGTTAGCTCACAGCGCCCAACGCACCCTTGGCATCTTTTGGCTCAACGCGGCCGAGACCTGGGTGGACATCACCTCCAACACAGCTGGCAAGGTAAGCGGTGTGGCCTTCGCTGCTGCGTTACGCAGGTCGTCCTCGACAGGGTGGATTTGATTTAAATGGAGTTGATTTAAATCACAATTTAAACCATGATTTAAATCACTAGTAAAAAGGCTTGATTCAAATCAACTCGATTTAAATCGTAATTTTTCAAGAGCAACTGTCATCTCTGCTACTCCTTTGACCCACTGTTGACTCACCGATAGCCCAGTGTTGCAGAATATACAGCCTCCTGCTACATAACTAAGCTCCATTTCATGCTGAATAAACTAAATTATTTATGTATCTTAAAGAGAAAACTATCTTACGATAGATTTGTACCCCAAAAGTTTTTTATTAAAATAAATTCGATAAAAATCAAAAAAATCCGATTTAAATCAAAAAATCCGATTTAAATCAAAAAAATCTGGGTTTTTTTTTATTTTTTTAAAAAAATCATTGATTGGTCCTCGACTTAACGACTGCAATTGAGCCCAAAATGTCTACTGTTAAGCGAGACATTTGTTCAGTGAATTTTCACCCATTTTCGGCTCTTCTTGCCACCATTGTTAAGAGAACCGCCGCAGTTTTTAAGTTAGTCACACGGTCGTAAAGCAAATCCAGCTTCCCCCTTGACTTTTGCTCGTCAGAAGGTCGCAAAAAGGAGATGACGTGAGCCCGGGATGCTGTGACGGTCATAAATACGAGTCAGTTGCCAAGCACCTGATTTTTTTGATCACACGGGGATGCTGCAATGGTCATACGGAAAACCGTCATAAGTCACTTTTGCAAGTGCCGTTGTAACTTTCAGCGGTCACTAAACGAACTGCGGTGATTCGAGGACTACCTGTAGTCGTCAGTCTGAAAAAGGGTCATAAGTTCCCTTTTTTTCAGGGTTTTTGTAATTTTGAACGGCCGCTAACGAATGGTCGTTAACTCGAGGGTTACCTTTTAGGAGTTTTCCTTAGTCATTTACCTAAAGGGTCTCCAAATTTGGCAGCTTTAAGACTGGTGGACGCCTGGCTGGCTGGGGAATTCTGGGAGTTGAAGTCCCAAAGTCTTAAAATTGCCAATTTAGAAACCTCTGATTTATAGTAATCTAGCTGGCTGGGGAATTCTGGGAGTTAAAGTTGCCAATTTGGAAACAGCTGATTAGAATGCGGTAATGAACTACTTTGTCTCCTGCAAACTCCCACCCCCTCCCCTTTCGCTCCTCTTTTATTCCCTCTGGGAGGGGCCATTCATCATCCACCTGTGGCTTTACTCCTGAGTCGACCCTCATTCTTTAGCTGTTCCCTTCATCTGGAAACAGGCTCCAGCTGTTCACCTGCCTCACTGATATCCAACTCCAAAGGCAGCTGATAACTGTCAGACGGCTTTGGCCCCCTCTCTGCCTCCGACGCAGAGCCTTCCCCAGACTCCAGGACCGGCCCATGTTCCTCCCCAACCTCCTCACTGTCCGAATCTGCTGCCAGCTCTGCTGGCCGCTGGCGGGCCACAACAGCTGGGGAATTCTGGGAGTTGAAGTTGCCAAGTTTGGATACCCCGATTCACAGTAACCTAGCTGGCTGGGGAATTCTGGGAATTGAAGTTCAGGCGTCTTAAATTTGCTAAGGTTGAGAAACACTAACCCCGAAGTATTCCCTGCCCATCTTCTCCTGCAGACCATGTTTGGGAAGATGCTAGATTATATACAAGGCGGAGGCGAGACGCCCCAGACAGACGTTCGCTGGATGTCGGAAAGCGGGATCATAGACGTCTTCCTTCTGTTGGGACCTTCACCCGCGGACATTTTCAAGCAGTACGCATCCCTCACAGGTGAGAGCTGGGTGGGAATCGGGGCGATCTCGAGGGCGAAGGACAAGAATTCTGGGAATTCTGCTATCAAGGTTTTAGCAAAACCGAGTAGCTTCCTCGTCTTCGGATGAAGGAATCTAGTTCGGAAACCATTCAAGGAACGAGGAAATTAAGAGCAGCGATTAAGAGCCTTGATAGTACAGTGGTTTAGTGCACCCTGTTATTAACACAGCTGCCTGCAATTTCTGCTGGTTCGAATCTCTCCAAGGCTCAAGGTTGACTCAGCCTTCCATCCTTTCTAAGGTAGGTGAAATGAGGACCCAGTTTGTGGGGGCAATAAGCTGACTTTGTATAAAATATACAAAAGTATGAAGGCTATTGCTTAACGCATTGTAAGCCGCCCTGAGTCTCCGGAGAAGGTCGGCATATAAATCAAATTAAAAAAAAAAAAAAAGAGTGTAGATAACGAAATATATATTTAGAGTGCAGTAGACACGCAAATATTGTATATATTATACAAATAAGTAACTATGAAATAAGAACGTAGATGTAAAAAACAATAGGCCTATGGATGTTGAAATTGAGAAAAAAATTCCGATAACGGAAACCTGTAATAATGTAATTGTGATTTTAAAGGTTAAAAATGTTGAATAAAAATATTTGAAGGGGAAAGAAAAAAAGAGTATAGATAGCCCTTGACTCACAAAGATTCATTTAGTGACGGTTTCAAGTTATGATAGATGGATGGATGGATGGATAGAGATAGAGAGATATATTGCTTCTGTGATTATATAAATTCTGTGCTTCTGGATTCTGAGTTCTGGTTCCGGCTTCTGCTGCATGGTTATTGTATACATGCACCATGTTTTAGGTTACAGTATATAAAGAAGTTTCTTTTATACACGAATCCTGCTGAACTATTCACTCGTGTACTGGTTGGATTGCTGCAAATTCTTTAACGACTTTTCCCCGCGCCTCCGTAACTTCGGACGGTCACCCAACGAGCTGTTGTAAGCCGAGGACTTCCTGTACAAGGCGATGGCCTTCCCTCCGTGTGAACACGGCGGCAGCTCCTTATCGTCTGCCTGTTTTCCCCTTCTCCAGGCACCCAGGCTCTGCCTCCGCTCTTCGCCCTGTCCTATCACCAGAGCCGCTGGAACTACAACGACGAGGAAGACGTGGCCGCCGTGGACAACGGCTTCGACGAGCACGACATCCCCTACGACGTCATCTGGCTGGACATCGAACACACCGACGGCAAGCGTTACTTCACCTGGGACCCCAACAAGTTCGCCCACCCGCGGGAGATGCTTCAGCGGCTGGCCGCCAAGAGGAGGAAGGTAAGAAGGAACAAAAACCGCCGCCCTTTGAATCTTCCTGGCGGAGTTTGGGGCAGTTTCTGAAGGCCTCGTCGTCGGCCTGCGACTTGGGTGCAAGTAGAAGAGACGGTTTCGTAACTCGGGACTGTTGGACCGTGGGGTTCTTTGGCGCTCTCCTGAGCTGGGTGGTTTTCTTGCAAACGTTTCACGACCCAACTAGGGAACGTCATCAGTGTTAAGAAGGGAGTGGGAATAGTGGAGAGGAGGAGGAGGAGGACAACTGCGGGGTCTATGATGCTCTCTTGAGCTTGGTTGCTTTCTTGGAGATGTTTCATGACCCAACTAAGTAACATCATCAGTGCTAGTAGGAGGAAGGAGGAGAATTGTGGGGGATGCTTGGTGCTCTGTGAACTTGGTTATTTTCTTGGAGATGTTTCATGACCCAACTAAGTAATATCATCAGTGGTAGTAGGAGGAAGGAGGAAAATTGTGGGGTCCTTGGGGCTCTCTGGTTATTTTCTTACAGACGTTTCATGACCCAACTAAGTAACATCATCAGTGCTAGAAGAGGGAAGGAGGAAGGAGGAGAATTATGGGGTCCGTGGTGCTCTCTGTGCTGGCTTGTTCTCTTACAGACGTTTCATGACCCAACTAGGGAACATCATCAGTGCTAGAAGGGAGTGGGGATTGTGGAGAGGAGGAAGAGGAGAACTGTGGGGTCCTTGGTGGTCTCTGAGCTTTGGTGGTGTTCATGCAGACGTTTCAAGACCCAACCAGGGAATATTATCAAGACTAGAAGAGAGTGGGATTTGTGGAGAGGAGGAAGAGGAAGATAAGGAGGAAGATGAGGAGGAGGAGGACAACAACAACAATAACAGTGGCCTCCTTGGTGCTCTCTGAGGTTGGTGGTTTTCTTGGAGACATTTCATGACCAGAATAGAAATAGAAATAGAAATAGAAATAGAAAAGGATAGGATAGGATAGGATAGGATAGGATAGGATAGGATAGGATAGGATAGGATAGAATAGAATAGAATAGAATAGAATAGAATAGAATAGAATAGAATAGGAATAGAATAGAATAGGAATATAGAATAGAAATAAATAGAATAGAAAATAAATAGAATAGAAAATAGAATAGAATAGAATAGAATATAGAATAGAATAGAATAATAGGATAGAATAGAATAATAGAATAGAAAATAGAATAGAATAGAATAGAGAATAGAATATAGGATAGGATAGAATAGAATAGGAATAGGAATAGAGAATAGAATAGACTAGAAAATAGAATAGACTAGAAAATAGAATAGAATATAGGATAGGATTAGAATAGAATAGAATAGAATAGAATAGAATAGAATAGAATAGAATAGAATAGAATAGAATAGAATTCTTTATTGGCCAAGTGTGATTGGACACACAAGGAATGTTGTCTTTGGTGCATACGCTCTCAGTGTACATAAAAAGAAAAGATACATTCGTCAAGAATCATAAGGGACAACACTTAATGATAGTCATAGGGTACAAATAAGCAATCGAATCATATTAGGAAACAGTCAATATAATTAAGGATACCAGCATCAAGGTTACAGTCATACAAGTGGGAAGAGATCAGATACTAGGAAGGAAGAGAAGAATAATAGTAATGCAGATTTAGTAGTTAATAGTTTGACAGTGTTGAGGGAATTACTCTGTTGAGCAGAGTGATGGCGTTCAGGAGGAAAAAACTGTCCTTGTGTCTAGTTGTTCTGGTGTGCAGTGCCCTATGGCGTCATTTTGAGGGTAAAAGTTGAAAGAGTTGATGTCCAGGATGCGAGGGGTCTGTAGATATTTTCCCAGCCCTCTTTTTTGACTTGTGCGGTATACAGGTCCTCCATGGAAGGCAGGTTGGTAGCCATGGTTTTTCTTCTGCAGTTCTAATGATCCTCCGAAGTCCGTGTCTGTCTTGTTGGGTTGCAGAGCCAAACCGGACAGTGATAGAGGTGCAGATGACAAGACTCAACTGAACTAGGTAACTTCATCAGTGCTGTTGGGTTAGAATAGATCATGATCATGCTAGTGCCCCCCTCGGCCAGCTGAGGAATGACAGGGGAGGAGAGTGACGGAAAGGGTGACTCACTCTATGCAAATCATCCACCAATCGCCACCCGGACAGCCAGCTGGCATGATGGGGAAACGCGCAGAGGGGAGAAAAAAACCCCATTTTCACCCCCAAATCGCCCCACGGGAGATGCTGTTGCGATCCAGCCCTGACAAGAACGCTGGGAAGAATTGATCCCCTGGGATCTCTTTGCCACCCTGTCGCGCTCCCCGAAATCTGGAGGAGCCTCCGGATGGGAGTCTCGGGCCCCGTCCACCTGGTTCCGGTATCGCTTCTCGGCCTTTTGGCTAAGATCAAGTGTAGTATCTGTTCTTATCAGTTTAATATCTGATATGTCCTCTATTTGAGGACTACATATTAAAATGGATTTTTGGAACTGGGAGATGGAATAGGGGCTTGCTCCGTCCACTCCAAGCATCGGCCTGGCCTGGTATTGCAGTACCTCCAGGAACGGTGCACCTCCCACCTGGGAGGAATCTCACGGGTCGAAAAACAGATCGAAAGCTCCTTGCGCATGCAGAGGGATCCTCTGATGGGTCCTTTGCTCCAGAGATCTGGCTGCGCTCTCTGCCTCTCACTTAAGAGCGGTGCCCTATTTCCACCCTTTTGCACATGAGTGCAAATGATATTTGATGGGCAGATAGGTGAACGGTGAGCCAGTTACTCTGCACGGGTGAAAAACACTCCTACCTGCCTAACAGGTCATAAAATGGATCCAGTTTCTGGGTCGGAAGGAAGGCTAAATTGAGGAGTGGCTTAAAACATGGCTTTCAACGCCCATTTATTACAGGTTGAAAGCCAGTCTTAGGCCAGGAACGGCTGCTAAATTGAGTCGAGTGGGTTAAAAAAGGGTTTTCACTGTGCAAGAAATCACAAAAGGATCCAGTCTTAGGCCCCATGAAGGGGAGTTTAGCTCTTAGAAGATAGAATAATAGGAAAGGGACCCTTGGAGGTCTTCTAGTCCAACCCCCTGCTTCATTCAGACAATTAATTGAAAGACTTAATTAAAATATTAATTGAGAAGTGGGTTAAAAAGGCTTTAAATATGTACCGGTAATAAATCACAAAAGGATCTGAGTCATAGGCCAGGAAGGGGTGCTAAATTGAGGAGTGGATTAAACAGGCTTTCAATGTGTAATAAATCACAAAAGGATCCAGTCTTAGGCCCCATGAAGGGGAGCTTAGCTCTTAGAAGATAGAATAATAGGAAAGGGACCCTTGGAGGTCTTCTAGTCCAACCCCCTGCTTCATTCAGACAATGAATTCTAATTAATTAACTAATTAAAACTAAGAGTGGTGCCCTCTTTGCATCCTTTTGCACACGGGTGCAAATGAGATGAACGGGGAGCCTGATGCTCTGATGGGCGAACGCATCCTTTACTTTTACAAATAACCTCCTTCCTATTATCCCCACAACAACAACAACAACCTTGCGAGGTGGACTGAAGTGAGAGGAACAACGCCATGTTTTAGGACAAGTCTGATCGTGCCAAAAATCGGATAAATAAGTTTGCTCAAAGCAGTTCCAGTGCAGATAGTCCCCGACTTACGACCACAATTAAGCCCAGCATTCGGAATCTTGGAATGGACGGCAAATTAACCCAGTGTATTTCCTAGAACCTTCCTTCCTTCCTCCTCCCCACCCTCTTGTCTTTCCTTCTTTCCTTCCTCCCTCCCTCTTTCCTTCCTTCCCATCTTTTCTTCCCTCCCTCCCTCTTTCCTCCATCTTTCCTTCTTCTCTTTTCCTTCCTTCCTTTCTTCGCCTTCTTACCCTTCCTTCCTCTCTCTTTTCTCCTTTTCCTTCCTTCCTTCCATCCTTCTTTCCTCCCTCCTTCTTTTTCCTTCCTTTCTTCCTTCCTTCCTCCCACTTTCCTCCCTCCCTTCTTTTTCCTCCCTTCCTCCGTCCCTCCCTTTTTCATTCTTCCCTCTTCCATCCCTTCCTCCCTCCCTCCCTGTCTTTCCTTCCTTCCTTCCTTCCTCTTCCTCTCCCTCCCTTCTTCCTTCCCATCGTTTCTTCCCTCCCTCCCTCTTTCCTCTCTCCATCTTTCCTTCCTCTCTTTTTCCTTCCTTTTTCCTTCCTTCCTTTCTTCGTCTTCTTACCCTTCCTCCCTCTCTCTTTTCTCCCTTTTCCTTCCTTCCTTCCATCCTTCTTTCCTCCCTCCTTCTTTTTCCTTCCCTTCTTCCTTCCTTCCTCCCACTTTCCTCCCTCCCTTCTTTTTCCTCCCTTCCTCCGTCCCTCCCTTTTTCATTCTTCCCTCTTCCATCCCTTCCTCCCTCCCTCCCTGTCCTTCCTTCCCTCCTTCCTTCCTTCCTTCCTTCCTCTTCCTCTCCCTCCCTTCTTCCTTCCCATCTTTTCTTCCCTCCCTCCCTCTTTCCTCTCTCCATCTTTCCTTCCTTTTTCCTTCCTTCCTTTCTTCGTCTTCTTACCCTTCCTCCCTCTCTCTTTTCTCCCTTTTCCTTCCTTCCTTCCATCCTTCTTTCCTCCCTCCTTCTTTTTCCTTCCTTTCTTCCTTCCTTCCTCCCACTTTCCTCCCTCCCTTCTTTTTCCTCCCTTCCTCCGTCCCTCCCTTTTTCATTCTTCCCTCTTCCATCCCTTCCTCCCTCCCTCCCTGTCTTTCCTTCCTTCCTTCCTTCCTCGTCCTCTCCCTCCCTTCTTCCTTCCCATCTTTTCTTCCCTCCTTCTGTCTTTCCTCCCTCCCACCTTCCTTCTTCCTTCCTATCTTTTCTTCTCTCCTTCTGTCTTTCCTCCCTTCCTCCCTCCTCCTTCCTCTCTTTTTCTTTTTCTTTCCTTTTTTCTTCCTTCCTTTCTTCGTCTTCCTACCCTCCCTCCCTCTCTTTTCTCCCTTTTCCTTCCTTCCATCCTTCTTTCCTCCCTCCCTCTCCTCCCCCCTCCCTTCTTTTTCCTTCCTTTCTTCCTTCCTTCCTCCCACTTTCCTCCCTCCCTTCTTTTTCCTCCCTTCCTCCGTTCCTCCCTTTTTCATTCTTCCCTCTTCCATCCCTTCTTCCCTCCCTCCCTGTCTTTCCTTCCTTCCTTCCTTCCCTCCCTTCCTCCCTCTTTATTTTTCTTTCTCTCTCTCTCTGTCCTTTTTTCCTTCCTCCTTTCTCTTCCCTCCCCAAATACATACTACTGCAACCACCCCACTCCATAATTCAGGACCCCTCTGAGCCACGAAGGTGGCATGGATGTCCGGGACTGAAGCTCCAGGGTGATGCCTAAACGCAGCTGCCGGACAGGTGCGGGGAGAGGACATCTGGGCCCATCATCCTGAGCTGGTGGGTCCTGTCCAGGAGATGCCATGGCTTGGAGTCCCAGCCCATCTCTGCCCTCCTGGCCCCTTTTGCAGGTGGTGGTGGGTGCTAGTGCCCCCCACGGCCAGCTGAGGAATGACAGGGGAGGAGAGTGACGGAAAGGGTGACTCACTCTATGCAAATCATCCACCAATCGCCACCCGGACAGCCAGCTGGCATGATGGGAAACGCGCAGAGGGGAGAGAAGCCCCCATTTCCACCCCCAAATCGCCCCACTGGAGATGCTGTTGCGGTCCAGCCCTGACAAAGAACTGGGAAGAATTGATCCCCTGGGATCTCTTTGCCACCCTGTCGCGCTCCCCGAAACCTGGAGGAGCCTCCGGATGGGAGTCTCGGCCACCGTCTGCCTGGCTCCGGTATCGCTTCTCGGCCTTTTGGCTAAGATCAAGTGTAGTATCTGTTCTTATCAGTTTAATATCTGATATGTCCTCTATTTGAGGACTACATATTAAATGGATTTTTGGAACTGGGAGATGGAATAGGGGCTTGCTCCGTCCACTCCAAGCATCGGCCTGGTATTGCAGTACCTCCAGGAACGGTGCACCTCCCACCTGGGAGGAATCTCATGGGTCGAAAAACAGATCGAAAGCTCCTTGGCACGCAGAGGGATCCTCTGATGGGTCCTTTGCTCCAGAGATCTGGCTGCGCTCTCTGCCTCTCGCTGAAGAGCGGTGCCCTATTTCCACCCTTTTGCACATGGGTGCAAATGATATTTGATGGGCAGATAGGTGAACGGATCAGCCAGTTGCTCTGATGGGTGGGTGAAAAAGGCTTTTAAGTGCCTAACAGATCATAAAATGGATCCAGTTTCTGGGTCGGAAGGAAGGCTAAATTGAGGAGTGGGTTAAAAAAAGGCTTTCAACGCCCATTTATTACAGGTCTAAAGCCAGTCTTAGGCCAGGAACGGCTGCTAAATTGAGTCGAGTGGGTTAAAAAAGGGTTTTCACTGTGCAAGGAATCACAAAAGGATCCAGTCTTAGGCCCCATGAAGGGGAGCTTAGCTCTTAGAAGATAGAATAATAGGAAAGGGACCTTGGAGGTCTTCTAGTCCAACCCCCTGCTTCATCCAAACAATTAATTGAACTGTTTAATTGAAAGACTTAATTAAAATATGGAGGAATGGGTTCAAAAGGCTTTCAATGTGTAATAAATCGCAAAAGGATCCAGACTCAGACCATAAGGGGGTGCTTCGTTTTTGAGAGATCTCACGGGTTCAAAAAAAAAAAAAAAACAGATGGAAGGAAATACAGGAAGGAAAAATCCTGGCAGAGAGCATGGGACTGACTAGATCCCTTTATGATCCCTTTAAGGTAGTTTTTGGACTGGGTGTATACCTAAAAATCGTACATGTGGGGGGTCTGCAAAGCCCCCGACATGTACCCCATAACCCCCATGTACCCCATAACCCCCATGTACCCCATAACCCCCATGTACCCCATAACCCCCATGCTGTAAGGAAGAGCCAGCTGGCTTTGACCAAGAATTCGACCTCCCTTATTTTAGCTAAGATGCTCTCAAAGGATCATTGCCTGTTCCGGGAAATGGGGGAAGATGGTCACAAGCAGCTCCCGTGTAGAAGTTCAGCTAAATAAAAACCACACAATAGCAGATTTATGCACCGATTCCTCCGCTAGCTAGTTTTGTGTGAATTTTTTTAAGGTTTTAACCAATAAAAGAAAATATTTGGAGCTCAGGGTCGAAATGAGGGCTCCCTGGTGCTCTCTGAGCATGAAACTTTGTAGACGTTTCATGACCCAATTAGGTAACTTCATCAGTGCTAGAAGGAGCGTTTGCAGTCAAAAAAAAAAATAAAACCTTCCTTGTACCACTGATGATGTTACCTAGTTGGGTCATGAAACGTCTGCAAGAACACCACCAAGCTCAGAGAGCAACAAGGACCTCATAGTCCTCCTCCTCTCCCTCTGAAATTGTGGGTGCTCCCATCGCTGGAGGATTTTAAGAACAGATTAGGCAGCCGCCTTCTCTGAAACGGTATAGGATCTCCTGCTTGAATAGGGGAATTGAATTAGAAGACACCCAACTCTCTTGTTTTCTGATTCCTCCTCTTCCTCTGCAGATCCCATTCCTTTTGGCACTGATGATGTAGCTTAGTTGGGTCATGAGACGTTTGCAAGGAAGCAACCAGGGATTGGGCTTCAAACTTTTTAGCAAGGGGTTCTCTGGCTGGTGGCTGGGTGGGCATGGCCATGGTGGGCGTGGCTAGTTGGTTTACTGTGTGTGGGAGGTTGTTTTTGACCTCCCCAGGCTCCGGAGGCTTTTCTTGAGACTCCGGGTGGGCGAAAGTGGCATCCCCAGGCTCTGGAAGCCGGAAATGGGCCCGTTTCTAGCCTTCCCGAACTTCCAATAGAGCCCTTTGTCGCCCTCCCCGAGCCTCCGCGCGCACCCTGGACTTTCCTGCATCCAAAACGGGCCGCGTGAGGACTCCTGGAAGGGGCGGAGTGGGGTGGGCGGGGCCAGTCTGCATAGAATCTTAGCTGCAAACCCCCCAGCAGCCCACCCCTGGAAACAACCAAGCTCAGAGAGCACCAAGGGCCCCACAATTTGGATAGTCCTGGCACGGCCATGATCTAGAACCTAAACTCCGTTGCCTGAGCCTGGGCTATCGACAGATGCAGAGTCTGAGAGTGAGGGAGAGGAGTTGGCAAGGCCTCCCTCTCCAGGACCCTCCTCTCTGGCAATGCCTCCGGAGGACACCGAAGGCCAAGAGATAGGCCCAGAGCCAAGCATGTCCCCGCAGCCACAGGTGGACAGCGACGAAGGAGATAAGTGCTGGCTGGACCCGCGACAGAGGCGCAGGGAGAAGCGTGCACAGCAGAAGGGAAGGCGTGCCAGAGATTAGCTGAGTCACTGGACCACACCCCACAGGGTATAAATGTGGGTGTGGTGGCCGGTTCAGTTTGTGACGAGCAAAAACTGGAAATACACCATGATCTCTGCGTTACTGGACTTTGCCTGCTTTATCGGACTGCATTTGGACTAATCCTTGTATTGTTGACTGTTTTATCGGAATGCTGGCAGTCTAACCTTTGCTTTGTGTGAGTAAAGTCTGAATTGGCAGCTAGCCACTGGGTTGCTGCCAGCTTTATCTTCAAAGAGTTTTGTCGTGTGGCTTACTAACTCAGGGCTGTCTGTGGGGTGTCATGTCATAAAAGAGCCAGAGTTGCCCACTTCTGAACTAGATGGGTATATTAATGCTACCGCTTAAGTGCCATCACCCCAATCTATGTTATTCGTCCTTGACCTTCCAGATGGTGAGCATTGTAGATCCACACATCAAAGTTGACACCGGCTACCGAATCCACAATGAAATTCGCTCCCGGGACTTCTACGTCAAGACCAAGGATGGGAATGATTATGAAGGCTGGTGCTGGCCAGGTGAGGAAAAAAATAAATAAATTCTAGGATGCATCCAGATGTTGATAGCCCTGGAAAGAAATATAGAGAAGAGCGACAAAGAAGATTAGGGGGCTTTGAGGCTAAATCATACGAAGGACAGGTTGCAGGAATTGGGTCCGTCTAGTTGAATGAAAAGAAGGACGAAGGATTTCTTTTGTTATTAAGTTTCTAATCTCTGCACCTGTTATCTAATCATTTATACAATAAGTCCCATGTTGAGTAATACTCTGTTTCCCCTTTATCTTTTAAGTTCCATCATTAATTTCCTTGATGAGGGTGTGACATTGTCCAGATGAGGGTTATATCAGTCGGATCTGATGCTGGCTGAGTCATAACTTTTGACCACTCCCCTTGCTCCGCCCCTTTCATGCCCAGTTTAGACTCAGTCGGCCTGAGAGAAACATCTCCTACAGATCTGGCTATACAGCCCAGGTCTGTTCAATATCACAGAATTGTAAGTCTTTTTGACCACCTTTTTATTTCTATAGCTTAAAATTGTTACTTCCCCTTTAAATTTTTTCCCCCCCTTCTATTGTAGCCTGCCGGTTTTGCTTTGCTAGAGCCTCCTAAGCTGCAGGCTTTGCTTCGCTCCTGGCGGCGGCCATTTTGAAAGCCCCATTCTAAAAGGGAACTTTTTTCCTTTTTCTTTTTCCTGTCTTTTTTGGGGGGGATTTTTTTGATCTATCCCACCAACGATTGTTTAAGGGGCCCTAGACCACAATACCACCAACAATAATAGCAATTACCTAATTTTAAGGGAAATTGCCAAATCGGGCCGCCGCCCACCCTACAGCGATCCCAAAACCGCTGATCAGCTGTAGAGCGGTTAATTGAAGCCCCGCGGCAATTTTAAAAGGAAATTTTTGCCGCTTTGCCACCAACGAGTCTGCAAGTTTGGGGGGGGCAGCAAGCTTCTTCTTGCCTCCCCCTGTGGCATTTCCAGCCAGTATTTTTATTTTTTTCTCTTTGTGGCTGGGGGGGCGCTGAGGAGGTCCGTTTCTAGGCTTGCCTAGACAGATACCTCCAGAGCAGAGTTTTCCTCCTGCTCAAGTGTGACCTGGCAGCCATCGTGCTTAACGCCAGAGTCGTTGCCATCTCAAATTTCAACCACGTGGTGAAACTGAAACCAAAAGCTATTTCTCCAGTCGACATCGTGGTCGCAGTGAGTATACTAAACATGGCGGATCGCTCTTCCCATGGGGAGGAAAATACTATGTACACTGGGAAGAAATCAACTTCCAAACGTAAGCACCTTTCTAAGCCTGAGGAGAAGGATTTAGCAAAGAGGCATAAATCTCTAGAAAAGCAAGCTAGTGAAGTGCCTGCAACTGAGCCTGATAAGGGGACCCCCCCCCATCTACCCCCCCTCCTCCCATTTCAACTGTTAGCCAGGCCTGGTCTTCGGAGGGAGAGGGTAATGTTCTTCAACAAGACCAAAGCAATTTGCAAAACCCCTTTGCAAGTCAATTAATGACCCCTGCAACTCCTGTATTTGGTGGGCCTGCAGCTGCAGCTGCTTCAACAGGTGAATCCTCTATGCCTGTGCTAACCCCCGAAGATCCTTTAAAAAATGTGCCAGAAGGATTGAGAATTCTGATTGAACAGGCCATTGCTTCTAGAATGGCAGCCAATATTCATGGTCACCACTCTGGCTCTGCTATTTCAGAGCGATCTGCCCGTATTAGAATTTCTCCTGCAGTCAGTCTTACTGGCTCTCATTCTCCTGCAGCCTCCAGAGTTAGTGAAGCCTTTGTGTTTGAGGAAGAGAGACATTCTGACCTATCAGATGATGAGGGGATAATCCAAGATCAACCTGCCTTTACAGGATTATTTCCCCCCAATAAATTCAAGTCTTTATTGCATAAGGCTCGCTTAACAGCCGCCTTAAAGGAAGATGAATACTTTCAAGAGATGCAGGAGGCTCAAAAGGGTGGACTACAGGGACCTTTTTCTGAGCCCCCCCCTGAACTTTGTTATGTACCAACTCCACAACTGTTCATAGACGTGGTAAAGAAACAGTGGGCTGGGCCTGCAACCATGGCATCTGCACATGGTTCAGATAAGAAATATTATGCTGTTGCTCCAAAGTTTGCTCAACTCTTGCAAGTTCCACCTGTAGACAGTCCTGTAGCGGCCCTTTCCTCTTCTTCTTCATACGTAACTGGGGATACTTCTGAAGGTCTAAGGCCAGAAGACAAAAAGTTAGAATTTCTGTTTAAAACGAACCATCAGGCCTCGGCATGGGCAATTCAATCAGCTTCATCAGCCTCATTTTTAATAGAACTACCATCCTTTGGCTTCAACAGTTACAGGCAAGGGTACCCCCCAGTGAGGTTCGCCTTCATCAGGATATTAATAAAATCATTGCTGCCACTCAATTTTCGGCTGATGCAACCTTGAATTCAGCCAAATTTGCATCCAGAGCCTTAGCCTCTACAGTTTCAGCCCGCAGGATGCTCTGGCTTCGCCAATGGCCTGCTGACCTTAAGGCCAAATGGCGCTTGGCTGCAGCTCCATATTCTGCAAACAGACTATTTGGGGAATCACTTGACCCTCTTCTTGTAGAGACACGGGACAAGCGAAAAATTTTGCCCTCAACATACAAACGGGCTGAAGGAAGACCCTCTCCATATTACAGAAGGCCTTCCTTTCGTTCCTACCCCCAGGGAGGCCCCTCCAGGCAGGAATATCTTCAGGGATCCTATCGGTCCTCGGACCGTCAATAATTTCGGGACAGGAGCAGACAATTCCAGCCCAAACGGTCCTTTCGGGGTTCTGGTTTCCGCCAGTCCCACAGTCGTAAGTGACTCACTACCAAATCCTCCAGTAGGGGGTCGCCTGTCCCTCTTCGCGGACAGGTGGGAAAGGTCATCTTCAGACCTTTGGGTTCTTTCAGTTGTAAAATTCGGCCTCCCCCTGGAATTTCTCTCCAGGACTCCAACCCGCTTTCTTCAATGTCCAACTTCCAAAAGCGAATCCAGACGTCAATTAATGAACCTAGCAGTTCAGCACCTACTACAGATTCACGCCATAGAGGAGGTCCCCCACGATCAATGGAAACAGGGGTATTATTCCATCCTGTTCGTAGTTCCAAAGCGGTCAGGGGGGTGGAGAGCCATTCTGGACTTAAAAAATCTCAACTCATACATAGTGTATCGCAGATTCAAAATGTGTTCACTAACCTCTATTCTTCAAGGGATTCGTCCCAACGATTTTCTAGTTTCCATAGACCTCATGGAGGCTTATCTTCACATTCCCATCCTGCCAAAGCATCGACAGTATCTCCGATTCAGCTATGCAGGAAAGCATTTTCAATACCGGGCTCTTCCCTTCGGACTGGCATCTGCACCAAGGGTCTTCACAAAGGTCCTGGCGGTGGTGGCGGCTCACCTGAGACAACAACCGGTAAGGATCCAGGCTTACCTGGACGATATTCTGATTCAGGCTCACTCTCAAGAGCAAGCCTTACACGACCTACACCTCACGATTCAAACCCTGAACAACCATGGGTTCTTGGTCAACTACAAAAAAAGTCAGTTAGTGCCAGTCACCAGGATCACCCATCTTGGCGCCATCATAGACGCAGCCCAGGGGACCGTCTACCTAACCTTGGAACGACGGTCAGACATCAGGGACCTAGTAGCTCTCATTCGCAGAACTCCATCAGTTCCATTGGCCACTCTATCCAAGCTCTTAGGCAAGATGGTCTCCTGCGTCCAGATCGTCCCATGGGCACACCTTCACGCTCGCCACTTGCAGTGGTTCCTGCTTTCTTTTCAAAAGAAACGCCAAGCTCACACCATGTTAACAGTCAAAGTTCCACTTTCAGTCAGGCGATCGCTAGGTTGGTGGACATCGCCTTCTCTCGACAAGGGGTGTCTCTTCATGAATCACGACTGACTTGTACTCACTACAGACGCCAGCCTTCACGGATGGGGGGCTCATCTTGCGTCACACGTGGCTCAGGGCCGTTGGTCTGCATCAGACCTCGCCAACCCTATCAACTGGCTGGAGCTGAAGGCCATTCGTCTCGCTCTCACGCACTTTCACCGGTTCGTGCAACACCGTCATGTTCTGGTGTTGACAGACAATATGGCGGCGAAGGCACATGTCAACCGTCAAGGGGGCACCCACTCAAAGCGCCTCATGGAGGAATCATTTCGCCTGGGCAAGTGGGCAGAACAACACCTCCTCTCCATCAGAGCGGACCACATTGCGGGGTCGGAAAACACACAGGCGGATTTCCTGAGCAGGACAGAGGTGGACAACAGCGAGTGGCAGATTCATCCCGACATATTTCATCAGATTTGCAACAGGTTCGGCATCCCAGCCATAGATCTCTTCGCCACACACCTGAACAATCAGCTTCCTCGCTTCTTCTCGAGGTTCCCGACACCAGGGGCGGAAGGGGTCAACGCTCTCCGTCTCACCTGGCCGCCGGGTCTTCACTATGCCTTTCCACCGCTGCCTCTGATTCCGGCCCTGATTCGGAAGGTCATCGCCGACAGAGCAGAAATTATCCTCGTGGCTCCCCACTGGCCACGCCGTCCGTGGTTCGCAGACCTGGTCAGTCTCTCCACATTTCACCCTTGGAGGATTCCACCAGACGAGATTGTACTGCGTCAGGGGAACCTTCTTCATCCGGACCCTCAGTGGCTCCAACTGACTGCATGGCGCTTGAAGGGGCCCGTCTAAGGCAGGACAATTATTCAGATAGGGTGATTCACATTGTTCAAGCCTGCAGACGTAAATCCACAGTCAGACTCTACAATATCTCCTGGCTCGCCTTTTATAGGTGGTGCCGTTCCCGGCAGATAGATCCTGTTTCAGCCTCACCTGCCCAGATCTTGGAGTTCCTCAGAGATGGGTTTGACCGTGGTCTGGCCCATAGTACCCTTCGGAGACATGTGGCGGCTCTGTCTACGGCCTTGTCCAGTCCATCCGGCCGACCACTCACTCAGCACCCTGTGATAAAAAAGTTCCTGCGAGGAGCCAGGCTCTTGTGGCCCTCCTCGATTCATAGATACCCTACTTGGGATTTGCCCAAGGTCCTTAACGCTTTAACTGAGAATCCCTTTGAGCCCCTCCGCACGGTTCACCTTCGCTTTCTCACCCTTAAGGTGGTTTTCCTTATAGCCATAACTTCAGCCCGTCGCATTTCGGAGCTGGCAGCCCTCTCAGTTAGGGAGGATCTCTGTGTTTTCCGGCCGGACACAGTTATTTTGAGATTGGACACAGGGCCCAAGAGGTTATTTTGCCCAATTTCTGTTCCCGGCCCTCTCATGCCTTGGAACGAAGGTGGCATACCTTAGATGTACGGAGGGCCCTAAAGATTTATATCAAAAGGACTGCTCCCTTCAGGAAGTCAGAGGCTTTGTTTGTTTCCTTTTTGCCAGGCTCCCTAGGGCTCAAAGTCTCTTCTGCCACAATTGGTAGATGGATCAGGGCTTGCATCGCCTCGGCATATCAGGCCCAGGCGATTCCTGTTCCCAATAGCATTACTGCCCACTCCACTAGGAGTGCTGCTACCTCAGCAGCTTGGGCAACTCAGGCCTCCCTTGAGGAGGTATGTAGGGCAGCCACCTGGTCTACCCCCTCGCCATTTATTCGTCATTACAAGATAGATACCTTTGCTTCTGCTGAAGCGTCATTTGGCAGGAGGGTTTTGCAGCAGGTGCATCGTGCGAGGGTCTCTCCAGGCCCTTCGACATCCCGCCCTTGAGACAGCCAAATCTTTGGTATGTCCCTCATCTGGACAATGTCACACCCTCATCAAGGAAATTGGGCATTGGTCTTACCTTAAATGCCAGATTTCTTGAGGGGGGTGACATTGTCCAGCCCCTCCCTCTGTCTCAGTGCCTGTACAGTTTATTGTTCTTGTTCAGTAGTTTTTTTCCAGTTGTCCCGTTGGACCGAATTACTTCCTCCTGATAACGGGGGTTCCTGTTGGAGATACTTCTGGTGGCCTTCCTTCGTCAAAACTGAGCATGAAAGGGGCGGAGCAAGGGGAGTGGTCAAAAGTTATGACTCAGCCAGCATCAGATCCGACTGATATAACCCTCATCTGGACAATGTCACCCCCCTCAAGAAATCTGGCATTTAAGGTAAGACCAATGCCCAATCTGCCCAATTTGGCACATTCTAATATTTTCTTTATTACCATAATCTTGCCCAGAATAGAATAGGAATAGGAATAGGAATAGGAATAGGAAATAGGAATAGGAATAGGAATAGAATAGAATAGAATAGAATAGAATAGAATAGAATAGAATAGAATAGAATAGAATAGAATAGAATAGAATAGAATAGAATTAGATATAAAATTAGAATGGAATGGAATGGAAAAGAATAGAAAATATTTAAAATTAGAATGGAATGGAATGGAATAGCATATATATAAAATTAGAATGGAATGGAATGGAATGGAATGGAATGGAATGGAATAGAATAGAATAGAATAGAATAGAATAGAATAGAATAGAATAGAATAGAATAGAATAGAATTCTTTATTGGCCAAGAGCCTTGGTAGTACAGGGGTTTAAGGCACCCTGTTATTAAGCTGGTTATTAAGACCAGCTGCCTGCAATTACTGCAGGGTTCGAATCTCGCCAAGGCTCAAGGTTGACTCAGCCTTCCATCCTTTCTAAGGTAGGTAAATTGAGGACCCAGTTGTGGGGGCAATAAGCTGACTTTGTATAAAATATACAAAAGGATGAAGGCTATTGCTGAGCACATTGTAAGCCGCCCTGAGTCTTCGGAGAAGGGCGGCATATAAATCAAATTAAAAAAAAAAAGTGTGATTGGACAGACAAGGTCTTAGGTGTATAGGCTGTCAGTGTACATAAGGAGAATAAAATACATTCGTCAGGAATAAAAAGATGCAAAGGTTACTAATAAGCTATCAAATCGTAGTAAGAAACAAATAAAAACAATATAATTGAGAGATACAAGCAACATGGTTATAGTAGTAAGTGGGAAAGATACCAGCAAGGAAGAGAAGAATAATAGTATTACAGTCTTAGTAAATTATTTGACAGTGTTGAGGGAATTAGTTGTTAAGCAGAGTGAGGTCGTTCGGGAAAAAACTGTCCTTGTGTCTAGTTGTTCTGGTGTGCAGTGCCCTATAGTGTCGTTTGGAGGGTAGGAGTTGAAAGAGTTGATGTCCAGGATGCGAAGGGTCTGTAGATATTCTCCCAGCCCTCTTTTTGACTCCTGCAGTATACAGGTCCTCCATGGAAGGCAGGATGGTAGCCATTGTTTTCTTCTGCAGTTCTAATGATCCTCTGAAGTCCGTGTCTGTCTTGCTGGGTTGCAGAACCAAACCAGACAGTTATGGAGGTGCAGATGACAAGACTCAATCATTCCTCTGTAGAACTGAATCAGCAGCTCTTAGGGCAAAGTTTGAGCTTCCTGAGTTTGCGCAGCAAGAACATTCTTTGTTGAGCTTTTTTTTTTTGATGAAACTGACAATATTCATTCCGTTCTGTTCACAACAGCTCACCGTTAAGTCGTTTCTCTTGTCTCCTGGTACTCAGGTTCAGCGGGCTATCCGGATTTCACCAACCCCCAGATGCGCTCCTGGTGGTCCAGCATGTTTGCTTACGACCAATACGAGGTAGGGGTTTTATTCCTGGTTTATTTCTGACCTTCTTTCTACTCTTCGGCGTCTCCCTGTCACTCGCTTTTCCTTTAATCCCCCAGGGCTCCATGGAGAACCTTTACACTTGGAATGACATGAACGAACCTTCGGTCTTCAACGGTCCCGAGGTCACCATGTACAAGGACGCCGTCCACCACGGGGGCTGGGAGCATCGCGACGTCCACAACCTCTACGGCTTCTACGTGGTGAGTGTCATTCCTGTGAGGTTTGTGCAGCTCAGAATCTGAATCAATCTGAACGGGACTCTGAAGACGAGGCTACTGATTATTCAGTTTTATTTTTGATCAAAGCAAAACTTGGGCGACCTCAATCTCCCGCCTTAAACAGAGAGAGAGAGAGAGAGAAAAAACTTTTTTCCTTCTTATAGTTTACATACAGTTCAATTTTTTTTTTTTTACTACCGGTTCTATGGCGTGGCTTGGTGAGCTTGGCAGAGGAAGGATACTGCAAAATCTCCATTCCCACCCCACTCCAGGCACACTAGACCCCGTTGGGGTTGAGCCCGGATCCCAAGTTTCAACGCGTTGAATAACCATCTCTTCTTCCCTTCCTCCTGGCAGCAAATGGCCACCGCAGAGGGCCAGGTGCAGCGGTCCGGCGGCATGGAGCGCCCCTTCGTCTTGACTCGAAGTTTCTTTGCCGGTTCACAACGTTACGGTTAGTGGCGGGCGCATAAAGACGAGCGATGGAGTAGCTGGGCTTGGGAGAGAGAAAGTCCTTCCAAAGACACGGGAGGGACAGATCTTCAAGCCCCCAAGTTTGTAAGGACGCTGGGAAGGTGTTACGGTCCGCCAGCGGCCAGCAGAGCTGACAGCAGATTCGGACAGTGAGGAGGTTGGGGAGGAACGTGGGCCAGTCCTGGAGTCTGGGGAAGGCTCGGACGAGGGCTCTGCGTCGGAGGCAGAGAGAGGGCCAAGGCCATTTGGTAGTTCTTTGTTGCCTCCGGAGTCTGACATCAGCGAGGCAGAAGAACAGCTGGAGCCTGTTCCCAGTGTGCGCATGCACAGAGCTGCCAGGAGACAGGAACAATTAAAGGAAACAGGGTCAACTTGGGAGTAAGGCTTGGAGATGATTGGCCTCTCCCATAAGACATAAAAGAAGAGCAAACGGGATGTGAGCTTTTGCAGGAAGCAATTAGTTCATTTGGCCGATTCAAGATTTAGAAATTCTGTTTGTGACTCTGTGCCAAGTTTGGCCTTGCTCTATGTCTGGAAATTAGCTCTCTGGCAGCCTTCCACGGGAGATAAGGTGGGTGTTGATAACCTTCCTCTGAAAGACTGCTTATCAAGCCTTGCGGACTGTAAACGAAAGTCATTTACAGCCGTATGAATTACAGAGGTTTGCCGGGACTAAAGTTTGTGCTGTTTAATTTCTAAGGAAGCCTAACTCAGAACAGTAGAAGAGAGAATGGCGTTGAGTCAGTTGTCAAAATTTCCCTCAGAAACAGCAGTTCACCAACGTTGTTGTTACACGTTGCTGTCCTTCACAGGAGCTGTGTGGACAGGAGACAACGCAGCCGAGTGGGACCACCTAAAGATCTCCATCCCCATGTGCTTGAGCCTGAGTTTAGTGGGCATCTCTTTCTGCGGAGGTAAGCAGGGGGCATGTGCGTAGCGGGTCGTCCTTGACTTAGCGACCATTCGTTTAGCGACAATTTTGCATTTTTAAACGGCCCTGTGAAAAGTCGACTGGCCCTCCTCGCCCTCACAACCGCTTCGGCATCTTACCACCGTCCCCCCCGATCAAAATTTGGGCGCTCGGCAGTAGAGATGGATTTAGGATGGGTGTGTGTGTGTGTGTCGTGTTTTCATCATTTTGAGACCTTCTAATTCCATTTTATGATGAGGAAAATCCACGAGGGCAGTCGGGAAGTTGCTTTATGACCTTGTGATTCACTTAACAACTGGTTAATCAATGTGAGCATAAAGGTCGTAAAATCAGGCACGATTTAGTTAGGAAAATCAGGCCTGGTCACATGGTGACCTCTATACTTCAGGAAAAAGGAGAAGAATTATATATTTATAATATATATTTATAAACCAAGAACTTGGTTTACGTAGGAAAATACCCGGTTGAAGATTCACAACCTAAATGTTGGGAGATGTGATTGTGTTGATGCTACCTATTTTCATGTTTGGTGGACCTGTAAAAAAATTAAAGCATTTTGGATAAAAATATGGTGGATTATTCAAAATATTCTAAAAAAAAAAAGGATAAAGTTTACTCCACAGTTGTTTTTGTTAGGTATAATTACAGATTGTACGGCTATAGAGACTAATTTGATTCTGAACTTTTTTTAATTTTTTTAATTTTTTTATTAAATTTGATTTATATGCCGGCCTTCTCCGGAGACTCAGGGCGGCTTACAATGCGTTAAGCAATAGCCTTCATACTTTTGTATATTTTATACAAAGTCAGCTTATTGCCCCCACAAACTGGGTCCTCATTTTACCTACCTTAGAAAGGATGGAAGGCTGAGTCAACCTTGAGCCTTGGAGAGATTCGAACCAGCAGAAATTGCAGGCAGCTGTGTTAATAACAGGGTGCGTAGACCACTGTACTATCAAGGCTCTTAACTTAATAACTGCAGCAAGACTCTTGGTGGCGCAGTACTGGAAGAAGGAAGATTTACCTACTATTCAAGAATGGGCATTAAAAGTAGTAAATTTAGCAGAAATGGCGAAAATTTCGGCATATCTAAAGGACCACTCAAATGAGAAATATATGTTAGAATGGAAAAGATGGATTGATTATATTCAAGGCAAATATCGGACTAAAAAATTTCAAATAGCTTATGAATGATTAGAGAGATTTTATAAAATACTTAAATTTAGTTTAGTAAAAGGGGAGTTAAAAGTTCAAGAGGGGGATAGAGGCTATAGATAATTAGCTTATGTTAGCTTATGATTGTCAAATGTTATACCCTGTATTTTGCTCTGGGAAGTGGGGGGGGGGAAGGGGAGGGCTGGAAGGGGAGGGGGGAGGGGGAAGGGGAAATGTTTGTAAAACTTTTTAAAACTTTTCAACCAAGTTTATCAAACTGCATCCATAGCTCAGTGAAATCACATCCACTATCCTAGGCTTCTTCAGACAGCAAGCATGCATTTTGCTGCCTGTTGGTCGCAAAAGGGGACGGCATGACTCTGGGGACACCGCGACCGTCATAAAAACGAGTCCGTTGCCAAGAGTCTGAATTCGGATCACGTGTGACCACAGGGAAGGCTGCAACGGTCATAAGGGTGATAAAACGGCCCTACGTTCCTTTTTTTTTTTTTTCCAGGGCCGTCGAACGGTCACTAAACGAGCTGTTGTAAGTCGAGGATTACCTGGACCATCCCAGACCATTTAAATGTCCAATTTTCTCCCTATTAAACCATTTCTTCTTCCTGCTGCTTTTAGCTGACGTGGGTGGCTTCTTTAAAAACCCGGAGCCGGAGTTGCTGGTGCGTTGGTACCAAGCCGGAGCCTATCAGCCCTTCTTCCGGGCCCACGCGCACGTAGACACCATCCACCGGGAACCCTGGCTTTTCGGCGACGAGAACAAAGCTCTGATCCGGGAGGCGATCCGCGAGCGTTACGCTCTGCTTCCCTTCTGGTATACCCTCTTCTATCAGTCTTACCGGACCGGCAAGCCGGTTATGAGGTGAGTTGGAAGGGCCGGGAAGAGGAAGGGATGGAGGGACCCTGATTCGGTTCCGTATTTTGCATTGAGCCGTTTTGGCTAGGGAATTCTGGGAGTTGAAGTCCACTCCTCTTAAAGCATGCTAGCTGCAGCATTCTGGGAGTTGAAGTCCACTCCTCTTAAAGCAAGTTGGTTGGGGGATTCTGGGAGTTGAAGTCCACCCATCTTAAAGCATGCAGGCTGGGGGATTCTGGGAGTTGAAGTCCACTCCTCTTAAAGCATGCAGGCTGGGGGATTCTGGGAGTTGAAGTCCATCCCTCTTAAAGCATGCAGGCTGGGGAATTCTGGGAGTTGAAGTCCACTCCTCTTAAAGCATGTTGGTTGGGGGATTCTGGGAGTTGAAGTCCATCCCTCTTAAAGCATGTTGGTTGGGGGATTCTGGGAGTTGAAGTCCACTCCTCTTAAAGCATGTTGGTTGGGGGATTCTGGGAGTTGAAGTCCATCCCTCTTAAAGCATGTTGGTTGGGGGATTCTGGGAGTTGAAGTCCACCCATTTTAAAGCATGCAGGCTGGGGGATTCTGGGAGTTGAAGTCCAGTCATCTTAAAGCATGCACACTGGGGGATTCTGGGAGTGGAATTCCACCCATTTTAAAGCATGCACACTGGGGAATTCTGGGAGTTGAAGTCCACTCCTCTTAAAGCATGTTGGTTGGGGGATTCTGGGAGTTGAAGTCCACTCCTCTTAAAGCATGTTGGTTGGGGGATTCTGAGAATTGAAGTCCACCCATTTTAAAGCATGCACACTGGGGGATTCGGGGAATTAAAGCCTTAAATCTTAAAAGACTTGCCAGTCTTAAAGCGCGTAGAAGGGAATTCTGGGAGTGGAAGTCCATCCAATCTTAAATCATGCAGACTGTGGAATTGTGGGAATTAAAGTCTACCCATCTTTAAAGTATGCAGGCTGGGGGTTTCTGGGAATTGAAGTTCTAATCCTAGTTTGGCATCATTTCTCAGTCTAGCCATGGTGTTGTGCGATATTTTCTTATTTCGACCATGTTAATTCTTGCTTTTTGCTCTCTGACAGACCCCTCTGGGTCGAATATCCCCAAGATCCTACCTTGTACCCCATTGATGATGAATATCTGCTTGGTGAGTTTTTCGTGTATGTGAGAGAGAGAGAGAGGAGGGGGGGAGGGAGAGGGAGAGAGAGGAAGGGAAGGAAGGAAGGAAGAAAAAGAAAGGAAGGAAGGAAGGAAGAGAAAGAAAGGAAGGAAGGAAGGAAGAGAAAGAAAGGAAGGAAGGGAAGGAAGGAAGAAAGAGGAAGGAAGGAAAGAAAGAGAGAGAAAGAAAGAAAGAAAGAAAGAAAGAAAAGAAAAGAAAAGAAGGAAAGGAAAGGGAAGGGAAGGGAAAGGAAAGGAAAGGAAAGGAAAGGAAAGAAGGAAAGGAAAGGAAAGGAAAGGAAAGGAAAGGAAAGGAAAGGAAAGAAAACCAGGAAGGACAAAGATGAAATCCTACTTCCTGATCCCATTCAGAGCTTCCCACAGTCACATAACCACAATTTTCGTTGTTTTAAACCGGAAATTAGCATTTACGGTTTCCAGCAAAAAAAAAACCTGCCAGCACCCCTTATTGGCTATAACGGATTTATTTATAACAAGCACGATATTTGTTTAATGTCTGCCACAAAAACAAAGTTTGTAAAATCGAGCATGGCCCTTTGCTGACCTGCTTAATGACTGCTCCAACTTAAGAACCTTAATTCTGGGCTCAATTACGGTCATAAGTCAAGGACTCTGCAATTGTATGGCTGGAAATAATGACAGGCAGTAATTTGGGGTGATGATGATGATGCTAGAATTTGACTAGTTTTTGAAATGCGAAAAGCAGCTCGTTCAAGTTTCTAGATCTCATTGATCGTCTCCTTTACAGGCGATGCATTGTTGGTTCATCCGGTAACTGCTCAAGGAGCGCGGGGTGTACAGATCTACTTACCTGGTAAAGGAGAAGTAAGTATGACGGTTGACTTTGGATTGAGCTATTTACTTATTAGATTGTTATCCCTTCGTTATTGTTGAAGTAACTCAAAGCAGTGAACATTCCTAATATTCGGTCCTCCTTCTATTTTCCACACAACAACAACCGTGTGAGGTGGGCTGGCCTAAGAGAATTGACCAAAGTCACCCAGCTGTTTTCATACCTAAGATGGGACTAGAACTCACCTTCTCCTGGTGATTGGCTCAAGGTTTCATACCTAAGATGGGACTAGAACTCACCTTCTCCTGGTGATTGGCTCAAAGTCACCCAGCCGTTTTCATACCTAAGATGGGACTGTAATTCACCGTCTCCTGGTGATTGGCCCAAAGTCACCCATCCGTTGTCGTGCCTAAAACTGGACTAGAACTCACTGTCTCCTGGTGATTGTCTCAAAGTCACCCAGCTGTTTTCATGCCTAAGACGGGACTATAATTCACCGTCTCCTGGTGATTGGCTCAAGGTCACCCAGCCGTTTTCATACCTAAGATGGGACTGTAATTCACCATCTCCTGGTGATTGTCCTAAAATCACCCATCCGTTTTCGTGCCTAAAACTGGACTAGAACTCACTGTCTCCTGGTGATTGTCTCAAAGTCACCCAGCTGTTTTCATGCCTAAAACGGGACTATAATTCACCGTCTCCTGGTGATTGGCCCAAAGTCACCCATCCGTTTTCATGCCTAAAACTGAACTAGAACTCACCATCTCCTGGTGATTGTCTCAAAGTCACCGAGCCGTTTTCATACCTAAGACGGGACTAGAACTCACCGTCTCCTGGTGATTGGCTCAAAGTCACCCAGCTGTTTTCATACCTAAGACGGGACTAGAATTCACCGTCTCCTGGTGATTGGCCCAAAGTCACCCAGCCGTTTTCATACCTAAGGCAGGACTAGAACTCACAATCTCCTAGTTCGTAGGCCAGCACTTTAACCTCTACACCGGAATGGCGCTCGCTCTCAATGTTACAATTGGCTGAGGGGGGAAAAAATAAATAAAATAAATAAATAATAAATAAAAAATTCCCTTGAAAAGAAGAGTATTATAGGCATATCCCTATCGAGAAAAACTTTCTCCCTCACCGAAGTTTTTAGAGCAATTGCATAATCTTGGAATAAACCGTTTTGTTGTATTTTTTTAGCCCCCGCGTGCGCTTTAACGGTTACAAACCGCAAGTTTATCTTCTAAAAACAAGCTGTCGGAAAGAGAAGTTTGTCATCCCTCCAAAAAATTATTGTGGTGTTTTTTTTGGCCTCTTTAAAGGGAAGCACAGCTTTACAACGGCGGCTTGGCCCAGTTTCAAACAGACGTCCTGCCAAGTTGGGTGTCCCCACCCCCACCCCACCCCGTCGATCCGGCTCATCCAAATCCTCTATAAACAATTTTTTTTTTTAAATATACTTCATTGGTTTTAAAATTTTAAAAAACATCAAATCTCTGTTAACATCTGAGGTGTCGTGTAATTACATATTTACGTTATGTACATTATATACATATCGAATACATTCGAATCTACCATTATTGAAAATAGACATAAGCTTACAATCTCGTTCTATTATTCCACCATTTGTACCCCCTTTCCCATACTGCACTGAATTTTGAGTTCGCATCATTGTTAAGAACACTTGTTAATTTTGCCATTTCTGCGCATTCTAAGATTTTGTTTATTATTATTACCTCTGGAGGGGTTTGTTTGTCCTTCCAGTATTTTGCAAAAATTAACCTGGCTGCTGTTATGACATGTATTATAAGATGTATCTTATCTTTAGAAAATCCATCTCCGATCATTCCTAGTAAAAAGATTTCAGGGGATAATTCTATTTCTTCTTCCACTATTTCTCGTAACCAGTTTCGTATTTTTATCCAAAACTTTTTTGTGTCGGGACAGGACCACCACATATGATAGAAGGTGCCAACCTCCTTTCCACACTTCCAACATGTTGCCGAAGCGCTGGGAAATATTTTTGCTAGTCTAGCTGGCGCTAGATACCATCTACGGAAAATTTTATAATGGTTCTCCCTGTAGGTTGCTGATTTAGTCAGATTGTAGTTTCTGTTCCAGGCCTCCTCCCAGTCATTGAAATTTAATCTATAACCAATGTTTTTTTTCCCAAATATTTAATTGATTTCTGGCTATTCCTTCTGCCCTGTCTTCACCTAATAGAAAGTTGTAGAATTTCGCTAACATAAACAATTTTTCTCTTGGCAGGTTTGGTACGACGTCCACACCCACCAGAAACTCCACGCCCCACAGACGTTTTATTTGACGGTCACCATGAGCAGCGTAAGTCCGAGATTTGGGGGGTCAGATTAAGGCACGGCCCCCTCGCAAACAGCCGAGGCGGTGGGTGGGTGTGATTTTTTTCAAAGCCAACCTTCCCACCCACACAACCCCCAATGCGTCATGGCGCTCCCATGTAACACCTCTCCTGCGCGAGCTGCACTGGCTTCCGGTGGTTTTTCGGGTGTGATTCAAGGTGTTGGTTACCACCTTTAGAGCGCTCCATGGCTTAGGACCTGGATATCTACGAGACCGCCTTCTGCCGCCGAGAGCCTCCCACCGGCCAGTACGCGCCCAGAGAGAGGGGCTCCTCGGGGTGCCGTCGGTCAAACAATGTCGACTGGCGGCCCCCAGGGGGAGAGCTTTCTCTGTGGGAGCATCTGCCCTCTGGAACGAGCTTTTTCCCCCCCCTTCCCCCCCCCCCCCCCGGAGATACGGACGATCCTGGATCCTACGAACTTTTCGCCGGGCCCTCAAGACTTTCTTATTTCACCAAGCCGGGCTGGCCTAATTTTTAAATTTTTTAAATTGTTTAATTTTAATCTGAATTTTAATGAGATATTTAAACTGTTGGGCCAAACTATTTAATTTATTTTAAGTTGCTTTTAAATTTTGTATTTTGGGTTTTTGTCTTTGGCTGTTCACCGCCCTGAGTCCTTCGGGAGAAGGGCGGTATATAAATTTAAAAAATAAATAAATGAATGAATGAATGAATGAATGAAAGAAAGAAAGAAAGAAAGAAAGAAAGAAAGAAAGAAAGAAAGAAAGAAAGAAAGAAAGAATGAATGCAGACCTCCAAAATATACTCAGCCAACCTGTCACAAATGGGAAATCGGGAACCAAAGCGGTTCGGATCAATGCAGGTAATCCTCGACTCTAACCCGTTTATCCATTCCCAAAGATTCCCGTTTACCAGTGTGGGGGCAGCATCGTGGCTCGCAAGGAGCGTGTCCGCCGTTCTTCGGACTGCATGCAGAACGACCCATACACGCTCTACGTGGCTTTGGGGCCTCAGGTGAGATGTGGAGAGGGGGATGGAGAGGTTTAAAGGGGCTGCATTACGACGATCAGTTGGGATATAACACCATCAAGGATGTTATTATCCTTGCCAGGCCCTCTAGCAAGGGATTTGATTCGGTCCACTGGAGATGCACGCAGGTTAGTCCTCTACTTACGAACAGGTGTTAAGCCACCGTTCAGAGGCCCTGAAAAAGTCATCTACAACCAGTCCTCAGACTTACAACCATCACGGTATCTCCACGATCGCAGGAATCAAAAGTTCGGGTGTGTTGGCCACCGGGCCTTACGTTTACGACGGTCGTAGAAGGACGTAGGTGACGTCGTTGCCGTTGGCAACGATCTTCCCAGCCGGCTTCCAACCCGCAAAAGTCGATGGAGGAAGCCGGATTCGCTTAACGACCTCGTGCTCTGATGAACGACCGCAGGGGTTCACTTCGCAATAGTGACCAAAAGGGCCCCAAAGATAAGCACAACTCATACCTAGCTGCCCAGGGCACAGATTTTGATCACGTTGCCATGGAGAGGTTGTGACGGACGGTCATAAATATGAGGTTATAAGCTACTTTTTCCGTGCTGTTGGAACTTTTAAACGATCACTAAAAGAATGGTGGCAAGCCAAGGAATGGAATAGGAATAAGAATAAGAATAAGAATAAGAATAAGAATAGAATAGAATAGAATAGAATAGAATAGAATAGAATAGAATAGAATAAAAAAGAATAGAACAGAACAGAACAGAACAGAACAGAATAGAATTGGAATCTGGAATTTGGAATTTGGAATTTGGAATAGAAAGTGGAAAGTGGAAGGTGGAAAATAATACAATATAGGATAGGATAGAATGGAAAATGGAAAATAGAATATAGTTAGGATAGGATAGGATAGGATAGGATAGGATAGAATAGAATAGAATAGATTTGGAATCTGGAATTTGGAATTTGGAATAGAAAGTGGAAAGTGGAATGTGGAAAATAATACAATATAGGATAGGATAGGATAGAATGGAAAATGGAAAATAGAATATAGCTAGGATAGGATAGGATAGGATAGGATAGGATAGGATAGGATAGGATAGGATAGGATAGGATGGAAAATGGAATATAGTTAGGATAGGATAGGATAGAATGGAAAATGGAATATAGTTAGGATAGAATGTAGAATATAGAACAGAACAGAATAGAAAGCGGAAAGTGAAAAATAGAATATAGAAGAGAATTAGAAGAGAAGAGAATATAGAGAAGAGAATATAGAATAAAATAGAATAACTTTATTGTCACTAGCCTGTCCCGAGTCCAATCATTTGACTTTCTGCTTTTCTCAATCACTCCAGGGAACCGCCCAAGGGGAACTTTTCGTTGACGACGGACACACGTATAATTTCGAGACGAAAGGAGAATACCTGCACCGCCTCTTCCATTTCTCTGGCAACGTGCTGACGGCCAGGTACCCAGTCTAGGAACTTTTATTATTTTTTTTCTCTCTCTCTCTCCTCTTCTCCCTCCCCCCTTCATCACCTAGCACCCCCTTTTCTTCCGGCTGATTTCCCCAATTTCATTTCAGCTCGGCAGATCCAAAAGGCAGGTTTGAAACCCTGGCCTGGATCGAACGGGTGGTGATCCTCGGAGCGGGAAAACCAGGGGCCGTCTTCCTCAAACAACCCGGTGAGTTGGTGGTGGGAGGGCCCAAAGTTACACCATGTTTTCCTATTTCCTTTTGGATGGAAATGGCAAATGATTTCCTTCCCCGGATAGAAGCTAATCAAGGTAGAGGAGCAACCTAGAACTAAGGAGGAATTTCCTGACAGTGAGGACAATTAACCAGTGGAACAGCTTGCCACTAGAAGTCGTGGAGGTTTTCAAGAAGAGATCGGACAATGAGCTTGGAAGACAGTTGGCTTTTTGGCAGTTTTGCATGGGCAAACCCTGTTTGATAGGGGGGGGGTTGTACATGGTGTTTTGTGACCCTAGAAATCAGGAACCAGGTTTAGCCAGTTGGGTGAACCATTCTGTGATATCCTGGAGATTGTGGGAACTAGTCTAACGAAGAGAACGCCTAGGGGTGACATGATAGCAGCCTTCCAATATTTCACAAAGAAGAGGGGAGTCAACCTGTTCTCCAAAGCACCAGAAGGCAGGACAAGAAGCAATGGACGGAAATTTATCGGGGAGAGAAGCAATCTGAGATTAAGGAGAAAGTTCCTAACAGGGAGAACGATTAATCAGTGGAACGGTTTGCCACCAGAAGCTGTGAATGTCCAACGCTGAAGGTTTTCAGGAAGAGATTGGGCAACCATTTGTATGGCATGGTATAGAGCTGTGATGGCGAACCTGTGGGCACGCGAGCTCAACTCTGGTGCCAGCCGGCTGATTTTCGGGCCTTCTGGGGCCACTGGAAGTTAGGAAACAGGCTGTTTCTGGCCTCTGGGGTGGGGGAGGAGGCCTGTTTTTCGCTCTTCCCAGGCTCCAGAGGCTTTCTAGGAACCTGGGGAGGGCAAAAACAGCCTCCCCCCACCGGAGACCCTCAAGAGGCCGGAAACGACCTGTTTGCCGACTTCCGGTGGGACTGGAAGGCCTGTTTTTCGCCCTCCCCAGGCTCTAGAGCCTTTCTAGGAGTCTGGGGAGGGCAAAAACAGCCTCCCCCCCCCCCGGAGACCCTCCCGAGGCCGGAAACGACCTGTTTGCCGACTTCTGGTGGAACTGGAAGGCCTGTTTTTCGCCCTTCCCAGGCTCTAGAGCCTTTCTAGGAGTCTGGGGAGGGCGAAAACGGCCTCACCCGCCCACCCACTCCCCGGAGGCCGGAAACGGTCCCACCGGAAGTCTGCAAATGGGCCTGTGGGGAAGGCCGTTTTTGCCCTCCCCAAACTCCTAGAAAAGAGCCTTGGTAGTACAGGGGTTTAAGGCACCCTGTTATTAAGCTTATTAAGACCAGCTGCCTGCAATTACTGCAGGGTTCGAATCTCGCCAAGGCTCAAGGTTGACTCAGCCTTCCATCCTTTCTAAGGTAGGTGAAATGAGGACCCAGTTTGTGGGGGCAATAAGCTGACTTTGTATAAATATACAAAAGGATGAAGGCTTTTGCTTAGCACATCGTAAGCCGCCCTGAGTCTCTGGAGAAGGGCGGCATATAAATCAAATTTAAAAAAAAAAAAAAAAAAGTTCTGGAGGCTGGGAGAGCGAAAAATGGGCCTACTGTGGCCCACCGTGCCATCGCGTGGCAAAAGCGGGAGGGGTGCGAGGGAATCGTGCACACATGCGTATCGGGGCAGGGCGCATAGAATTATGAGTCTCGGCACATGCGTGACACCCCCCCACGCTCCCTCACTTTTGACACGCGATGGCAAAAAGGTTAGCCATCGCTGGTATAGAGTCTCTGGGACCCCCAAGGTCCCTTCCAACTCTATTATTCTTACTCAGACTTACTGTCTCTCTCTTCTCTTCTCCCCCCCCCCCGCCCCTTCCCACTTCCAACTGTCCAGGAGCAGGCGAGACGCGCCTGGATTTCACCCACGAAGCCGAGACCTCCGTTCTAACCATCCGGAAGCCCGCCGTGAATGTCGGAGAAGACTGGAGCATCTCGCTACGATAATGGCACGAGGCGGGAGGGGGGCGGGGGAGACAAGAATTATCTGGGCAGAGGGGCAGGGAGATGTTGGGGGTGCGGGGTTGAGGAGCTCTAGGTCAGGATCCTATCTCCCCCCCCCCCCAAATCCTTTGGGTAGATAGATCTGAAAGCTCCCCGCTGCCACTGTATCTCAGGTCCAGTGTCCCAGTTCAGAAGGCATGAAATGGAAGAGGGATATCTTTCCCTTTTTATCCTTTTCTTCCTCCCTCTTTCCTTTCCTTTCCTTTCCTTTCCTTTCCTTTCCTTTCCTTTCCTTTCCTTTCCTTTCCTTTCCTTTCCCTTCCCTTCCCTTCCCTTCCCTTCCCTTCCCTTCCTCCCTCTGGCCTTTTTATCCTTCTCTTCCTCCCCCTTTCCTTCCCTTCAGTCCCTCCCCTGTCTGTCTTTCTCCTTCCTACTTTCTTCCTCTCTCCCCTTCCTTTCTTCATTCCTTATTTTTCCTTCTCTTCTTCCCTCCCTATCTCTCCACTCCTCCCATTTTTCCTTCCCTCGTCCTCTCCTCTTTCTTTGTTCGTCTCTTCCACCCTCTTTTCTTTTTTCCTTCTCTTCTTCCCTTCCTTCCTTTCCCATCTCTCCCCTCCAATCTTTTTCCTTCCTCCATTTCCCTCCTTCTCTCCTTTCTATGTTCCTTCTTTCCTCCCTCCCTCTTTCCTTCCTATTTCTTCTCCTTCACTTCTTCCCTGCCTTCCCCTCCACCCTCCCGTCTCTCTCCTTCCTCCTTCCTTCCTCTCTCTCCCCTTCCTCCCTCTCCTCTTTCTCTCCTCCTCCCTCTCTTCCCTCCCTCCTTCCTTTCTTCCCTCCCTCCGAACTTTTAGCAATATTGGCTGTAAAATGAGGACTTTCCTGGCGACGCTGGATGGCAACCCAGTTTTCCCTTAGGGGACTGGAGGCCAAGGCACTCACCCACCCTCTCTCTCTCTCCCCTTCCAATTATTTTTCTGGAAAATGCAAACCCAGATTGCCTTTTTTCCAAAATTGGTGGGCCTAGCTCTCGTTCTCTGCACCCCTTTTCCCCCTTTATCTCTGTCCCGCATGTTCTGGCTGAAGTTTTAAATCGGTTTCTGGACCAATTTGGGGGTGGGGAGGGGGGGAGAACTCAAAACAGAAATTTAATTGACAGTTGGCGAGGACTGCCTTTTCAACCCCTTTCCTCGCCGGCCAGTGAATGTGCTACAATTTCCTCCACAATCCTGTACACCAACCCTTTTGCAGTTTGCAAGAACTTGTTGTGTGTGTAGCCAGACCACAAAAACCTCACTCGATAATCCCTGCCCCTCCCTCCCAGGAGGATCTTCCTGCTAAATCCTTGAGGGTTGTTTTTTTCGGGTTTTTTTTTCCCAGACTGGCGGGTTGGGGAGGGAATTTTCTGTTTTCCAAGGGAGGGAAGTGACTCAGGTGCCAGTGAATCACTGTCACTTCTATTTATGGCGATTTTTTTTAAAATTTTGGGCGGGGAAGGCAGACCAGACAGATCATGTGATGATTAAAAAAAAAGAGAGATGTTGTGTTGTTGTTTAGTTACCAGATTTAAGCTTGTGCGGAAGTGAGAAATGGCTGTCCTTCACAGGGACCAAGGAAAAATGGGGTGGGGGAAATCGCATGGGGGGGGGCATGAGCTGCTAGAGAAGGACCCCCCTTCCTTGCAGGAAAGGGAGAAGCCATGGGTGCATCTGCCTGCTGGAAGGGCTGGAAATTTTTTTTTTTAAAAAAATTCGTTTTTAGCTGCTCTGCCTCCTTCCCTCCCTTCCCTGCCTTCGGGTTTCTCTCTTGCCTACAAGCCAGCAGCTTTCGTTATGTGATTTGTTTTTTTTTTTTTTTTAAATGATTATCCGTTGGTGTCTGTGGATTAACATTCCTGATTCTGGCTGGTTTCTCCCTTAATACGTGTTTGCCAAGCGAAAAAAAGAAAAAAGGCACAGAACGGAGCTTTTAGTTAAAAAAAAAACAAAAAGAAAATTCCTTAACACATACACGCACCCAAACACACGCGCACCGAAATCTTTTCTATCCCTTCCTTGATGGCCGTGACATCTGCAGGTAAAAGCTTTTACTGACTCGAGTGTTTTGATAAAAAGATGGAGAATTCAAAAATAAAAATGCCGTAAAATCTCACCTGTTGTGGTTTGAATTCACCTTGAGCTTTAATGCTAAAGGAAAATAATGGATCAAATGCTTCCTTTTTTTTTCTGGCAAAGCACCTGTTTCAAGGCTCTTGGTCAGAAAAACCGGATTTCGTTCGGAAAGGAAGTAACTAAGTCGGTGCCCCAAAGTTGCTTTTTTCAGGAGGTAACTGGACTGTCTTATTTTTTTCTTTTCTTTTGAAGACGTTTCGCTTCTCATTCAAGAAGCTTCAGCAGCAGGCAATGGAAGGATTGATATTCCTTGCAGAGCCTTCCATTCCCCACTATCCTGTCAGAGCTGAAGAAGCTTCTTGGATGAGATGGGAAGAAAGGAAGGAGGGAAGGAATACACCGAGAGGGGAGAGAGGGAGGAGAGAAAGAGGAGAGGGAGGAAGGGGAGAGAGAGGAAGGAAGGAGGGAGACGGGAGGGTGACGAGGAAGGCAGGGAAGAAGTGAAGGAGAAGAAATAGGAAGGAAAGAGGGAGGAAAGAAGGAACATAGAAAGGAGAGAAGGAGGGAAATGGAGGAAGGAAAAAGATCGGAGGGGAGAGATGGGAAAGGAAGGAAGGGAAGAAGAGAAGGAAAAAAGAAAAGAGGGTGGAAGAGACGAACAAAGAAAAGAGGAGAGGAAAGGAAAAATGGGAGGAGTGGAGAGAGAGGGAGGGAAGAAGAGAAGGAAAAAGAAGGCGAGACGCGCCTGGATTTCACCCACGAAGCCAAGACCTTCGTTCTAACCATCCACAAGTTCGCTGTGTCAGAGCTGAAGAAGCTTCTTGGATGAGAAGCGAAACGTCTTCAAAAAACAAAACGAAAAAAGCAAGAAACTCCAGTTGCCTCCTGAAAAAGAATCTTTGGGACACCATGACCTGGATGACTGAGAATCTCTACAGACTAGAGATTACAGACTACAGATCTGTACCCTATGTTCAACAACCTTTACAGTGGTCTTCTTTTGAGAATGTATTGCTATTGCTATTGTATGTTAAGGTTTACCTAACCTTTACCTAAAGGTAAAGGTAAAGGTTCCCCTCGCACATACGTGCTAGTCGTTCCCGACTCTAGGGGGGCAGTGCTCATCTCCGTTTCTAAGCCGAAAAGCCAGCGCTGTCCAAAGACGTCTCTGTGGTCATGTGGCCGGCAGGACTCAACGCCAAAGGCGCACGGAACGCTGTTCCCTTCCCACCAAAGGTGGTCCCTATTTTTCTACTTGCATTTTTTTTTACGTGCTTTCGAACTGCTAGGTTGGCAGAAGCTGGGACAAGTCACGGGAGCTTACCCCGTTACGCAGCACTAGGTATTCGAACCGTCGAACTGCCGACCTTGCGATCAACAAGCTCAGCGTCTTAGCCACTGAGCCACTGCGTCCCTTTTACTTTCCTAGGAAACGATAATAAGCGAGCAATCCTTTTTAAATATTTTTTTTAAAAAAAAATTATTTTCATTCCTTCTTTAAGAGAAAGTGATTTCAAGGAAGCTTGAGGCACCGTTTAAAGTTTTAACTTTTTTTTTTCCTTTAAAAAAAACTTTGCAGTTGTTTCCTTGAGAATGAATATTCCTATGGCTATTCCGTTAAGGTATGTGAGGTTACTTTCCCATGAAATCAAGAGTGAACAATCCCTTCCTAAACTTTTTTTTTTATTATTATCATTTTCATTCCTTTTGTAGCCCTTCTCCCAAAAGGGCCAACACTAGCATCTTTCTCTTCTCCTCTCCAAGTAGCAGCAGCTCTCTCTCCGTCAGTCCAGTTTGGACTGAGTGCCAACCATTAGCTTGAAGTTGTAGGAAAAGTTTTGTAGGAGAACTTTATGTTCAAATGCCTCAAATCTCCAGATTGTCTAGCTTTTGTTTCCAATCATAAAAGTCTCGGTAAAGAAACTCGGCGCACTTAAATCAAGGAAGCCCTTGTGTAAACACTTTCTACTTGCATTGGGACAAGGACCTTCTAGCTTGTTAGGGGATTTTGTCAGTAGAAGTTGGCGCACCTGGTCTAGCAGTCCGTACTTGAAAGCTCTTATTTCACTGGCACCCAGTACGATGTCTTGATGTTTTGACATACTCCAGCCTCTTGTGATCAGGGACCTGACACAGAAGAATTTCCAATGATTCTGTGGTCAAGGAAGGCTTGAGTAAAAATTGTCTGCCTCCCTCATCCGCTGTTTTTAAAGTTGGAGTTGGCTGGCATGTTTGGGCATCCAGTTGACGCATTCACTGGGGCCCTCCGAAGTTTCCTGCTTGTTTTCGACTTCTTGGCCTGGATGGTGCCATACAATTAAGTCAGTAGTGACTCTCACCTCCACAATTATAATAAATCACCACCAGTCTCCATAACTTTTTCTGCAGGAGGAGTAAACGACCTTATCACACTTCCTACTGCGGGTAGGACACCGTTTTGCTATCAGCAATGTGATCCTTTGACTAGAAAGTGCAGAGAAGAGCAACCAGGAGGATTAGGGAACTGGAGGCTAAAACATGATGAATGGTTGCAGGAACTGGGCACGGCTAGTCTAGTGAAGAGAAGAGAAGAACCAGGGGAGACATGATAGCAGTCTTCCAATATTTTGAGGGGCTGCTACAGAGAGGAGTGGGGCAAGCTATTCTCCAAAGCACCTGAAGGCCAGACAAGGAAGAATGGATGGAAACTGATCAAGGAGAGATTCAACCTAGAAATAAGGAATTTTCTGGCAGTGAGAACAATCGATGGAAGAGAAGTTGCCTTCAGAAATGGTGGGAGCTTCATCCCTGGAAGCTTTCAAGAAGGGACTGGACTGCCATCTGTCAGATTTGGTATAAGGATTTCCTGCTTGGACGAGGGGTTGGACTAGATGACCTCCAAGGTCCCTTTTCAACACTCTTATTCCTACCACCTTGAGACTCGTGTCTCCAGGGTGGCAATGCCTGCATCAACATCTACAGCTGTCTCCATCCCAACATCTAGAGATGACAAGTACATTGAGTTGTGGGCAGCTGTTATGACAAGGGGGTCTCAACATTGACAACTTGTGGACTTCAACTCCCAGAATTCTTCAGCCGGCATGGCTGGCTGAGGAATTCTGGGAGTTGAAGTCCACAAGCCAAGTTGCCAGTGTTGAAGACACCTGCTACTATATGGCTTCCGTTTTAATGAGTTCAGGGTACCGCAAGGAGTCCCTCTCTTTTAATACACTTTAAGCAGAGCCTAATTGGGCCGTTGTGTAAGCCGCAATTGCAAAATCTGCTTTGGGATCTTTATATAAAATTGGAAAATATATGGACGGGTATTATAATGAGATAGGTTTGTTTTTTTTTAATGGTGGGGGCGTGTTCAGGGTGGAACCCGAGGAGGCAGGAAGTTGTTGCTCGGGGGACCCTGGATGGCGACGGACGCCGGAGGAGTAGGGAAACAGACGGACCGGAAGTGGTTTCCTGGGCGAGCAGGAGGGGGAAAAGAAAGCGCGGACCCCAGAAAAGATGGAAGGGTTTTGACGAGCGGAGGAGGAAGCCCGGTACTTCTTCCTTCGCCCTTGTCGGCGGCGAAAGCAACCGGTGAGCTTAGGCCTTGGCTCCATTGCCATGGTAACGGTGTTACACCGTCTCCCCGCCGTCTTTCCCCGCGGCCTCTGTCGGGCTGTGGAACCTCGGGGTGGCTGCGAAGCAACTGCGCCTGCGCAGATGGAGGAAGGCCAACCGGGCTGCCTTCCCCAACCTGTCGCCCTCCTTGATATTCTGAATCTGACCTATCATTCCCCCCCCCTCCACCTTCTCAATCAGGCGGTAGAGGATGATGGGTTCTATGCCAGTGCATTGAGGGGTGGGCAGGTTGGGGAACAAGCCAACCTTTGCACCTCTCTAGGAGGCTGAAGAGTGGATGATGGGTGCTGTGGTACAGCACACCTGACCCTTGAAAGCAAGAGGTGGGTGTGGGGGATGATGGGCGTTGTAGTCCCTAGAAAGTGCAGGAGCTACATCAAAGTGTACAGTAGGAGGAGATGGTTGGGAGTGATGGGAGGTGGGAAAAGTGGGGCTGGGGATGATGGGGGTTATAGTACCACAGCTGGCCTTAGTGGAACCCCCTGTGGCAGGTTAGATGGGAGAGTATTAAGCGGAGAAAAAAAATGGAAAATTGAGTTCTTAATTTCTTAGAAGGAAGCGGAAGGGTGGGGTAGAGTGCTTTCTTAGCTGGAAATTTTATTTTTTATTTATATTTCATATTTCTTAACCATGGGATGATGTGCAATAAACATAACCGAGAAATTTTTTTAAAATGTATAAAATTAACCTTAAAATTAAAAATTAAATTGGGGGGGCGGTTTAAAATTTTCAGTAATGACCATTTTAATATTGTAAACCGCCCAGATTTACCCTGTGGTTAAAATGGGAGGCCAATAAATTGAATAAATGAAAAATAAAAATAAATAAACATCCAAAGGGAGAGGAAAAAAATGTTTATGGCCATTTAACTTTTTTTTTTTTTTTTTTTTTGCCATTTTAAATGGCTAAAAAAAAATCGGTATTATAGGAAACCATCCTAAGAGACCTAATAACTGCCAACTTCTGTCGCTGGGGTGGGGGGTGATTTTATTACATTATTTGATTTTTTATTAGTTTTTACTGGTTTTTATATTCTGTAGGCCGCCTTGAGTCGCTTCTTACTGCTCCAGAAATCATCCTGTTTATTAATATTTCTCAACATTACAATCCATTCGGTTTCTGGACCCCTTCGTCTCTTGACTTTTCTTCTCTTAATTCGTTTCTGGAGAAGTCAAAAAAAATATCTGCTTTTGGGTTTAGGATTTGGAGGCTGGTGCAACAAAGATACGGCGTTAAATCCTCCTCGCATTGTTGTTGACACAAAACCACATTTATTTGAAATGCACCATCCTTCTTGTCTGTGTCCAGACCTGGTTTTAACATTTTGCCTCTCTTTCTCTCCTTAGGTTGTGCCATGAAGGTGAAACTGAAAAATGTTTTTGTTATCTACTTCCTCGTGTCCTTGATTGGCCTTATGTATGCATTGATGCAATTGGGTGAGTATCACAATTGGTGTCAAGATTGTGTCTTTCCTTGCCAAGAGAATAGAAAAAAGTCTGGGTTTGCACAGGTAGTCCTTGACTTACGACCACAAGTTAGTAACACAGTTGTTAAGTGAATCGGGCTTTGACTTTGTCGGAAGCTGGGTGGGAAGTACGCAAATAATGATCAGATAACCCTAAAAGGCTGCAACTCTCATAAGGTTGTTTCCAGCCTCTTAATGGCCTCTGGGGCGGTGGGGAAGGCCTGTTTTTCTCGCTCCCCAGGCTCCAGAGCCTTTCTAGGAGCCTGGGGAGGGCGAAAACGGCCTTCCCCACCCCCCTGGAGGCCCTCCGGAGGCCAGAAACGGCCTGTTTGCCGACTTCCAGTGGGACCAGGGGAGGGGGGGTAGGGAAGGCTGTTTTTGCCCTCCCCAGCTCCTAGAAAGGCTCTGGAGCCTGGGGAGAGAGAAAAATGGGCCTACCAGGCCCACCGTGTGCCAAAATTGGGGAGAGCGTGGGGGTCGCACACGCACGCACGGGGAGGTGGGGCGCATAGAATTATGAGGGTGGGCACATGGGCGCACAACCTCCCCGCTTTTGGCACACGGTTGCAAAAAGCCATCACTGCCCTATACCATTTCAGATAGGTGCTATCCAGTCATTTCTTAAAAGCACCCACAATTTCTGAAAGCAAATCATTCCACTGGTTAATTGTCCTCACTGTTAGGAAGTTTCTCCTTAATTCCAGGTTGCTTCTCTCCTTGATTAGTTTCCATCCATTGTTTCTTAACTTGCCATTTGTTGGTTTGGAAAATAACTTGACCTCCCCCCCTCCCCTCCTCTTTATGGCAGCCCCTCAAATACTGGAAGACTGCTATCCTGTCACCTTTAATTCTTCTTTTCTCCAGACCGGCCATTCCCAATTCCTGCAACCGGTTCTTCCTATATTTTGTCTCCACGCCCTTAATCAACTTAATTGCTATCATAAAGCTTAGTTTAGCTTCGGTTGCTATAATAAAGAATAAAAGAAAGGATTACCCGTGTAGACTTGGGAAATGCACTTTCATTTAAGATGAAGGAACAGCTTCCACAGCACAGGATTCCTTTGTCCGTCTGCAGGGCAGCCCTGTGATTGCAGCCAACACCTGAAGGCCGCTAGTGACCTCGTCCATGCCAAGGAGAAGCGACTGTCTCAGTTGCAAAGAGAAGTGAAGCGGCTGCAGGGCCTGGAAAAAGTGCCGGAGCCGGTAGAAGAAACACCGGTCATCTATGTGGTCACGCCCACCTATGCCAGGTAGGTGACCGAAAATCCGAGAGGATGATGCTGAACCTTATTTGAGGAATCAGTCCCCTCTGTCTCCTTTTTCTGGTCTCAAGTGATATTATTTCTGCCCGTATTGTGGAATCTTCTCCCTCCAGAGGTAAGGTTGGCCTCGTTCCTCCTGAGCTTCCGAAGCTCCCTCAGGCTTTGGTTACGCCAGCCGACCAGCCAGGGGACTCCAGGGGACGGGTGAGCTCATGGGATGGCTGCCTTACTATCAACGTCCCTCCATCTCTTATTCTCTTTTCCTAGCTTGGCTTCTCTTTTAAGTCTTTTTAAATAATTATTATGTAATGGCTTTAAGTGAGGATTGTCTTATTCATTTACTGTTTTAATGGGAGCTAGATAGATAGATAGATTAGATAGATATAGATAGATAGATAGATAGATAGATGATAGATAGATAGATATAGATAGATAGATAGATAGATAGATGATTGATTGATAGATAGATAGATAGATGATTGATAGACAGACATGATTGGCGGATAGATGATGGACAGATAAATAATAGAAAGGGAGATAGGGATAGATGATAGGTAGGTAAGTAGGTAGGTAGGTAGGTAGATAGATAGATAGATAGATAGATAGATAGATAGATAGGGAGGAAGGAAGGAGGAAGAAGGAAGACAGATAGATAGACAGACAGACAGACAGACAGATGATAGATGACGGACAGAGATAAATGATAGACTGGTAGGTAGGTTGATAGATAGGTGGGTAGATAGATAGATGATAGATGATAGTTGATTGATAGATGATAGGCAGACAGACGAAGGAAGGAAGGAAGACAGAGAGGGAAGCAAGGAAGAAAAACGGGAAGGAAGAAGGAAAAAAGGTTTCTAATTTAATTAATTCAATTTTAATTAATTCAATTTATATGCCGCCCCTCTCCGAAGACTCAGGGCAGCTCACAATACATTTTAAAAAAATCATTATAAAAAACATTTAAAAATTAAAAACATTAAAAACTCATTCACGTCATTCATGGCCGGATCTCGCCAGATCACAAGAGCGAGATCAATGGCCCAAGGCCTGCCAGAAAAGCCAGGTCTTCACTACTTTTCGGAAGGCCAATAGGGTGGGGATGGTCCACACCTCAGGAGGTAACTGGTTCCAGAGAGCTGGGGCAGCCACAGAGAAGGCCCTCCCCTGCGGGCCCGCCAGCCGGCATTATTTAGCTGACGGGACCCGGAGGAGACCAACTCTGTGGGATCTTACCGGTCGCTGGGAGCTATGCGGCAGAAGGTGGTCTCGAAGATAACCTGGCCTCATTCTAAGCAAAAGACCAGTACTGTAAAAGACTACTGTAATGCTCTCTACATGGGGCTCCCCTTGAAAAGCACCCGGAGGCTCCAACTGGTCCAGAACGTAGCCGCGCGGGTGATTATGGGCGCAGCTCGTTACGCCCATGTAACACCTCTCCTACGCGAGCTGCACTGGCTCCCGGTGGTCTTCCGGGTGCGATTCAAGGTGTTAGTTATCACCTTTAAAGCGCTCCATGGCTTAGGACCTGGGTACCTACGAGACCGTCTTTTGCCACTAATAGCCTCCCACCGACCAGTTCGTTCTCACAGGGAGGGACTACTCAGGGTACCGTCAGTCAAATTATGTCGACTGGCGACTCCCAGGGGGAGGGCCTTCTCTGTGGGGGCTCCAACCCTTTGGAATGAACTGCCCCCGGAGATACGGAATATCCCTGATCTCCGTGCTTTCCGCCGTGCCCTCAAGACCCTGATGTTCCAACAGGCAGGGCTAAACATACAAACATGCGAATGATTTTTTTAAATGTGATCTAATTCTGGGTTTTATTTAATTGGCCAAACTAAGTAATAATTTTAATTAGCAATTTTATGATGTTTGTGTGTCTATATTTTTTCTTGACTGTACACCGCCTTGAGTCCTACGGGAGAAAGGCGGTATAGAAATACAATAAATAAATAAATAAATAAATAAATAAATAAATAAATAAATAAATAAAATAAGTACTGGAGGGAGGGAGGAAGGAAAGAAGGAGGGATTGAGGGAGGAGAGAAACCGAGAGAAAGAAAAAGAAAAAAAGAAAAAAAAAACCAGTCTCTGTTCTTTGACGCAACCATCTCTTAACACAACCGCTCGATCCTTCTTCCTTCCCAATTTGGCAGGCTGGTTCAGAAAGCCGAGCTGGTCCGTCTCTCCCAGACGCTGATGCACATCAGAAACCTGCACTGGATCGTGGTCGAGGACTCGCCGAGCAAGACCCAGCTGGTGTCCGACCTGCTGGTCCAGAGCAAACTGCCTTTTACCCACCTCCACACCGAGACCCCCAAGGAGCACAAACGGAAGGAGACGGATCCCAACTGGCTGAAGCCGCGCGGGGTGGAGCAGCGGAATCTAGCTCTGCAGTGGTTGCGCGAGCACCGCAAGCTCCCCGACGCGGGCGTGGTGTATTTTGCCGATGACGACAACACTTACAGCCTTCGCCTCTTCGACGAGGTCCGTGGTGATCGGGCAGGAGAAACCAACCCTGTAACTGCTCTGAAAATGAATCGTTGGTCTTTTTATAGTCGTATCAGTATTTTTATTTCTTCAAACGATATGCCGCCCATCTCGCTAACAGGACGGGTGTCTTACAGGAGACCCATACAGGCAGTCCTTGAGTTACGACCACAATTGAGTTGCTAAGCGAGTCAGTTATTCACTGAACTTCACCCAATTTTGCAACTGTTATAGTTCTTACGGGAATCCCCACAATTGGTTGTTAAGCAAATTTAATTTTCCACACTGATTTAGCTGAATCTATCTATCTATCTATCTTCTCTATCCTTCTCATCTATCTCTGTCTGTCTAGCTATCTGTCTATCTTCTCTATCATTCTCATCTATATCTATCTATCATATAGATGAGAATGATAGATAATGATCTATCTATCTATCTTCTCTATCCTTCTCATCTATCTCTGTCTAGCTATCTGTCTGTCTAGCTATATCTATCTTCTCTATCATTTTCATCTATCTCTTTGTCTACCTTCTCTATTATCTTTCCTATCTATCTTCACTATCCTTCTCATCTATCTCTGTCTGTCTAGCTATCTGTCTATCTTCTCTATCTTCTCATCTATATCTATCATATAGATGAGAATGATAGATAATGATCTCTATCTATCTATCTATCTATCTATCTTCTCTATCCTTCTCATCTATCTCTATCTAGCTGTCTATCTAGCTATCTGTCTGTCTAGCTATATCAGAGATCATTTTCCTCTATCTCTCTGTCTACCTTATCTATCATCTTTCTCTCCTATCTATCTATCTATCTATCTATCTATCTATCTATCTCTATCTATCTATCTATCTATCTATCTATCTATCTATCTATCTATCATTCTCATCTATCTCTATCTTCTCTAGCATTCTCATCTATCTCTATCATTCTCATCTATCTCTATCTACTCTATCATCTACCAGTATCTCTTCTTTCTATCTCTTTATCTCTCTATCTCTCTATCTTCTATTAAAACAGTAAATGAATAAGGCAATCCTTACTTAAAACATTATATAATAATAATTTTTTAAAAAAAGACTTAAAAGCAAAGCTAAACCAGGAAAAGAGAATAAGAGATGCAGGGAAACTATGGTTAAATGAAGGAAGGGAAGGGAAGGGAAGGGAGGGAAGGAAGGAAGGAAGGAAGGAAAGGAAAGGAAAGGAAAGGAAGGAAAGGAAGGAAAGGAAGGAAGGAAGGAAGCGGAGGTCACCGGGCGGAGGTTCTTCTGTTGATCGTCTCCTCTTTCTCTCCCCAAACAGATCCGTTCCACCCAGCGTGTCTCGGTCTGGCCCGTAGGCCTGGTGGGAGGCCTCCGTTTCGAGCGGCCCCTGGTGGAAAACAGCAGAGTGGTGGGTTTCTACACGGCTTGGAAGCCCAACCGGCCTTTCCCCATCGACATGGCGGGCTTCGCCGTGGCCCTGTCGCTGCTGCTGGCCAACCCCGAGGCTCGCTTCGACTTGCTGGCCGAGCGCGGTTACTTGGAGAGCAGCCTCTTGCAGTCGCTGGTCTCGATGGAAGAGCTGGAGCCGAAGGCAGACAACTGCACCAAGGTTAGAAGGGGAGGACGGCCTTCTCCCCTGGCCTTCTGTCGAGCAGAGTCCGTGGGGGAAGCCCCGATTCGCTAAATGACAGTGAGATTGTCCAGACAGCGGCAGGGACTCGCTGTACAGCCGTGGCCAGAAAGGTCGTAAAATCAGACGTGACTCACTGAATGGCCTGCGAGAGGAGAAGATTTGTAGCTCAGGGTTGTAGCTCTCAGAGCTGGGTGGGTGACTGGCTTACAGACGTTTCGCGACCTAGCTAAGCTACCTTATCAGGGCTAGGAAGGAGTGCAGTTTATGGAGTGGAGGAGAAGGAGAATAGGAGGGGAGGAGAGGGAGGAGGAGAGGCAGGGGGAAGGGAAAGGGGAGGGGGAGGACAACTGTGGAGTCCTTGACGCTCCCTGAGCCTTTGTTACAGACATTTCACGACCCAGCTAGGTAATTGCATCAGTGCTAGGAGAGAGAGAGAGAGAGGGATTTGCTCAATGTTTATATTCAAGAAGCTTGCTTGCTACTTGAGAGAGAGCAAATCCCTCTCTCTCTCTCCCTCTGATGAGGTTACCTATTTGGGTCACGAGATTCCTGCAAAGCAAAAGAGCACCAAGGACTCCTCATCCTCCTCCCCCCCTCCCCCGCCTTCTTCGCCACGCCACAGTCCTCCCTCCCTTCTAACACTGATGATGTTCCCTAGTTTGGTAATGAAACGTCTGTAAGAAAACAACCAAGCTCAGAGAGCATCAAGGACCCCATCAAGGTCCTCTTCCTCCTTTTCCTCCTTTTCCTCCCCCCTCCTCCTCTTCCTCACTCCATAATCCCCACTCCCTTCTAGCACTGATGAGGTTCCCTAGTTGAGTAATGAAACTTCTGCAAGAAAACGAGCAACCTCAGAGAGTATCAAGGACTCTTCCTCTTCCTCCTTCTCCTCCTCCTCCTCTTCCTGTCCCTCTTCTTCCTCCCCCTCTTCTTCCTCCCCCCTCCTCCTCTTCCTCACTCCATAATCCCCACTCCTTTCTAGCACTGATGAGGTTCCCTAGTTGGATAATGAAACGTCTGCAAGAAAAAAAGCAACCTCAGAGAGTATCAAGGACTCTTCCTCTTCTCCTCCTCCTCCTCTTCTTCTCCCTCTTCTTCCTCCCCCTCTTCTTCCTCCCCCTCCTCCTCTTCCTCACTCCATAATCCCCACTCCCTTCTAACACTGATGAGGTTCCCTAGTTGGGTAATGAATGAAACTTCTGCAGGAAAATCACCAAGCTCAGAGAGCACCAAGTGCTGCCTTGCTTATCAACGGACGTTCTGCCCTCCCACCGTAGTGGTTATAAGTTGAGGACTTACCTATATAGATGGATCATCAGGAAGCCCAAACCCCTGTCTGCGTTTCAGGTCCTCGTTTGGCACACCCGGACCGAGAAGCCGAAGATGAAACAGGAAGAGCTTTTGCAGAAGCAGGGCTTGGGTTCCGATCTCAGCATCGAGGTGTGAGAGACCAGCCTCTCGTCCAGGTATCACAGTGGTGGGGCAGGGGCATCTCTGCTGGGCCAGAGAGCCCACCCCAGCCGGAATGTATAGAGAGAACACATTATTTTAATTTATGAAGGCTGAATCCTGTCCTCCCACCCTCCCCACAAGCTCTCTCCGTGTGCTGGGGCCGGTGGTCAGGACGTTGACTTACATGAAGAAATCTCTATGATCCCATATTTAAATTATATATGGACTGTGGGGAAATGGAAGCCCCGGTCCTGGGGAGCGGCTGGTTCCTGTCCCACTTGCTTCAGTGTGTGTCTGTGTGTCTTAGTGTTGTCTTTAAGGCTGCGTTGATAATATGCATGGGAATCTTTCAACAATACCCCCCCTTCTCGAGTTTCATGTATCCCCCCCCCCCAAAGACTCTCGGAACAAATCTCTAACAAATCAAAATCATTGACTTCTTCTTGGGTCTCTACTATCGGCGGTGGGAAAAGGCAATTTTTATCCATTTCAAAGTCTACCGAGTTTTCTTTCAAGCCGGAGTCGTGGCAAATTTGAGACTTCTAGACTACATCTCCCAGAATTCCCCAGCCAGCATGGCCGACAAAGTGATTCTGAGAATTGAAGTCCCCAAATCTTAAAAGTTACCAGATTTGGAGATCCTTGCTATAAAGCTGTGTTTGTCTCAACTTTGGCAGTGTGAAAATGTCTTGACTATAACTCCCAGAATTCCCCATCCAACATGCTTTGAGATGACGGGACTAGAACTCCCAGAATTCCCCATCCAACATGCTTTGAGATGACTGGACTATAACTCCCAGAATTTTCCAGCCATCATGCTTTGAGATGATTGGACTACAATTCCAAGAATTCCCCATCCAACATGCTTTGAGATGCCTGGACTAGAATTCCCAGAATTCCCCATCCAACATGCTTTGAGGTGCCTGGACTATAACTCCCAGAATTTTCCAGCCAACATGCTTTGAGATGATTGGACTACAATTCCAAGAATTCCCCATCCAACATGCTTTGAGATGCCTGGACTAGAACTCCCAGAATTCCCCATCCAACATGCTTTGAGATGCCTGGACTATAACTCCCAGAATTTTCCAGCCAACATGCTTTGAGATGATTGGACTACAATTCCAAGAATTCCCCATCCAACATGCTTTGAGATGCCTGGACTAGAACTCCCAGAATTCCCCATCCAACATGCTTTGAGATGCCTGGACTACAATTCCAAGAATTCCCCATCCAACATGCTTTGAGATGCCTGGACTATAACTCCCAGAATTTTCCAGCCAATGTGATCTGGATTTCAATTTCCATTTAACTTTATTAAATTATTATTTATTTTTTTTAAATGCTTGGGGAATTCTGGGACTTGAAGTTCACACAACTTAAAGCATGCTGGCTGGGGAATTCTGGGAGTTGTAGTCAAGACGTCCGCCCAGTGTCACATTGCCAAAGTTGAAAAATAACTGCTTTAAAGCATATTCTGTAATGGTTTAATTTCAGATATGGGGATGGCTGAATTTTTAACCTAAACAAACCGGGGTTTAATCCCGATATGTAAAAAAAACCTTGCCAAATTTGGCGCCTCCTGTATTTTTCGCCTGCATTTTGGGGACGTGATGCTGCTTTCCACATCTTGGCATATTTTACTTCTGTTGTGCTTGCTTTGGGGCGGGGTGAGCAAGTAGATTACCGAAGATCTTCGCACAATGGCCAATCCGGTTTGCCTCAAATCTTCCCGGCGTCCGAACTCAGGATTTTATTTCTCGGACGCGCTTGGAATTACCGAGCGCTTGGAAAACGCTTGGAAAACGAACGTGGGGATGGACATCTTTGAGCCGGGGAGGGTTTAGAATTGACTTGTGGGGCTCGGTTTGCTTGATTGACAGCAGAAGAGACTAGATGATCCCAGGACAACGAAGTTGAATCATCAGCCTGCTGCTGGCACGGCCTTCTTCAGATAATATGGCATTTGCTCATCACGTTACTTGCCACGCCCAGGTTTCGCATCCTTCAACGCTGAGCTAAGGACTTCCAGCAAAGAGGTGTTGTCTTTTTTGCAACGCACTCCGGCCTCGCCCCAAATGTTCTCGACACAAAAAGAGCCGCTTTGCGGAGGGATATTTCAGCAGCCAGATTCGTTTTCCCGCTTATCGCCGAAGGAACGGATACAGTACAGGTAGTTTTCGGCTTAAAAATCACCTTTCATTTTAGTGACCGTTTAAAGCTACAGCACTGACTTAACGACGGTTTTTCACACTTAACGACCGTTGCAGCATTCCCCACCCCGTGGTTATGTGATCAAAATTCAGACTGGTATTTATGACGGTCGCAGCGTTTCCCGGGGTCGCTGCGATCCCCTTTTGCGGCCTTCTGACAATGGGGAAGCCAGATTCACTTAACAACCGCGTGACTAATTTAACGACCTCAGTGATTCGCTTCGTAACAAGGGAGGCAAGGAAGGTTCTAAAAGGGAGCGAAAGAGACTTAACCGCTGTCTCGCTTAGCAACAGAAGGCTCTGATGATCCCAGCTGAGTCGCCTAATCGGCAGAGGCTTTTTTTCTTTTAAATGCCTCTGCCGATCAAGCAACTCAGCTGGGATCGTCAGAGGCTTTTAAAAGAAAAAAAGCTTCTGCCAATCAGGCAACTCAGCTTGGATCGTCAGAGGCATTTAAAAGCATTTTTTCTACAACCTCTGAAGAGGTTGTAGAAAAAATGCTTTTAAAAGCCTCTGATGATCCCAGCTGAGCTGCGTGATCATCAGAGGCTTTTTTTTTTTACTTTTAAAAGCATTTTTTTGGCTGAAGAGGTTGTAGAAAAAATGCTTTTAAAAGTAAAAGAAAAGCCTCTGATTGTGCGGCTCAGCTGGGCATTGGGGGGGGGCAGGGATTTTTGCTACCGGTTCTCTGAACCACCTGCCTCCATCGCTCCCAGATCGGGCGATCCGGTCCGAACCGGGAGCATTTCACCCCTGCGAGGTACTTTCCGCATTGGCCGTCGTGTATCCCTTTAAGCCCCAATCGACTTCCTCAGCCCGGTGATAAAACCACAATTCACAACACTGGAATGGCTGAATTAATACGTGTCCTCAACAATCCTCCCTTAATGTGGAGTAAAAAAAAACAGACCGTGGTTTTTAAACCACGCAATTCATGGCTTAGCATAGGGCCAGTAAGACCTCACGAGTGTTTGCTCGGGTGGAAAAAGCAAAGCATAAATTCAATAAATTATGTCGAAAGGTTTTGGCTGCTGTTGATTTTATTTCCAAGGGTGGTTTATTCAAACGTCTCATCGATGTTGGAAGCCAGGATATTTCGGAGTCGGAGGACGGAACCGCACGCTAAGCCAGGGTGAGTTTGGCTTAGCAGGTTGTGTGAATGTGGTTCCAGGTAGTACTCGACTTACGACAGCTCATTTAGTGACCATTCGACGTTACCGCTGCAATGGAAAAAGTGACTTATGACCATTTTTTTGTACTCCATTGCAACATTCCCCCCACCATCACGTGATTTACATTCAGATGCTTGACTAGTGACTCCCATTTACGACGCTCGCCATGGTCTGGTCTCATCCGATTCCCTTTTTGCGACCTTCTGACAAGCAAGAGTCAGCGGGGAAGCCATATTCACTTAACAACCATGTTCCTAACTTAACGACCGGCCGCGATTCGCCGTCCGTCCTGGCATGAAAAATCGTAAAACGGGAGCAAAAACTCCACTTAAATTTCTCAGCCACGTAAACGTTGGGCTCCCTTGCGGCCGTAATTCGAGGACTACCTGTAGCCACGGTCAACGGCGTAAAAGAGGCAAAATGACAGCCCAGGGGAGATGTTTTTGAACTCCTCGGAGGCTGCTTAGAAGTTTCTGCAACTGGATTTGAGCAAAGGACATCTTGCGGTGTGATCGACCGAAACGGATCGCCCAGGAAGAAGTCTGGTGCTTTCTGGGCAAGAGATCAACTGAGCGTGAAACTTAAAATTGTTTGAAATTGAAAATTGCCCGACCAGTTCTACCACCGTGTTTTACTGCTGTTCCTTGGAAGCAGCTGTTTCCCACCCACCTCTCCCCTGCGAAACTGCTGTCACAAACCAGGTTGACTGCAGTCGTGGCCAAAATTGTGGCAACCTTTTGGGAAAAGTGTATTTTTGAGGTTTGATGGCTAATAACACCACTTTTATTTTGATGTTTCAAGATCATCCTATTCCACTGCTGAAATGGCCTGGGAATAGCCCAGACCTTCACCCAATTGAAAATCTATGGAACTGACTAAAGAAACTTTGTTAGTCAGAAGCGACTCAGCAATAAAACCCAGTTATTAGAAGCCATTATTCCATCTTGGTTTCACATTAGAACAGCTGCAGAACTAAAAAACTCGGTTCCCTCCATGGGAAAACGTTGTAAGGCCCTAATTCATGCTAAAGATTACCCAATTGAGTATTAACTGACATGGGGATAATTTTTGTCTATCTAATTTTTTTTTTTTATTGGAAAAATTTTACAAATATCAATTTTTCCCCCATTTTCCCCCCATCCCTCCCTAACCCCCCCAAATCCTCCCCTCTCCCCATGACTTCCCCAAGGTGAAATCCATCCACATTATATTATATCATACTTTACCACCCCTCTATTCTCCCCCTGTGAACTATACATTTCTACATAACAATAAGCTACTTTGCCCCCTATAAACTATACATTTCTACACAACATTTAGCTAAAACCTATCTGGTACTTCCTAGTTTGATATTTATTCTGCACATAATCTATCCATTTCTTCCACTCCCATACATAAATCTCTTGAGTCCGATCTTTTAAGTATGCTGGTATCTTCGCCATTTCTGCAAAACTGGCCACCTTCAAAGTCCATTCTTGAATTGTAGGCATATCATCCCTTTTCCAGTATTGACCAATCAGTAACCTAGCTGCTGTCACCATATACAATATCAAATTTGTTTCACCCACTGAAAAGCCCTTAACTATACCCAGTGAAAACAATTGAGGAGAAAATTGAATTTTTTTCTTCAAGACATTTTGCATAACCCACCAAATTTTTATCCAAAAAGCCTTTGCTTTCTATCTAATTTTTTCTACGGTGATCATTTTTGTCTTATCTCATTTTTTTCTACGTGCTTTGCTTTTCTTCTTTATACTGTAACTGCTACTCTAATAGCAAATCCTTCCTAAAAGTTACTGCATTACATTCTTTCTACATTAAATTATCTTTCCGTTGATATATAATTTTATGGTGCTACTCCCAAAAAAAAAAAAAAAAAAAGTGGTGCTATTAGCTAGTTTTAGAAAATACACTTTTCCCAAAAGATTTCCACAATTTTGGCCACTAGTGTAGTCAGGAAACCCAGCTTATCTGGATAATGGCTTTCCTCCAGATTTCTGCCTTTTAACCCTCCCTCCCGTCCTCCTTGCCAAAACGCTTCCAGCGCTGGAGAACAGGCAGGAGATTTTAAAACTCTGCCATCAGCATTCTAGTCCTCAACCAGGAACTGGAAATCAAAGATCTCCAGATGTGTCAATAACAGTCAAAGGATGCTGGGAATAATTATGCAGCAACATCTGGAAGCTGTTCTCTCTTCTCTCCTCCCCCCCCCCCATTTTGGTGTCTCTTTTTGCTTAAGAGACTAGGGGTACCTGGATTTGTGAGTGCCACAAACCATAGTTGGTTTGTTTTAAGCTTGGATCCTATCAAGCCAGCAATTGTGGTTCTGTGAACTTGACCAAACGTCAGTGAAGGAATCCAAACTCAGCCAAGTTCTCCAGGAGGACCTCACAATGGCCCAGCTGCCCTTGTCTGCAAGTAGGAGGTGATTCTTTTTCCCTAAGAAGTTTCCAGTGGGGTTAAGACTTCTGTGGAGCCTCTAGGCTCCAGTGCAGTCTACCTCAATGCATTCGTTTCTTGTCCTAGGAAGTTTTGCCTCCTGCACCAGCCCTTGCCCCTGAAACCATTCCCTTCCCTCTTCTTCCAGCCCACCTCCTTCGCATTTCGTACCACACCTGCAATCTTGTTTTTATTACCTTACACAACTTGTTTCTATTGACATCTTTTAAAGTTTTTTGATAGCTGTGAGATGGATTTAATTATTGACTCTATGCCAGCCAGAGTCTTGTTTGGTGAGATGGTGGCTGTCTGAATGTGAAAGGCAGGCAGACGGAGACCAGGGAGGGAGGGAGGAAGGAAGGAAGGAAAAGGTCAGGAAGCAAGGAAAGAAAAGATGGGAGTGAAGAAAGGAAGGAAGGAATAGATGAGAAGGAAGGAAGGAAGGAAGGAAAAGGTCAGGAAGCAAGGAAAGAAAAGATGGGAATGAAGAAAGGAAGGAAAGAATAGATGAGAAGGAAGGAAGGAAGAAAGGAAGGAAGGAAGGAAAAGGTCAGGAAGCAAGGAAAGAAAAGATGGGAATGAAGAAAGGAAGGAAGGAATAGATGAGAGGGAAGGAAGGAAGGAAGGAAAAGGTCAGGAAGCAAGGAAAGAAAAGATGGGAATGAAGAAAGGACGGAAAGAATAGATGAGAAGGAAGGAAGGAAAAGGTCAGGAAACAAGGAAAGAAAAGATGGAAAGGAAGGAAGGAAAGAAAGATGAGAGGGAAGGAAGGAAAAGGTCAGGAAGGAAGGAAAAGGTCAGGAAGGAAGGAAAGACAAGATGGGAGGGAAGGAAGGAAGGAAGCAGAGGAAAAGTGGAGCAAGGAAGGAAACGGAAAAGATCAGGAGGAAAGGAAGCAGAGAAAAGGAAGGGAGGGAGGAGAAATGGAGGGAAGAAGGAAGAAAGGAAGGAAAAGGTCAGGAAGGAAGGAAAGACAAGATGGGAGGGAAGGAGGGAAACGGAAGGAAGGAAGGAAAAAAGATCAGGTGGAAACGAAGGAATAGATGGAAGGAAGCAGAGAAAAGGAAGGAAGGAGAGAACAAGGAGGGAAAGAAAAGATCAGGAAAGAATAGATGGGAGGGAAGAAAGGAAGCAGTGGAAAAGTGGACGAAGGCAGGAAACGGAAAAGATCAGGAAATAATGGGAGGGAAGGAAGGAAGCAGTGGAAAAGTGGAGGAAGGAAGGAAGGAAACGGAAAAGATCAAGAGGAAAGGAAGCAGAGGAAAGGAAGGGAGGGAGGAGAAGAAGGAAGGAGGAAAGGAAGGTGAGAAAGGGAAGGAAGGAAGGAGAGAAAGGAAGATGAGAAAGGGAAGCTAGGAAGGAGAAGTGGAAGAAAGGAAGGAGAGAAAAGAGGGAGGAAAGGTGAGAAAAGGAAGGAAGGTGAGAAAGGGAAGAAAGGAAGGAGAGAAAAGAAAGAAAAGAAGGAAGGAAGGTGAGAAAGGGAAGGAAGGAAGGAGAGAAAAGAAAAGGGAGGAAGGAAGGAGAGAAAAGGAAAGAAAGAACGGAAGGGGGAAGGAAGGAAGGAGAGAAAAGGAAGGAAAGAAAGAAAGGGGAAGGAAGGAAGGTGAGAAAGGGAAGGAAGGAAGGAGAGAAAAGAAAAGGGAGGAAGGAAGGAGAGAAAAGGAAAGAAAGAACGGAAGGGGAAGGAAGGAAGGAGAGAAAAGAAAAGAGGGAGGAAGGAAGGAGAGAAAAGGAAGGAAGGAAGGTGAGAAATGGAAGAAAGGAAGGAGAGAAAAAGAAAGAGGAAGGAAGGAAGGAGAGAAAGAAGCGGAGGGAAGGAAGGGAGATGCACCCCCAGCGCCTCCATCCAGAGCGGCGAAGGCTCCGCGATCGCCCCGTCCGTCCGTCCGCCCCTCCTGCGCTGCCGCTGCTGCCGCTGCTTGGCCGCGGCGTCTTTTTCCTGCCCGCCCGGGAGCGAAGCGCCACCCGCCCACTGGCTTCCTGGGGGAGGCGGCCGCGCCGTCCCAGCCGCCCCGACGGCTTCCTCCTCCTCCTCCTGGGCTCCGATCCATCATCCCCTGCCCGCCCGGCCGGCCAGCTGAGAGCTGGGACTCCCAAGCGCTTTTGCAAGAGCCCCCCATGGCCGGTGAGAGCTGCGCGGTCCGGTCCGGACACTTTTTTTTTAGGGGGGGGTGGGAGGGTGGAAAGAGAGAGACCCTCCCGCATCATTTCTCCCCCCCCCCAAAAAAAATCCCGGGTCTCCAAACCCATCCAGACGATCCGGGCTGGAAGGTAGAGGCGGGGGTCGTTTGCATTGCCACGGGATGCCCCCCTTCCTTCCCCCCCCCAAAGGATCCACACGACGTCCTTGGGAGAGACCCTCGGGAAGGGAGAAGAAGCCGGGTTCTTCGGTGCGATCCACGCAGGCTGCGCCCCCCCCTTTCTTCTTTTTCTTTCTTTCTTTCTTTCTTTCTTTCTTTCTTTCTTTCTTTCTTTTTTCTTTCTTTCTTTCTTTCTTTCTTTCTTTCTTTCTTTTTGCAACCCGCGTGTCTTCCGTGGAAATCAATCCCGCATCTCGCTGGCAAGGCAAGGGGCGCCGGTTGGGGAAGGACGAGGGCGCAAGGCAGGGGGTGGGGCGGGTGGGGGGGGGCGGAGGGTAACGCGTTAGGTTTGCAGAAGTTGGGGTTGTTGGGGGGGGCTTCAAAAAGGCGGGTGTAAAGAGAGGGAAGGGGGCAGGACAGGAAGACTAGAGGGGGCTGGCAGAGATTGGGGCACCCGGGACCCCAAAGAGATGGGTGTGCTTGTGTGTGGTCTGTCTATCTATCTATCTATCTATCTATCTATCTATCTATCTATCTATCTATCTATCTATCTATCTATCATCTAGCCTTCTCTCTCTCTCTCTCTCTCTCTCTCTCTCTCTCTCTCTCTCTCGGTATATCTCTCTCTCTAACCTCTCTCTCTAATCTATCTATCATCTATCTATCCTCATCTATCTATCTATCTATCTATCCTCTACTATATCTATCTATCTATCTATCTATCTATCTATCTATCCTCTTCTGTCTATCTATCTATCTATCCTCTTCTATCTCTCTCTCTCTCTCCTCTCTCTCTCTCTCTCTCTCTCTCTCTCTCTCCTCTCTCTCTCTATCTCTCTCTAACCTCTCTCTAATCTGTCATGTATCTATCTATCTATCTATCTATCCTCTTCTCTCTCTCTCTCTCTCTCTCGGTATCTCTCTCTCTAATCTATCTGTCTGTCTGTCTGTCTGTCTATCTATCTATCTATCTATCTATCTATCTATCTATCTATCTACTTATTTACTTACTTACTTATTTATTTTGCAACCTTGTGGGTCACACAGCACACCCCCCACGCACACAATCCGCAGCCTGGGAGGCTCATGTGGCAGAGCTCAAGCAAGGGGGTTTTCCTGGGCAGGAAGTAGGGAGGACGGTTGGTGATGCCACAACGCGAACTTCTGCCAAGTTTGACAATCGCTCCGGAGACGGCTCTTCCAGTTGTGTATTTTAACACACTCACGGGGGAGAGGGGGGGGGTGTTTGCGCCCTCCCCAAAGATGCCCCCTTTCTCAGGTCGGAAACCAAACCAGCCTTTTGTAAGCAAGGCCCCATAAACCACCACCCCCTTTTTTGGGGGGGGGGCAGAATTCTCACCCAGATCTAGCACGCCTCCAAATTCACCCAATTTTAATTTTCATTTAAAAAAAAAAAAACCTACTACTTTTCGGGCCCTTCGTGGGGTTTTTGTGTTGTTTTGTTTTGTTTTAAATCCGGGATCCGTTTTTGCATGTCAACAGAGTCGTGCTTCTGATAAAACTTCCTTCTCGAGCCACATGTTGCAACATCTGGAGGCCGTAGGGCAGAATGTGGCTCGTCCGGGGACGCAGCAGCGCGGAGTTAAAAAGTACATTTTTTATTATTATTTTTTTAGAAAGCTGGAGCGACCCCCCGAAAAAGGAGGTGAATTTAATCTCCCTCACGCTCCTCGTTCTTATTTCTTCTTTGAAACTTAAAAAAAAAAAAAAAAAATTCAAATTGGGTGTGCTGAGCTCAGATTTGGCAGTGGGTTTTCGTTTCCGTTCTCACGGCAGGCCGCCTGTTTCCTTTTGCATCGTTAAAAAGCCATTATTAATTGCTTCGCCTCCATCTGTTTCAGCCTTACGGCTCCCCTTCATTCAGATTTATCGCGAAGGGGAGGAAAAGACACGAAACCACTGCGAATCCGTATATATTAACGTGTATAGTCCTCGATTTACAACCGCAATCGAGCGCCCCCCCCCCCAAAATTCCTCTTGCTAAGCGAGACGGTCGTTGAGTGAGTTTTACGCACAATTTTACCACCTTTTCTTGCCGCTGCGGTTAAGGGAATGAGCGCCGTTGTTGAGAGAGTTAGGTGGTTGTTAAGTGATTCTATTGATTTTGATGGTTAAAAGGTTGCAAGAGGGACTCACAGGACACTGCAACCGTCATAAATGTGAATCAGTTGCCAAGCATCCAAATTTTGATCACGCAACCCTGGGGATGCTAATAAGGTCATAAGTGTGAAAAGCGGACATAAGTCACTTTTCTCAACGCTGTTCTAATTTCGAATTGGCACTGAACGAATATTTGTAAACAGAGGAATATGCGTATTGGAAGGCCTTTTTTAAATTTTAATGTTGACACCTTTGTCAATTTTTTGGCTGACAGTTTCGGGATGGTTTTAATAAGTATAAAAGAAATTTTTTGTTTTTTAATTGATGGTTTCTTCGGAAGTTGATAAGCGTTGTGTGGTCTTTGTAGATGAAGTTAGAACGGCGTTAGCAATATTTCCGGGCTTCCTCCGAGATTTAGGGGGAGGGCAATGTGATTTCCTGCCCAGATGTGATATCTAAATCTGAAATAAACCTGGTGCACAGCCACAGAAATGTAATAGGGGCAGAGTTTGGGGTGCATTCAGTGGTGGGATTCAGCCAGTTCGCACCTATTCGGGAGAACCGGTTGTTAACTTTCTAAGCACTTTGGAGAATCGGTTGTTGGAAGAAATCTTATTTTGTTTTTTTCCACTTTACAGGACTAATCCTGTAAGGAAGGCAGGAAGGGAACATTCTGGTGGTGTTTCTAGCCTAATCTTTATTGCCCTGTTTACAGAAACTGCCTCTCTGGTTAACCCTTATTACATTGTAACAGCTAAGGCGAAGCGCCCATCGATGTGAGTGATATTGAGTTGGCCACGCCCACACGGTCATATGACCACCAAGCCACGCCTACCGAGCTGGTCATTAGGGCAGAGAACCGGTTGTTAAATTATTTGAATCCCACCACTGGGTGCATTGTTTTAAAAAAAAAAACAGGGGGGGGGCAGTGTGTTATCTAGGCCAGAGATGGATAACTGTTTTGGTGCCGAGTGCCCCTGCGTGTGCCTGAACCCCAAAATGCAATGCAAGCACCCCACACACACATGCGCCCCCCCGGTGCCCCATTTTGGCTTCCAGATAGTGCAGGAGGCTTTCCAGGCCCAAAGCGAGCCCCCCGCCCCCCCGTGCCCCATTTTGGGCCTGGTAAACTTCCTGCACCAACCTGCACCCCCCACCCCTCCGCCAGTGGTGGGTTGCTCCCGGTTCAGTCAGGTTCTTGCGAACTGGTAGTAATGGCAGCAGGAGGCTCCGCCCACCCGCCCGGACGTCATTATGAACAATCTGCACATGTGCAGAAGTGTGCGTATGCTCCCGTTGCGAACCAGCAGCCGAAGTAAGTAGAACCCACCCCTGCCCTCCGCGCAGGCACACGCATGCCCCCTGCATGCGCACCGCCCTCCACGCAGGCGCGGCAGAGACTCAAAGACCAGCTTTGAGGCCGGTGGGAGGTGCTCTTTGTATGCGTGGTGGAGCTGGGTGTTCTGTCCCCGTCCCACACATGCACCCCCACAGATGGCCTGGAGTTAATAAGCCACAAAACAAAGTCTTTGAAGATAAAGCTGGCAGTAACCCAATGGCTAGCTGCCAATTCAGACTTTACTCACACAAAACAAAGATTAGACTGCAAGCATTCCGATAAAGCAGGCAAAGTTTCAGCAATACAAGGATTAGTCCAAATGCAGTCCGACAAGGCAGGCAGAAGTCCAGTAATGCAGAGATCATGGATTATTTCTAGTTTTTGCTCGTCACAAACTGAACCGGCCACAACACCCACATTTATACCCTGTGGGGTGTGGTCCAGTGACTCAGCTAATCTCTGGCACGCCTTCCCCTCTGCTGCACACGCTTCTCCCTGTGCCGCTGTCGAGGATCCAGCCAGCACTTATCTCCTTCGTCGCTGTCCACCTGTGGCTGCAGGGACGTGCTTGGCTATGGGCCTATCTCTTGGCCTTCGGTGTCCTCCGGAGGCATTGCCAGAGAGGAGGGTCCTGGAGAGGGAGGCCTTGCCAACTCCTCTCCCTCACTCTCAGAGTCTGCATCTGTCGATAGCCCAGGCTCAGGCAACGGAGCCACAACACTGGGCTGGGACGACGGCTGGTGTGCCCGCGGAGATGGCTCTGTGTGTCACCTATGCCATAGGTTCGCCATCACGGATCTAGGCCGAGGGAGGATGGATTTCAGGCAGCGTTTTCAATACAGTCTAATGAAAGTAGAAAATTTTACAATCAAGGCTTATTTAGTCAAGAGTTTTTATAGGTCGTCTTTGGTTTACGACCACAATGGAGCCCAACATGTATGCTGCTAAGTGAGACAGTTTGTTAAGTGGGTTTTTACCCCCGTTTTACGACTTTTCCCGCTGCAGCTGTTAAGTGAATCACCGCAGTTCTTAAATCAGGCACGCGGTTTTTAAGTGAATTTGGCTTCCCCATTCTGACTTTGTCGTAAAAGGGGATCGCGTGACCCCGGGCCGGGACACTGCGACCGTCATAAATAGGAGGCGGTGGCCAAGCCTCTGAATTTTGATCCCGTGACCCTGGGGATGCTGCAGTGGTCATAAGTGTGAAACATGGTCGTAAGTCACTCCTTTTTTCCAGCGCTGTTTGAATGGCCGCTAAATGAACTGTTGTAAATCAAGGATTGTGTTAATGCTGTAAGCCGCCTTGTGTCAAGACGGATGTCAAATAAATTCAACAAATCAAGAAATGAAGAAATAACCTTTCCC